CCCACTTTTTCCTCCTCTCCCACGCATCTCCTACCAACGCTATCCTAACCTGATTAGAACAAGTTACCACGGGTTAGGATGTTACCCGTCCGTTCGGGTACAGGATGTTGGGACCCAGGAGGATCGACGGCGGACATCGTTTCGAAGCGAAACTTCCTTTTCCGTTTTCTCCTACGCCGCATAGTTTCCGAGTTACGCGCCTCCAAACAACCGACCAATCGGAGAGCAGCATTTTATTTCCGTCGTATCGTTGTAACCGTGGGTCGTAGATAAACGTTCATTGGAGACATCACAGCCCGAAGACTGCCTGAAAACGGGCTCAAGGACAGGAAGACATTTTTAACCCCGTATGGCTGTCCTTACGCTCTCCTCTCTAGTCCGTCCTAACCCTATCCTTACCCTGTTGGGTGAGGATGGGTGAAGATCGGTAAGGATGGATTAGGACGAACGAGAATGGGTAAGGATGTGTCGGAATGAAGTTAGGTTGCCAAACCCTCGGTGAGTTTTCTTATTTTTATAAAATTGAACCGTAATTGTAAAATATCAAGTACGTACGTTTTAAAGATGCACGACTGACGCTACCGTTTCTTGTGCGCGATAAGACTTTTCGTTTCCACTCTCCGTAGCCACGATCTCTTTAAAAGATTCGAATTTAATGGTACGGATGTTACTTACGTTGAGCGGATCTCTTTGAATAAAACTTTGCAAGAATAATCGCGTCTTAAACGTTGTATAGCACGAAACCTTTGCCAGTCGATAAATATTTATTCGGAGATTAATGGTGTCGACGAATACAATTGCCTCGCGATCGGACGGAATCGCACTGTAAAACTTAGCTGCTCTATCGCGATATTACTACTACGGTGATATTGATATCGACGAGTTAAAAACCATATCCGAAGAATGTCATTTGTGCAGGAGAGAAATTGATTCTACGTAAATTGGACGTTCTTTCCCGTTCGATAATTCTGAAGAAAGATATTACATCGCAGCTATTCGTTGATACGGCGTTTCATTTGACTCGTTGTGGTCCGTTAAACGTCGCGACCAGTTTAATTAACGTTAATCGGGCACTTAGAGGTATTTAAATGGGCGATTCGTCCCAAATCCTGCGACGTATATATACCTGCGGAATAATCGAATCTTCCTATCGTATATCTGGGTACGGAACACCCTTGTTTCTCGTTGTTATCGTGTTATTCTTCCCTTCGCGTTTTTAATATTATCATATATTATTATTCTTCGATAATTACGTATCCGTACCTCTGATGAAAAAACGTTACGCTGGACATGAAAGTCGAGAAAAAAATTATCTATTTTAAGAGATTTCTCCGTTACCCGAGCACATTTTCTTTTTTTGACCTTCCGACTCCACGGAAAGATATCCTTACGAGCTGTGCGTAACCATGATTCGACGATCGAACTTACGCTTGTAATTGGACCTCGATATCTGTTAATATCTGCAAAACTTATAAGTGGACGGAGAGAGAAATTTTCGATTTCCTTCGCGTGTAACCTAACCGAAACTCTTGGTACGCTGCTCTGGATTTGCCAAAATAAATAGAAAGAAAACCAAAGTATATATCAAGGACGCGATAACGTATTACTACGGTTACGATAAACCGAAAAAAAATATAAAAGAAATGCACATGGCGCTGGGTTGTTGGATACCGACGAAACATTTGCGCACCTTGACGAATCCGAGCTTAGTGACGGGTCTTCGGTGAAAGATGCTCTTGTAAATTTATTTTCTGATGCTTCCCTATCTGTAAGTAGATATTCCCACTCCGAGTCCAGACAATTCGTGTCTGCGTCCTTAACGATTCGACTAAAATTCGTTACCTCTACGTGGCAACTGCAACCTCACTTAACCAGACTTGGATTCACGACCAATATGCAGCTCTGTGACTATAAAAAGACCATTGGTGTCGGAATTATGAAAGAATAACTCTACGAATTCAAAAATCACCAGAGTCTTGGGTTCGTACGAACGAACGAACGAACGAACGAACGAACGAACGAACGAACGAACGAAGGAACGATCGATCGTACGCAACGTGCATTCCATGTCGTGGAGGCTCTTGAAATTCTGTGACAGAATTTCAAGAGCAGCATAATCGATGTTTGGTACACGATGAATCTACCGTCGTTGACGTCCCAGGTAAGCCTTGCAGTTTGGACAAGTATGGTGTACGTCCATGCACTCGTCGATGCAGCAGGGAATTAAACAGCACCCTAACCAACACCTGCAAAGTTTGTCTTGATTAACTTTATATGAATATTATAAACTACAAGGTAATATTACAAAATTGCGATAGTCTTTTGAGATTGTGTTAAAATTGTTTTTCGAATTACCCTAGCAATCCAATAATAATGCCGGAAACATAGGCAATCATTCCAGGCTCGGTTTTAGTCGTCGTGTCAATTTCTGCATGGCAGTGAGGACAGATAGTGTGGGTCGGTCCTGGTCCTAATGGTACGATTGTTGTGACAATGGTAGGTCCATTGGCATCTATAACGCGAGAGACTTTCTATCAATACGTATGTCTACATGTATCGATTAAGAGTAATTTAAGAAAAAGTACTTTAAATAACTTTAATTTGTGGCACAAATGATTGCATTACCAGTGAAGAAATACTGCAACCTGTATAGATATTTTAAAAATAAGTATTAATGAATAACTAAATTTTAAGGATGTCATTAATGTAACCGTTATTAAGTGAACATAGAAAGTATACTTGGTTGTTACGATTCCAACTCTAGTTTAATCAAATACGGGTGTGAAATTTTTAGATTACGTTCTACGTCTCGACAAATCTCGCTACATTAATAATTCAGTAAATTCTCACATGCTTCTGCCGGAGTAAATGGACTGGCTGGTGGAACTCCGCCCACGCACTGAGCATAACTAGGCGGTGCGTACGGAGGAGACTCGTATGGTGGTGGTGGTCCGTTTTTATTCATGCTGCTTTCTTTGCTCGGAGAAAGAGGAACCCGTATCAAGGCACAAAAATTACTAATAACTTGTAGCTCGTTTATCACAAATAATCTCGCTCAAAATCTACTTGTTATTCTTTGTAAAGGATAAAAACAAGTGCGCTTCTCATAATAAACTAAACGCTGCATCAATTTCTAACGACATACAAAATATGAAAAATTCATTTCACCGGGAGGATCGTTGAAAAACAAAGCTCGAAGGAATAATTTCTGAGTGGAAACTTTTGACGAGGTCCCAAAATTTCTGGAAAAAAACGAAATAAATAAGGAGAAAGAAAAGTACTTAATATTTTATTCTTACATGAATTGTTACTCTGGAGTACTACGTCGTCCACATCATCATGAAATGGATAACTTATACTTGTCAATGGAATGTCGCGCCTCTCGTTGCGAACGAAGAACTCGAACAAAATGCGCAAATTGACATGACAGTTCATGGTCGTGGAACTACGATGCGAAGGTTGAATTCATTGCATAAAAAAAATGCTGCACATGCGTTATGCGCGATAAAGCGATCGGTCATGCAAGCTGCACATGCGTGAGATTATTCATAGAAGGGAATTCTACATTAATACCGGCCATTCCCCAAATACACGTGACCTAATTACGAAACGCTATATATGTCATCGATGACACCTTCGCGATTAAGGATTAAGAAAAGTTGCGTCTCTTGTGTTTTTAGTGTGATTCATGGCGAGAACGTTTCACCGGTGTTAACCTACCTACTCGAGCCAAGAGAATATTCTATCAATTAAAGCTGTCTGACTCGTGCTTCGTAAGAATATGATCTATATGATATCCCGAGGCGCGATATATTCGCTCGCGGTCTAATCGGGAGAACCATCAAGAACTATGAAGTCATCGTAGTCGTAAACAGACATTAGAAAACGGTGGGGCGCATAAACCATAAGTCACATAAAATGTAGATCGCTTCATTCGTTGCGATAAAAGGAGCTAGAACTTTCCGTTGATCCGCGTCGAACGATGTCTATCCATGACTTTGTTCGCTTCTCGCACTTTCACCTCGCATGAAAAATCTCATAATTTCACCGTTGTGAAAGGCAGAATCGCAAACTGTTGATTCCTTTTCGCATCTTCATTACTATCAGAGATGGCTACTATTGACTACGTCTCCATCGTATGTACTCCTAAATCCAAGATTTATCGAGTCCAGATCCGATAAATCCAGCGTTTAAGTGTCGAAATTTCAAATCCGCGGAATGGCGGCGAGCTCACGATCTGCGATTGGTCGATTCGAAGAGTCGCGCCGACGCAACTCGATCGGGCTAGCATGACGTAACGTCCTCGCGGAACTGGCAATTTTGCGAGGCGCAGGCGCATTCCGAAGCTTTTCTCGAGTCGGAATCCCAGAAAGTGTCGCGAAAAGCAGCGAAAAGGAAGGAGAGGAGAAGAGACGGCGCGGGCTTACACGACAGAGAAAGAGAACAGACGGTTGCGGCCAGTTGCGGCGGAGAGCGTGGTACCTTTGCGTGCCGCTCGAGGAAGGTTCGGCCGTGTCTTCCCGTTGTAACCTGTCACCCACGATCAAGGAAGTCGAGGTCGACACACAGCCAGCCCGAGCTAACACCACCGACAGAGTCCTCGCGCAGACCAACAAAATGTCCAAGTCCGAACAAGTCTTGATGATCGAGCCGCCGAGCGAGCTCAGATTCAGAGGTAACGAGACGAGACGAGACGAGGCGAGACGAGGCGAGCTTTGATTTGCCTTCCGATTCGCTTTTCTTCGGCCCCGCGGACATGTGTTCCAAGTACGGAGGCGTTCCGACAAAGGCCATGGCCGATGAATCGTCATCGTCATCGTCGTCGTCGTCGTCGTCGTCGATGACTCTTTTAAGAGATTTTGCTCGCCCTTACCGGGAAATTCAGCTATGAGAGTCATTCTCTGAGATCTGGATCGGAGGTCTTTTAGTCTTCGGTTGTATGGCCTCTATGTGAAAGGTCGCCGATGGTGGTGCTTCTTTCGACAAAGGAATTTTCATCTTCGGCTTTACGAACTCTCTGATGAACTCTTTCCAACGTTTGGTCCAATGACCACCTCTCTTAAGCATGCCGGCGACATGAAGGGTATCCATTGCCATTAAATGATTACTGAGTCGGCTGACGATTACTATTCTTTCTTAGTATTGATCATTGATTTAAATGACTGAGCTTTTTTTCGCTTTGAACGGAGGAAGTAATAATTGCATCTAAAAAAAGCAGTTAATCTTGATGACTAGCAAATAAAAAGTTAATGTCACGATTTGTCCCAAGAAGGTGTTCGGTTCCAATGACTGGCAGATAAGTAATCGGCATCGTGCGTGAATCGTTATCTGTCCAAGAGCTACAGCGACACGAAAAAATGCCATGGCCTATTCCAACTATATATAAAAATTGCACTTGTGAAGTAAAGATGCGATGAAAACTAATGCTCTCTATTTATTACAGGCCCATTCACAGGAAATTCGGTTATGTCGTACTTAAAGCTGACGAACCCAACAGATCGCAAAGTATATTTTAAAATAAAGACAACTGCACCAAAGAAGTATTGCGTCAGACCTAACTCTGGATGTCTTTTACCGAAGGAGGTTACTGAAATTGCAGGTATCAGAATATGCACTCATCTATTCGTTAATGTTTAACATTTAGCAAATGATAACCGACACTGTTTTAATCGCTAAAGGAAGTTATCGAAATAAGAGGTATCAAAATATGCACAAATTTATTGGTTAATTTTGCAGGTTTAGCAATTGTTAATTCGTATCGTTCTATTGGTTGGAAGTAGTAAACGAATATTAAAATGTGCATAAACATTTTGAATTTTAAGTAGAAGTCTTGATAATCTTTTTGATTTTTAAGTAGTTTATTTAAAAAGAAGAAAATATTTGGTACCGACCGATTGCTCGTTAATATTTTGACAAAAGTTGTATTGATTTGCCTTCTACATTAAAGTGCCCTGTGTTCCAGTTTGTCTACAAGCGCAAGAATTTGAACCTTCGGATAAAAACAAGCACAAGTTTATGGTCCAGACATTAATAGCTCCAGAAGGTGATACGGATGATAATGTATACGACTCTGTGGTAAGCACGCAATGATTTGTTCAAGCATCATATTTTTTATCACCAATTTGCATCGTTCCAGTACTTTTCATACTTGAGGGGGTTTGAAACTGACTTTTTCCGTGACTGAGCTTATTGACATATGACTTTTTCACTACTTGTAGAGATTAGTAGAAGAAACTAAAACTTGGATGAGCATGTCAGATTCAAGGGATACCATTTAATGGCGGAGAAATTGTTTGGAAAAAATAGGTTTTCAATGTTACGCCAAGAAAAGTGCAAAGCTATAATGTCAGAGTACATGTTCTACGTGCCAAATAGGAATGAGAATTTATTTCTGCATTTCACTTTAATATCATATTTTTTATAACACTGTACATACTGCCTCGTTTCAAGAAGTAACGGAACATTAGTTTAACCACAACTTGCTCGTAACGTTTTTAGTGGAAATCAGCAAAGCCGAACCAACTAATGGACTCTAAGCTGAAGTGTGTGTTTGAAAATCCCGTGGACCCTACCAACACAACCGAACACACCACGAATGCAAGCGTCACGCAATCTGGTGCCAATGCTGCCAACGGCAAGAACAAGGGAACCGGGGATTCGGTCAAGTCTTCTCCAAAGGTACTCCACTCGTGTCAAAAAAATGGCTGCGGGTTTCAAAGCCAGGAGTCACGGTCCACGGTTACTTCCAAAATGCATAATATAACGCCGACGCTTCTTTCGCTCGATCCAAAGTCTTGCTACATGTATTTTCTCTTTCCGTCGAAAACAGCCGGCACCGGAGGTCAGCAAGGAACTCGAGAAAGCAGCCTTGGTCGTTCAGCAATTGAGAATCGAAGAAAGCAACCTGAGGCAAGAAAATATCCAGTTAAAGGTACGAACTTAGCGGTAGGCTCGCCCAGGTTTGGGTAGCTATATGTCACGTAATATACGTCGAAAAACGCGAACTTACTGAACCCGTAGCTCGCCTTTTACGCAATTGGCGATCGGCCTGCCCCCCCCCCCCCCCCAAGCGGTCGGAACTCGTACCAAACGGATGATGACGTTTATTCTTCTTTCAGGAGGAGCTGTTAAAGCTGGGCAGCGCAAACCTGGAGACGGCTACGAGGGATCATCAACTGACGAGCCTGATCTCGCACAGTGGCGGCCTCGCCTTCGATTCGCCGACGTTCACAGTGGCAGCGGCGGTCGCCATTTTGGTACTCGGCTACCTCTTGGGGAAACTAATCTGAGCAGCTTCTATTCTGCGCGATACCACGTGGCGTCAACCCCCCCTCCTCCCCTCCCCCCCACCCACGCTCTCTGTCTCTATCTGTCTCTCCCGCTCCTCCCCGTTCCCCGTCACCCTATCTCTCTCTGTCTCCACGATTTCGCAGCCCGTCTCTTCCCCGCGAACGCGACCGCCATTAACTACGATCGGAAGGAAAAGATCGACTAGCGAGCACGAAACGAGGAGAACGCAACACGGAATAGGGGAGGCCACTTCGTTAGTCCGGTTAACCGCCATTGTTCACGAATAAGCGTTAGTGTCGATTTCTATGCTAGTGGTCCGCATGAAAAAAGCGAAACGTGCAAAAAGATTATTAACACGGAGACGTGTCTCCTAGTCCGGGGTCGCCGTCTTTAAGGCTATGAGAAAGTGGCGTTGAAGAGATCTCGTTTGTGAAAACTTTGGACCGAATCGATGTAAACTTTAGAATATCAATATGGCGGGTATAAGGAGGATCCTGAAACTCAAGAAAGGCGTGGAATTTCAAATGTAAAAAAATTTGTTTCGTAGTCATTTTTAAAATTTCTTGTAAAATATGAAATTTCATGGATGCCAGGGCCTTCCTTATGGTCTCTACATTCACGTTGCAGAGTTTCAACGATTCGGTGCATCCAGTTCGCAGTGAAGTCTCGTGAACGATTAATATCTCCGATGCCACTTTCATGTCCCCTTAACTAAGCTCTCCTGTAAGGCCACGGGAGTTGCCACTATTCGGAGTTCTAACGTAAAAAAAGTATATATATATATATATGTGTATAAATATATAAATATGTGTATGATATTTGCCAAGCGAACACAGAGCATCACCAAGGGTGTCGCTCGTCCACGTGTTTCTCTCTTTTTTTTGTTTTTTATCTCGATATCTTCCGGTTTCGCCGACCTTGCTTTGGCCCGGACGAGGCCTCCGATTCGTCCTCCAGAGATTTTGTTGCTCGTTCTCTCCCTTTCTCTCTCTTATCTCTTTTTATCTATCGCTTCGTGACGTTTCCCCCGTCCACGAAGCAAGCACAGACTCATGGAGGGATATCTATCTTTGTCGTGCGCGAGGGGCAACAAAAGGGCCGAGAATTTGCAGTCACCTTTTCTTTTCCTCTGTATCCCTGGTACCATGTCGCCACTAGATAAGTAAATTATTGAATGTCAATAAAAGCTATACACATGTACGAGTCTGAGTTGGTGGCCTCATTACGGGGATTTCATCGCAGTCTACGATTGAATAACGAGGAAATTGTTGGGATTGCGGTACCCAGGGAAGGAAAAGACGTGAATTCACGTCAGCGGTACCCAGGGAAGGAAAAGACGTGAATTCACGTCAGCGGTAACTAGGGAAGGAAAAGACGTGAATTCACGTCAGCGGTAACTAGGGAAGGAAAAGACGTGAATTCACGTCAGCGGTAACTAGGGAAGGAAAAGACGTGAATTCACGTCAGCGGTAACCAGGGAAGGAAAAGACGTGAATTCACGTCAGCGGTACCCAGGGAAGGAAAGACGTGAATTCACGTCAGCGGTACCCAAGGAAGGGGTTGAAATTTTCGATTTGTAACAGGAACATAGGATAACCGAGGAGGGGGGATGGAGCTCCCCCCCAGGCATACATATAATAATATAAATAAAATGATAACGCATGTTCTGTATTTAAAAGAAAAGAAAAAAAAAGCGAAAAATATCACACAAGGCAGTAACGACTTTTTGCGATACTGACAGTAAGGATGGTATGGTACGGATGGTTCAATTATCGTCTTAATAATTGAAATATATCGGGTGGTTCGTCACAAACGAAACTGAATATCCCAAATATTATTATCAAATATAGAAATATTGTATAGAATAAGGAGGGCTAACATTGCTAAACTTATTAAATATTGGATAAAACGTTCTTCTTTCTTGCGCATAAATCTTGTGGAAAAAAAAAAATTAGCTAAAGCTTAAATCGTAAGGAATGAACATCGGATCACTAACAAGTATGATAAGTACAAATGAATCGAGGTATTGTTACGCCAAGTAAAAATTGATGTATAATTGTGTACTTAAACGGTATTTCAGCTATTATAAACTAAAGCTCTGACGCAATTGTTAGGCTAATGCAGGTGAACAGAAAAATGGCTAATTTGATACTTCCTTCTCCCCTAAATGCGTTTCATTGGATTGTTTAAAGAAACATTCTCGAAAGCTCCGTGAGCAGTGAGAAAAAAAAAATGTCATTGAACCAAAGAGATGTTCTGTTGATTCAATTAATTTACATTCTAAGTACTGAAAAGCCACTTTCCGTGTAGAGAATACACCTTGACACCCTGTATCACGGAAATAACTAAGGCACGCTCCAATAAGGAGCGTTTAGTCGTTACATTATCTTTAGATGTGCTCCACAGATCTAGTAAGTGGAACGGAAAATACTGATACTTAAGAATGGAACGCCTACTTAGCTGAAATGAACGCTTACCCACTGTTAAAATATTATTTCGCTATTAAGATCGACGCAAGGCTCTGCTTCGTGTACTAGTTCACTATTCAAGTACCTTAATAAACTTCGATCCCATCGAGTGAGATCCATTTTATCGATGCCTATCGACGACCATTTGGCAATTCAAGTTACAAATCATACCGTCGAAAGAAAAGTAACTCAAAAGCCAACAGTGACATCGTCGTAGCATAACATTATTATTAAACAATTTGCCTACGGTTTATATGGATCACTTCGTAACGAAAATCCCAAAAGGAATTTAGGAATCGACTCGTTTATTTTTCTTCACTATGTACTCGTGGTTATATGATCGGAGAGAATGATCGAAAAACCACCGAATGACCAAATGAAATTCAGTAAAATGAAAAGGCACTGTAGTTTTACAGTTGGCACACGCTATTCCCTTGCCTTCTTAGAAATATATCAAAGATGCTTCTAAATGACGCCTCTCGAGGGTTCCAATCCCTAACCTTCAAAACCCACTCGTCTTTTACCACCAACGTCAAGCGGATGATAATCCCAGCTAACGCACCATTGTACTTATGAATATTCTTTAAATCTATTAATATACTCCGGATATTCGCAATATTTACGCGATATTTTAGGAATATTAACAGCTGAGCTCAACTGGCGTTCGATACGTCTATATCGATCGTTTCTTCCTTAATTAACGACCTCTTGTCCTCCTTCCCACCGCTGTGTTTCTTGCCACCTCCTTTGCGCTTTCCACGATTAATAACTCCGTTCTCCTCGTCCATCATCCGTAATATTTGCGTCTGATCGGAACTCTCGACAGGCGCAATGGATATGTCTCGTACTGCTCGAAACTTGCCGCAATTATTCAAGTGCTCGTTCTCCAGCCGAAAGAAGTTCCAAATGAACCGCCTTAAAAATGAAGAGCAAGGTATATCGAGCTCGCAAACCATCCTCAAGGCATTAAGGTATTACGAAAGGGTCATTCTATATACCAATAAGTCAAAATATTTATTATAGTTCTCTCCAAACTGGGCGTGCCGAATAACTCGAAACTTTAACTCTCGACTATGGAAGTCCTGACGAAGGTTTCAGATTATTCGGTGCACCCAGTTGGGAGAAAAGTTAGATCAATATTTTCACGTTTTTACATGACTCTCCAATGAAACCTTAAATATTCCGCATATTACCTGAAGACCTCCAGCGGAGCCGAGATAGAAGTCATTAAGTCATTGGAAATGTATCCGTACTCGATCAGAATGTAGCTCGCAACCCAAGAGAATCTCAGGAAGAAGTCTTCGATGATGGCAAAGTAGTAGAAGCTCTGTAAAAAACATCGAATAGCTAATTTAAAGTATACTCGCAAATTACCATTCAACGGAGACATTGTAAATATAAAATCGTTAACTGCTCCTTACAGCGGAGGAGTAAACCACTTCTTCCCGCAGAAATTTATTCTCTCCAGCATTGCTGTCCAGCAGACCCCAGTCCATTTTGATGTCCCACGTGTAGGAATAAATCGAGTTGAAGATGCAACTCGCTAGCCACATCCAAAGCCACGGACTGTCCCAGTTGTTCGTGTATTTATCTATGAGTAAGGTGATATGAAAGGGTTATACTATACATATATATATATATAATCCTGCTACAATTTTGCTTTTAAGTTAAGGATCAATCAAATAAGGATAGTAACTCGATGCTCAATTACCTGCATGATAACTCCTGAGAGTCGCACTGATAACGACGAGAAAAGTGGTCGAATACTTCCCCGCATTGACCAAGTGAGGAAAGGCCTCCTTCGAGTCGCGATAACGACGTATGCACTGAGCAAATCTGAACCAGGCCGGCAAACAGTTAACGATGGGCCTGACGATTAAAGAGCCGGACATGCATTGCGTCGTATCTCCGGCGTCCAACCAGTTTCCGTTGGTGGCGTAAAAACAGGCAAGAAAATGGAAATCCAACAGGGCGGTTGCCAGACTGTTCAACTGGTCGGCCAGCCAGAAATCCGCAAAGTTGACAAACACAAATGGCGCTATCAGGACTCTCCACTGAAATGTTAACGCCGGGAATTAGTGAAATATGGACGGTTCCTCCAAGCCGCGACCGAAGATACCTTACGAAATAATTAAGGTTATATGAAAAGCGCTGAGAAATTTAATCGACGTCGATTAAATAGAATTCATCTATACCTTCTTTGGTGGTAATGCCATTTTGGATACTAAAGTAGTAACGTATGCCCTTGCAACCTGAAAGAAATGGCCTGGAAGGGCTCGTGTGCTTACCATTATCCTTAACAACCAGAATCTCGCCTCGTGATGGAACATCCTGAACGGATTCAGCAGGAAGGCAAGCATAATTCCGACGAGCACCAATGGATTCACGTAGGGAGGGATGCTTAAACTGGCACTGTATAAAAAACTGAGCAAGCTGAGGGTCCATACTACTCCTAGGACTGCTGCGAGCTCCATGAGGTGCTGCTCCGACAGATGATTTCTTGGATCCAATTCGAATATTAGGACGTGATTCACTCCAGAGGACCTCCATCCGTAAACGTTAACGCCGATAAGGAAAAGAACTTGGATGAGCAGTAGTGGTCCTCGGTACAAGCGAAACGCTATTTTGAGGTTCTCTCCCCCGTCATGAAACATTGCTGTCGACAGAAATAGAATTAAGTGGACTCTTTAAAACAATCTTAACAAGTGGACCGTAACATTAATTTTAATTAAGGAAAAGTAGAAAAATATACTGCTAATTATTATTTCTAATAATTAGTGTAGAACGTTTTTACTGTCTCGGGTGAGTCAACGGTTACGACGAGAATGACTTATTTTGTATATTTTTTGCGTCTTAAATTTCTTAACGTATTAAAAAATCTTTCGTACCTGACAAGACGACTGCTACGAAAAGAATGATAAAACTGCCAGAGAACAGTCCTACTTTGAATGTAGTCCAGGGACTCTGATGTTCGCCAAGGGGAGGCACTCTGAGTCTTTTCATGGCCCGCTGTCGGTCCCCGCCTTCGAGCCCGCTCGTAACGGTGGCTTCGGTATCTTGAATTAGTCTGTCGATGTCCTTTGACGTATAAAAATGAGACGTTTCTACGCATTCGACTCGCCATTTTGAACCAGTATCGACTGACAGGAGCTGAAATGATTTCGTTAGGGCTAAAAAAAAGAGTGGTTTTGTAATCATCCTCCTGCTTTATCAAATGATTCTTATTACGTGAAGTATCCGTCACTGTTACACTGGAAGGAAAAGATTTGGAATCCTCTGGACATGTTCAGGAATGCATGGAAATAAGTTCTGGAGCAATGTAGGGAATCGGGCATAAAACTGCAAATTAATACTACAATGCTAGGAATCTCAGAAATTATTCTCTATTACGAAATCATTTATAAACCCACTACCATTGCTACCTCTTGAATATGTATTTCAATTTCTCATAATTACGAATCATCTATTTTTAAATATTGAAATAACTCATACCTTATCATGTTTTTTCAGTATCTTGCGAAAGCCAGTGTAATTGAGATTTTGATAGTTCTGCAAGAGAATGAGCGAGAGGTAAAACTCCGAAAATGCAAGTTTCAGTTCTCGCAGTTTCCGAGTGGGCAGATGTGATTTTGTTATGACTTTTCCTTTTCCTTTCCCGCCATGATGCAATTCCAGAGCCGTCATCAGCTCGCTCTGCAAGGCAGCGTACTTGCGCGTGGCCTCTGCCAGCTTCTCTATACCGGATTCAAGAGGTTCATTATTTACTGACATCAAAGGACATTAAAAATTGTATTTCCATAAAAAAGTATATCTCACCGGAATAAAATGTATTGATCTTTTTAAGTTCTCGGTCGCAGAAGGTAAAGAAAACCTCATCGAATGATGCAAAGTGACGAGAAATGACTTCTGGCTCTACGCTCTCAGCCGAAGGAGCCTCTTCGACAGCTGCATAAAGCATTGCCTTCATCTCCTAATATAAATAAGATGAATTAGTGCATAATTTCAAAATGTTGATTTTTCTAAAAAATTATTCGTTTTTGTTACCTCATAACTAATGTACTGTTTCCGCCACTCGGGTGTAATGTGCGCGGAAAGATGCTCCGCAAACTTCATTGTGTGTTTTTCTCCAATGTAGCTAATAAAAACGAACCTATAATAAGGAAATTAATTTTTTAGCACCACTCATAGACTCTCATCTTTTGCTGGCAAATTAAATTTCTTTCTTTTTCCATATTCAATTACGTTATAGGTTATGTATACGATAACCTATGCATGCATAACGTACACAGAAACTTCCCGAGAAAAGATAACACAACTTCTACTAGCGCAGCTTGCTGAACCTGCTGGTAAGAAGTATTAAAAGATATTAAAGGATATTTGTAAAAATAAAAAACACCTAGTAATTTACTATAAAATAACTGGGTAAATTACATAGGGGATTTTACTTGTCCAATCTTTCCCACTAATGTACATACCTTTCGCGAACTAACCTCAACGTTTCCGGGACTTGTTCACGTTCGAGCTAACCTTTTGCCTTACCTTACTTTTGCAATTCTATGGTCAGGAAGTTCCGTCGCAAACTCGCATGACCTATCTTTCTTCATTTCAGAAAGCATCAGAAAGTGACAACGTAAAACGTACGTTAGACGTTCGTTAATGTCTTTTTGAAGATTCCTGTCACGGGAACGTCTTTTGGACGTAAATTCAAATAAATATGGTAAGATTAAATAAAAATTAAACATTTTCCTCGTAGCCTTATTCCGGTACTTTTCCCTTAACCTCCAATATCGCGTCGCAGACTCGCAATACATTTATTAAATTCATAATCGAGGATCCTTATATACAGTATTAAGAAATGTCTACTCGTATTTCTCCATTTTTTAATTTTCTTCCTTAAACAGCTCATACGTTCAATTTAGTATTTGAAAATGAATTGGACTACTAATCGACGTACTCCGATACTTTGCATTCTCATGTACTCGATACCGCTGTGAATAGTTTTTGTTTTTATCCCTGTCGTTCATCTCGCCGATTACTTAAGTTGGAGGTTTGCGTTAAATATTGTGTAGGTACCGAACAAAATATGATAGTGATACTCAGCGGTTTGTTTCAGAAACCCTTAATGTTGCACGGTCACGATCGTGCGATCACGACGATTAAATACAACAGAGAAGGTGATTTGTTATTCTCTGCCAGTAAAGACAAACAGCCTAACGTTTGGTACTCTTTGAACGGAGAACGCCTTGGTACTTTCGATGGCCACAATGGTTCGGTTTGGTGTATCGACGTCAGTTGGGACACGACGAAACTCATGTCCGGCAGTGGTGACAATACGTTACGTATATGGGACTGCCAAACAGGTGACTAAATTACCCTTAAAGTTACGATTTAATTCTATGAAATGGTTCCTAATTTATCATGAAGCCAAATCAAACGTCCAACAGGAAAGGAGATCGGTCAAATGTCCACAAAGAGTTCCGTGAGGACTTGCAGTTTCAGTTATTCGGGAAACATGGCTGTGTTCTCCACCGACAAAGCTCTAGGCCAACAATGTGAGATGCTAATGATCGACACGAGAAACGTCGAAAGCACCATCGATGCCAACGATGCATACTTCAAAATCCTAATGCCTGGCTCTCGTGTCTCTGCAATTTTGTGGGGAGCTCTCGACGAGACCATTATCACTGGTCATGAAGACGGAGAGATCATTATCTGGGACGTCAGGGTAAACTAACCTTAAACATTTCTCTACTTTATTTGTACGCTCTACGTTACCCCTGTTTTATTAACTGGTGTTGCACCATTTTTTACAGACCGGTAAGAAAATAAACAACATGAAAGCCCACAAGTCTCAGATTAATGACATGCAGTTCAACAAGGAAGGCACGATGTTTGTTACGGCATCGAAAGATCATACCTCGAAGCTCTTTGATAGCGAGTCTTTGATGTGCGTGAAGACTTACAAGACCGAGAGACCTGTAAATTCAGCAACGATCTCTCCTATTCTTGATCATGTAAGTGCATATCTTTAATTATTTTGGTTGCACATCCCCTTAAGGTGATGTGAAAGTGCAAAACATTGTTCTTATTGTTTTGGGAAGGTTGTATTGGGTGGTGGTCAAGATGCGATGGACGTAACCACAACCTCGACTCGACAAGGGAAATTCGACTCTCGTTTCTTCCATTTGGTGTTCGAAGAGGAATTCGCTCGTTTAAAGGGCCACTTCGGTCCAATCAATTCGTTGGCTTTTCATCCTAGTGGACGCAGTTTCTCGACAGGAGGAGAAGATGGTTATATTCGAATCAATACGTTTGACCAATCTTATTTCGACTTCCATTTTGAATATTAATTATATTACCGAATAAACTGTACACCTGCGTATACTTAAACTGTATACTTGGAGGGCTACTGGGAAACGAGAACACTACGTAATACACGTCGTGGTAATAGAATGTTGCCCTCCGTTTGGCACGGAACACCTTAAACCTGTCCGTGTAAAAATATAAAAAAAGAAAGGAACAAATAGATTTAGACGTGTCTTACATCGTACCAAGTATTACGTTAGAAAAATACATCTGTACAAAAATATATATATATATACTTATATACATACACATTAAAGGTACTTGCGTAACAAAGTTAATTATGTTACGTCAAATATCTTTAATGTGCACATTGATAAAGGCTTTTGGTGATAAGTCTATAATTCTAAAATTTCTACCCAACGTAAGTCTTTATATGGATGTACAGACCTTTTCTTTATTCTGTATATATTAGTTATATATTTAAAATGTGTATGGTATTGTCAACTTTGAACTTCTCGATTTTTAAAATGTTCCGAAGGAGTAGACCCCTCCGTCCGGGAGTTTAATTTTGCACCGCAGGGTCCTAACCAGTCTTTCGATTTGACAGTAGCAACACGAATGCTATGACATAAGTTTGTGTTATTTACAACCTGGCTTACTTATAGTAGTCAGAATAAAGCGCTATGACCGATAAAAACTGATAATTTGGAATCAGTGTCGGAACGAAAAGCAAAAGCACTACTAAATAATTAAATCCGTACGTTAAGAGATCGATTCTCCGAGAAATGCTTTGCACTTTACATATTCATTTAATCGCTTATAACAATATAAGGAGACACTTTGATCTCCGTAACCATCGTTCGATCGGCATTTCTTGTCTCCGTTAGCTTAATTTAATTTGAACATCACTCGCTCTACTCTAATTCCTTTTCAGAGCACTCTGCGCATTTAAAATACACATCGATCTAAATGTCATACCAGATCCGACACTAATCCTAATTATATCACTGCGAAACTTATTTCGGCTTGGGATTTTGCTTGTGATAAGGATGAGTGGTCCCAATGCCACGCCGCTCTTTATTTCTAACAACTTTGAGATTCGCGTCTACTAATGGCACCGTAGGAGTTGGCGCTATGAACTCGACAGGGTCGGGGAGCTTCGCCTTGTCGCTCTTCAATTTATTCAAAATGGCGATACTTTTCGCACTCATAACCGAAGCTACTTTCCGGGAGTTGTTATTTTCCTTTCCAATTGCTCCAGCAGTAGGTTTGGTCTTGACCTTGAAAGTTGGAGCCCTTTTTAATACCTTACTCGCAGGTGGCCTCGTAGCGGATTGACTATTGTCCTCCAAGGCTCGTTTCTTAACTTTTGTCTCCTCCACGTTAAACGTACTATTGAGTTCGCCAGACGTAGAGCAGCCGGCAATTGCTGATTGTTCCATCATCGATGACTCGACAGGCTTGTCGTGTAGAGTAATGGTCGTATCGGGATCTTTGGTGCGAGTTGATAGAGTACTCGGAAGAAGGGCATTTCCAGTTCCAACTGGAGTATCACTTGTACCACCGAGCTTCTCCTGGGAGTTCTGGTCTTCGTCGTCGGAGAGTGACATTAACGCTGGCATTTCATTAACCAACGGTTCCATAAGTCTCTCGATACTTAAACAATTCAGTTTATAAAAGTCTCCTTGATCGTCCGATGAGTTCGAGTCGAGCCACCTAATGTTTCGCACACCCTCCAACGACTTAACCACCTTCTGAAACTCTTCCTTCATTTTATCCGTCATGTTTCCGAAGACTCCCCTCATGTTGCACTGTTTCTGCAGCGCTGCGGACAACGTCTTCACCATAGTAGAGAGCGATTGTAATTCACACTGTTGGAGATTGTTCAACTTCTTGGCATGTTCCCTGTAGAGTCGTTCTCTGGAACATTCGATGACGGAGTTATGCAGCGCAATAGTCCTTTCAAGCTTGTTAGCGAGTCCTTTAGCCTCGATCTCGGAGTATAGAGCCTGAAGGTCTGTCTCAACGGTCCTCAGCTCCTCCCAGACGGCCTCCATCTGGATCCTGATAGCGTCTCTTTGGCGTTTAAAGTGATGCATCGATTTACTAAGCCGCAACTTTCCACTGGCGTTCTTCTCCTCCTCCGACTCGTCATCGGTCAAGTTGTACAGCCTCTCATCGGCAGCCTTTTTGTACTGGATTCTACAACAGAACATTTTGTCAGCACTCTCGAGGGATAACATCTTCTCGTTCAATGCCTTCTTCTTGTCGAACAGCTCCTGCAGTCGACCGTTCATCTCTACTAGGTTATCGTCCAGTTCTTCCATAGGTCTTTCATCGCTTGACGGAGGAGACCCTCCTTGCCCACCCTCCATTGCTAACAATTTCTGCTTGAGAATGTATATCTCCTTTTTCTGTTCCTCGACCATCTTAATATATCCAGTGACGTGCATCTGGCAGGAGACGATGTTCTTTTTAACGTTCGTCTTGATCTTCTTCGCTCTGTCTGCATACCGAAGAGTGTTGTAAGTGTCTTCGTAGCTGCAGCTCGAAGGCCCTACGTTAGCAATCATTACGGTTTGGCAGTTTCCACCCAGAGAGTCTTTCAGCAGCCTAGTTAACTTCGAGTCTCTGTACGGTATGTGTTTAGTGCCGTCTGCTAATTTGTTAATGCAGTTTCCTAAAGCCAGGAGAGATTTGTTGATGTTTGCGCCTTCTTTGAAGCGATCGCCTTTGCAGCCTGTCGCAGCAGCTCGCTCCGACCCTGCCAAATCGATCATGGATAATTTTACATGTTTCACTTGGCCGTCCAGTTTGTTCTTAATGTTGATGAAGACTTGAAAAACTGCATGGCTGCGGCTGCTCTCCTTGTTAGCGTCCGTTGGATGTTGAGTGCGATTCCTATTCCCCTTCGCTAACAGTGAAAGTAACTCTTCGGCATTCTGGATTGGAATAACCTTAAGATTTGATACGATGATTCCGCATCTGCCATCGTCTCTTATATGTAGCGGCCCAGTTTTATGGAGCAAATCTTGAACGTTCTCGTTATACACTTCCAGATACGTCACTCCGAGATTAAAGTCTCTCTGTTCACTCTGCGCTTCGATCTGGATGAACAATTCAGCAACGGTGCGGTACGTTATACCAGGATCTATTTCTTTCCCTAGCATCGTGTGAGTTTTCCCGGCTCCTGTCGCTCCGTACGCAAAGACGGAGCAATTATAACCCTCCAGTAAACTCCCGATGATATCCTTCGTAGTCCCTCGGAATACATCTTCGTTCGTACAAGTTTGGTCGAAGACTCGATTGAAGATAAACTGGAGTTCCTTGTTTTGCTTCTTCAAGAGATTTCGCCCTTTCTGCTCGACGCCTCTGTAAAAAAATGGATTCTGCTCCTCCTTAGGGTCGAATATTAACATCTTGTCGTCGACTACGTTAATGACTGTCCTGTAATTGTCCTGCATCTCGCGCTCATTGTCAGGGCGGACCCTCACAATGACTTTGATGTTCTGAGAGCCCGTCTCGTGCGCTGTCATCGTGCTGCCGCTGGTACTAGGCTTCAGGGTTCCGGAGTCTCCTGACATTCGTCTCTTAACGGATTTCTTGATTTTACTCGGCGAGAATGACCTAGATAGATCCTTCCGATTGTAGACCATCGCGAGACTCAGCGGACCCACCTCCTGGAGGATGGAAAATTAAACGAATCCTTGATAACAGATATTTCTTAAAGAATCGAGAAATTCCAGAGAGCGCAATTTCGGTCGCTGGTTAATTCAATACTCCGAAATGCGGGGAAAATATTAAGCCGCTCTTTGGTGACAGTTACAATAGGATCTACAAGTCCCATAAAGTTTGTAATTTGTGATCCCACATGGCAAATAATACAAGGGTTACCTAGTTTTGCGCCGATTATCGAAATTCAGGATCGTCTCGTGAGAAATAAATCCAAATCTTGCGTTTAATGTGTAGAGAGTAGACACAGCGAGCATCGCAGACCGTTGGCCACCGTTGGCGTCGGGACGAGTCGGCAATTCAAATTTATAGGTTAGGGACTTTCCGCCAGAGGCGCCACCGGCGACGGACGCGTCCCGAAACTCACACTTATGAGCAGGGCTAGTTTCTTCTTCTATTCTATTACGTAAAGCAAATTGAGCGAAAATGTGAAAAGTGAGTAGCTTATGGTATTACGGAACGTATTACGGAACATGGTGAAAATGCGAGGCCACTCATATAGCGAATACGTAATTCGGTGAATCACGTGAGATGAAAGTGCGAGAAGTGAGCGCTCTCGTCAAGATTACGTAATAAACGCCTAGGTAATTTCGCGGTTTCCGAGGTTTTTTCATGAATATCACGTAAACTATTTAGAATTAGATGAGCGTGATATACTTTGCGCTCGCGTAGAAAATTATGGATTTATTATACGTTGGAATATGCACCAGTTAACCGGAGTTTAACTGGTTTACACTTGGTTTAAACCTGCTGTAAACCGTGAGAACGCCACTAGTGGGGAATTACCGAATTAGTGACGAAGCTTCAGAATTTGGTCACGATAAGAGCAAGTCTATACAGTTACTTTATGGTTTATAATTTAAAAACCGCTTCCTGTGGTTACACGTGCAGGTGTACAGCGTTTTGCTTATGAATGAGTTTTTTAAAAATAATTATTATCCTTTCGTAGGGTAAGTTTCTAACGAGGTTAGGTTATTCTAATTCAAAATGAAGACCAAACCGACGAGGCACAAGGAAACGAACACGTTTAAGGTAAGAGAGTAGGAAGACAAAATCCATCTAACCTCAAACTGGGAGCTCTTAATTTATTATAATATATAATTTCGTTGCAGTTTAAACCGTTCTCCGAAAGAATATCCGAAATCGACGTGGACGTATTTCATAGAGTGTCTCACCGCAATGAAGATGACTCCGAAGTCGAGGAGACGTACTTTCACGAAGCTTTGCAAAAGTGGAACGTACTTAACCTCTCGGAGAGCTATTGCAGCTTTAAGAAGGAAGTACGAAATATCGTGACACTCCCGCAGCTGCTTAACAGCAAGCAACATGTAGTCGATACTCTAATGAAGTATTTGAAGATGAAAGACGTCTTATCTTTGCAACCGATCTTGGAGTAAGTTCACGATTACCAGCTGTGCCTTCGTTCCGAGTCACCGTTTACAATAGCGAACGTATTCGTTATTTTGATTGTTTCAACTCTTACTGAAGTTCAATCTAATTTCAGGTTAGTTGTGGCCGTTGCGAGAGACTTGCAGAAAGATTTCTATGAATATTTCCCAGAATTCTTGGCAGTTATTACGAGTCTGTTGAACACGAAAGATGCGGAGCAATTAGAGCACGCATTTACTGCTCTCGCTTACTTATTCAAGTTTCTATGGAGATATTTGATAAGAAACGTCGACGCAGTATTCGACCTGTTACTACCGCTATTAGCTGATTCAAGGCCAGTGTATATCAACAATTTTGCTGCTGAAAGTTTCTCATTTGTGGTTCGCAAAGTCAAAGACAAGGATGGCTTTTTACGACTTATCTTGAACAACCTTCGGGAGAGACCTGGTGGCACTCAAGGGTGTGGCAAGCTGCTGTACGAAGTTGTTTCTGGAGTACCGGGACAATTTCATTCCTGTGCGGAGCAAATGCTGACTCTCTACTTTCAGGCACTGCAAGATGAATCGATCGATCAGAAACTCTTGTATAAAGTCTTGGAGCAAATATTGAATAACATTCTAACTAATATTCAGCCACAACGAAGTGAGATATTATGGAGTGTTCTCATAAAAATGATTGAGAAATTTTCAGAGAATAATTGTCAAGCCCGTACAAATCGAGAAAGTGGTTTAGCGCTGATAATGAAACTTGCGTTACCCATTGTCACTTTTAACGGGGGAAAGATGTTAACGAACCCGATACCGTTTGTTAAAACTCTCGTGCAAGTAATCGATGAGCACAAGCAAGAGGAGGAAATTTTGCAGACCGTCGTTAAAGTTTCCATTGCTGTTTTATTAGGGCCTAATGTGAAACTTACACAAGAAACGTCATGCCAGTTAGCGTTGAAAGTTTTGTCGGTAGACAGTACCGATTTTCTATACAAGATCATCGAAGAACTGATTCACTACTCCTCTTTTGAAGCATTGGTGCTGCCACATATTTTGCAGACAATCGATGCAAGACTGGATAGCAAAGCTTTGCGATTACTGTCTAAAATCATAGAGGAAAAATCACCACCGTGTTTGAATGGCGTGGGTCTCTCAAAGTGGAATAAATTCACCCTGGATGTACGACATTTATCTCCAGAGACGATAACTTATTTGGAGAAGGAGTTGACGTCACTTTCTACACCTAATGCTACGGAAGACTCTTTGAGGATTTTAATTATTCTTCCTCATCTAAGTCCAAAGCCAAAAATACTGGAAGCTGTTTTACTACGTGAGACGATATCATTACATGAGAATTTACTGGCTTCCAATGCACAGAATGACACCGAGGAACTTAAAAGGTTCCGCTTCTCTTTTTTACTGGCCATGGAAACGGTTATTCATATCCTCGAACCGAGTGTTCTCCACAAATTTCTTCAAGAAACTAACATTAGTGTTTGTAATCTTGCCCGTAAGTTTTCTGACAGTGAAATTGTTTTAAACTTTACGGACTTGTTTCTGACTAGTGTCAGTGAGTTGAGTGCCCGTGGGGAATACGTTAACAGGTCAACATTCGAAGCTCTGCACGAATGCATCGCACCGATGCTGGGTTCTCCATTTCATCACGTACGACTAATAGCGGCACATATATATTCTCTGTTTAAAACTGTGGAAGTGCTTCGCATCTCTGAAGGTAGTGCCGATAAGAATGCCTTCGAGCTGCCTCTGTTAGCCGAAAGCCGGTCTGCATCGATACAGAAGTATCGAGACAAATTGCTCCACCTCGAAGCCCTCTCTTACCAGTGCCATGCTACTGTCAATCTTCGATCCAAGTACCACGGTTTCCCATTGAGATACTTAATTGGGAATTTGTATGTGAACTTTTCTTTAATATGGGACCCGGTGTGCAAAATTATCGCGACGTACGCCCATAAAGAGTGCTCCCAATTCTGGGAAATCTTCCTCTCCGAGCTGACTTCGGAGAGACCTTCGGTGCGTAGTGAAAGTGCTTCCTTCGAGTGCGATGTCCTTTCCAAGATCCAGGAAAGACTCTCCCAGGGTGACGACAAGCCTGACCATGAGAATTACAAACTCCTCCTCTGGAAATGCATGTCGTACTTCCCAGAATTCTGCGAAGTGAAAAACAGAGACATCACTGGACTGTTTGTTGGCTTCGTCGAGAGTAATTTCTTCAGGTGCAATTCCGAGGAGGCGAAGTCATGCGACATCGCGATACACTCCAGAAAACTGTCAGCTATAGAGAACACCGAAGAAGAGGACATCGGAGAGGATGAGACCGAAGCTTCGAAAGCTTCGGAGCAGGCAAAGTCGAGGTTTGGCTCTAGACTGCGGAAGATCAAACTTCTTCTGGGCCAGATGGAGGTGTTCTCGAAGATGTCCAATCCGAGGATGCTGCACAGAGCCTCCGAAGTAGAAAACATATACCTGGAGTTGCTGTCTTCGAGGAACGTAGAGATTCAGAAGGCTGCGCTTAACTGTCTCTTGTCATACAGGTGAAATTCTGAATATATCATAAATTGTATTATTCCACGAATATATCAGTAGGGATTTTTGCATTGCTTTAATTGATTGAAGAATTTTCGAACTTTATCGCCAGGCACAAGTACATACTCCCTTACAAGGAACAACTGCAGAACCTGGTGGACGAGAAGAACTTGAAAAGCGAGCTGATCCGCTTCCGAATAGACCAGGACAGCGAAATCCTCCAGGAGGAGCATCGAGAGGAGCTGATGCCTCTAGTGATGAGGATCATCTACGCGAAAATGGCGACAAGAACCGGCACCAGGACGGGAGGGAAAGGCGGAGGCCTGGTGCGAAGAAAAGCAGTCCTCAGATTCCTGGCTGGAAGTCGGGAAAACGAGATGCTAGCCTTCTCCAGGATGGCGTTCGGTCCCTTGCTAAGATTCCTGCCGAAGGCCTTGGACGAGGACCTGGACCTGAAATCCCTGATCAAGGACGTGATCGAGAAGACCGACCTCCAGAACGTGGTCCCCCCGAAGCGGCTCCAGAGCACCGTGAACCTCCTCAGCATCATCATCGAGCAATTCGGGGGGAACATGGAGAAACTTCTCCCAAGGCTGCTGGGGCTGCTCATCTGCATCCTGGCCCAGGTCGTCGGCGTCCTGAAGAGGGCCGGCGAGGTCCACCCTGGCTTCCTGCCCTCCATCAGGAACGTCCGGACGAGCTGCGTGGCGATCCTCGCCAGGTTTTTCTCCCACTTCGAGAACTTCGGATGGACCGCCGATCAGCTGGACGCCCTCTTCGAGGTGGCGGTCTTCCCCTGGGTGGAGAAGCTGCCGATGGAAGGGATTCACAGCCCCACGGCATTACTGAAGCTCTTTTCAGCCTGGAGCCAGAACCCTAGATACTTCCCGCTGTTCATAAAGCACCAGGAAGCCTCCACGGAGATGACGCCTCTCCCCTTCGTCATGCGCCTCCTGTGCGGCCCCAGGACGCAGCCGTCCGTGATAAACGCCATTTTGGAGATTCTTCTGAAACTGCTCACCCTCCAGGAAGACCCTGACCGGATGGACGTGGACCTGAAAGCTGCTCCTTTGGACGAGGTCCTCAGAAATTGCCTGGTAGTTCCGAAAACAGCCATCGGCGTTAACTTCGGCTCTGCTATTCTCTTGCCCCACGTCCCCGCCATCCTGGAGTACGTTAAGAGGAAATTAATTCGCACTAAACGGGTGGTGAACAAGACTGAATTAACGATCCTCTCTCGCATTTCGGAGCTGGTTTCAGACCCTGATTCATGCGACGCTCTGCTGACCCTGGTTTTGCCGATATTAGTTAAGAAAGCCGGGATCCCCGGAGCTGACGAGGCCGTCTTGGACCTCGTCACCACGGCGGCGAACCTGGTGAAGCGGGTGAAGAGACCGGAAAAGCATCTCCGTCTGGTCGTGCCCCTGGTTGGCACGGTGTCGAATATCCCTGCTAGGAAGATCCTCTTGGAAATATTCCAGGATATCGCGGAGAGGTCCGGGGAAGACTCGAGGAAGGTCTTGAAGGCCAACTGCGAGGTCCTCGTCGACCTGAACGCCTGGGACCGGAAGTGGGTCGAGCAGCCGGATTTCCAGAAGAGGCTCGACGCCTTCTCTGGGATCAACGGACTCCTGGAGGAGGAGCGGGTCAGTCTGGAGTTCGGGGTGGCCGTTATTCACAACTGCTTCTTCTTCCTGAAGCATGAGACCGACCTGGCGCTCAGGGACTCCTCTGGGCAGTGCCTGAAGACCCTGGGCCCGAAGCTGGCCCAGAGGTTCAAGGCCGACAACCGGGACAGGCTCTTCCTGGTCGAGGAGAACGTCCTGGCCATCATCAGGAGCGGGATTCGGAGCAAGAACGAGGTCGTCAGGATGCAGTCCATCGCGTTCCTGGGGAGGATGGCCATGGAGTGTCCGGATGTCCACCCCGTCTTCAGGGACTTGTCCCCCCTGGCTGACAAGCTCGACCCCGAGGTCGACTTCTTCGAGAACTCCCAACATCTCCAGCTACATAGGAGAGCCAGGGCTCTCCTCAAGTTCTGCTCCGTTGCCGGGACCCTGAAGAAGACGCCTAACCCGAAGACCCTGACGCACTTCGTCCTTCCCTTGGCCTCCAACTATCTATGCAACGACGCCTTCGCCAAGAAGAACAGCTTGGTCGACGCCTCCATCGACACCCTGGGGGTTGTTTCCAGATTGCTGCCCTGGCAGCAGTACGAGGTCCTCCTCAGGTTCTACCTGGACAAGCTGAAGTCCTCCACGGAACACCAGAGGCAGATCGTCAGGATCGTCGTTGCCATCCTGGACGGCTTTCATTACGACCTGGGGAAGTTTAAGGAGAAACCTGAGGGGCAGGTCAAGGTCTCTCCACCAGGCAAACCCGAGAAGCCTCCTGGAGATGCCGAAGACGCCGTTCAGGAGGAGGAGGAGGAGGAGGAGGACGCTTCCTTGGAGAAGCTCGATGAAGCCCTCGATGCCAAAGAGCCCAAGGGCGAAGAGGTCGCGAAGGAAGACGGAGAGGATGCCGAGGAACTTCCTGCCGTGAAGAAGGAGCTCGTTCTATCCCAGTCTGCTGCCAGGAGGGTCGTCTTCGGCATCTCCAAGGGGCTGTTGCCCCAGCTTCATCGCGCCATCGTCGCCAGGACTCGCCATGAAACCAGCCACAAGGTCAATAGGAAGAGGACGGGAGCTGAGAGGGAGGAAGAAGAGATGGTCAGGGTGCCCATTGCTCTTGCTCTGGTGAAGCTCCTTCAGAAACTCCCGGGGGACGCCCTCGACAAGAATCTACCCGGGTAATTTTTCACTTTCATTGATGATGTTTTACGATCTCCTTATCCGGGGAATTCTTTTTAGGGTCCTGATGAAGATCTGCACGTTCCTGAAGTCTCGGCTGGACTCCGTGAGGAGAATCACTCGGGAGATCCTCCAGAAGATCATGATCACCCTGGGTCCGGATTACCTTCATCATTTACTGACAGAAATGAACGGTCTTCTGACTAAGGGCTTTCAAGTTCATGTTCTGGTCTACACGATCCATGCTGTAATGGTTTCTCTGAAGCCATACCTCAAACCAGTCCACGTTAACCAGAATCTACAAAGCCTCCTCTCGGTACGAACAATGTTCATGTGTTCATAATTCCTTAACACGTAAAACCCATCGATCCACCATTTTAAATAGATGTGGCACTGGGCAACTTCTATGCCTCTCCGTTACCTCTTTCTATAATTACAAGGGCATCGTTACATGATGGGCTCGGCTGATATGTCTAAAGGAAATAATGAAATCAGCTCGCAGTGATTTAGACTAGCATAAGATAAGTCAGCGAAGGAATTTTCCCTTGTAGAAATGAGGAGACTCAATGCGTAGCTTCTTCCAGGTCTGCAAAGTTGATCTCTTCGGTCTAACCGCAGAGGAGAAAGAGGTTGCTGGGATCGTGAAGAACGTCTCCGAGGCAAAGTCCACGAAGAGCTACGACATCTTCCACATACTGGCGCAGTTTATATCGGAATCCTGTCTCCTGGACTTGACCTTACCTCTGAAGGAAGTCCTCACGAAGACGCACTCCTACAAGACTGTCAGGAAGGCCGTCGAATGTCTACGACAGATCGTCCTGGGCCTTGCTGACAACACTTTCATCCCTACCGAGAGAATGCTCATCTTCCTCTACGGAGTCGTCTCCGAGAGCATCCCAGATTTGGGTCCTGAAAAGAGCGAGCCAATATCTGAACAGGAAGCTCGGATTAAGGCCCGACAGAACCCGGACTGCTTCATCATCCCCAAGGAGCCGAAGAGCAGAATGGGAGTGAAACAGACTGCGAAAACCTCCAGGAACACGAACGCACACGTAATGGTGGAGTTTGGCCTGAGGCTCTGTCATATCTTCCTGAAAAGGGAGCGCGTCTCCAACCAGGAGTTCAGACCTTACCTGGACCCCTTCGTCGAGGTCCTCAGCGAGTGCCTTAAGGCCCAACACGTCAAGGTGCATGTTCCAGACTCTGTAGACCTAGCTCGGGTTCCTGATACTCTAGAAAATTTATACAATCTACAATTAACGAGATCCCGTGAATTGCCGACTTTTTTCATAATCTAACGAACCGACAGCGCCATCTGTGAGGCTTAGCTGGAACTAAATCTTTTCTCGGAGGAACTGTCTTACCGACTGGAGCAAGTCAGAATTGTCTCGCAATTGTTTACTGAAGTATTTTCTACATTTAACCAGTAATATTCCATTTTAAATGCTCAGAGATGAATAATGAATATCCTGGTTCCAGCTGAGCACCCTGGCTCTGCAGTGCCTAGGCTGGATCCTGAAGATGAGCTTGCCCTCCCTGAAGAAGGCGGCCCCGGAAATCTGCTCCTCCTTGTTCGGGATCCTCCACAAATACGCGGCAGCTGGTTTGAGCAAAGGGGACAACTTCGACCTGGTCGTGGCGTCGTTTAAATGCGTCTCAGTCCTGGTGCGGGACGTTAAGGACTTCAGGATAACCGTCGACCAGCTGAAGATCTTGCTGTTGTACGCCGAGCAAGACCTCCACGACACCGACAAGCAGGCCACGGCTTTTGGCCTCCTCAAGGCGATTATTAACAGGAAATTAATCGTCCCCGAGATCCACGGAGTGATGCATAAGGTGGCGAAGCTCAGCGTAACCTCCGACCTGGACCACGTCAGGCAACAAGCGAGATCTGTCTTTTACACCTTCCTCATGGAATACCCGATTGGAAATCAATTGGTCAAGCATTTGTCCTTCTTCCTGACCCAACTCGGCTTCGAGGTCCAGCAAGGTCGCCTGAGTGCCCTGGAGATGATTCACAACGTCGTCACGGGATTCCCCGTGGTAGGTCTCTCAAAGTATACCCGAGGTGTGATGTGTAAAAAATCAAGAGACCCAATGGCGTCCTTTATCTATTGTTTATAAACGTTCAGAAGACCCTATTTTATTGTTCTTTAGGAAGTACTGTCGGAACATTCAGAAGTTCTCTTCCTGATGGTCGGTGCAAGATTAGTCAACGATGATGACCCCACTTGTCGGAAGCTCTGTGCAAAGTGCCTGAAGGAAATGCTCATTCGCATCCCTCACAACCAGCGAACAAAGTTATTCACCCTGGTGGCTGTCTGGTTTAAAGATAAAAAGGTAAAATATGTGAATCTGTTACAATTAGGTGGGTTTTCTGACAGTATTTGTTAAGTAACTTTGACCGATATCGGATTATCCTTTGGACTCGGTAAAACAGAACTCCCACATCACCCCCCTATGACGTCACGCGGCGTTAATTTATTTATCTTGCGTTTTTTTTCCAAGCTGGTCCACAGGAGATTGGCGGCGCAGCTTTGCGGAATCTTCGCAACGGCAGAAAAGGAGAAGTTTGACTCCCGGCTTTCGCAAGTTCTGCCTCTAATATTGAAGCAGTTCCATCATTTCGAGGGGGTGGATAAAACGGAAGTCGGACGTTACGTGAAATCCCTGGGAGGTGGCCCCAAGAGAGGACGTAGCGCCGAAGAGGTTCCCGAGAAAGTGATGGACCATTACATCTTCCAAGTTATGCAATTGCTCCTGAAAATCTCGGCTAACTGCCCCAAGCTTTTAAATAGTAAAAAGCACCAGAGCTTCGTTTCCTCGTTCGCAGGTAGCCGGGAAAAAGGGTGTAGATGAGTTTCACTTTATCGATGTAGATTTAATTTCTCAGCGTCTCCCTTATCGTGTTAAGAAGGTGTACTATTTAAATGTATTCTTTTATCTTGGCAGAGCACAGTCAGTCTTTACTAGCTCATCCACATTTGTGGGTGAGGCTGGCGTCCACCCAGATGATCGGTTTCATTTTGGCTGCTCTGGATGTCAAGAGAGTTGTGGAACTTCTGGAGAATCCAGAGAAGTGCACCCTGGACGATGGGTACATGTACTCCGATCCCATGAATACTATCAAAACCCTGAGTCTGGATCTTATCGCACAGTTACATCCAGATATGATGTGCGATGAGTTCGCCGATCAAGTTGTGAAAAATTTAATTTTCATCTCGCGTCTCTTGAGGTCTGTGAAACCGAAACTTGAGGATACAAAGGAGACGTCTAACGAGGATGAACATAATGCTTCATACGTATCGTTAATCTGGTTTGTCAAGAGATTACGGAAAGCTGTTAACATGGAAGTTGCTCAAGCTCCGAAATCCATATCCGTGGTAAGCACACATAAAACGTAACGTAGAGAGATGGTGATTAAATTTTGGTTTATAAAATACTTGGGATTACTGGGAAAAATCTCTTAGCGAGCATCTAGGTTATGAAAGGAACATAACCCTAAATTTCAAATTTCTATGCCCAGTGGTTCGGACGATGAGGCAGTGAGCGTCTTTCAATATATCAATCGGACTTAATTATGTTTTATTATCTTGCAGAGAACCGCGGTATTTAAATTATTCGCTGGAATGGTGACCGCTATACCCATGGAGTATCTGGAGCCAGTTTTACTTCACGTAATGTCGCCTTTGGTTAGAGAAATTTCCACGACGGAGGAATCGAATGCTCCTCTTCGACATTTGGCTAAAGACGCCGCAAGAATGATTAAGAAGAAACTGGATGCCGAAGAGTACACGAGGTTGTTGAGGAAGGTTCAACAGAGGCTCGACATGAGGAGAGCCGAAAGGAAAAGAACACGAACCCAACAAGTAACGAATTGCACTTTAAGTTTCTTGGGATTAAATTCGGACACAATGATCTGTCTTCTTGTTTTTATTTCAGTTCGTCACAGATCCAGAATTGGCGGCCAAGAGGAAGATCGCGAGGCAACAGAAGAAGAAAGAAGCCAAGAAGAGGAAGATGGATGTCATGAAGGGTAAAAAGACGCCGAGGAAGAAACCCAAGAAAGAAGTGAATTTAGAAGAATTTTAAATCCACTTCTCGAAGGACTGAATTTTGCACTGTACAGAACTGTATAAATCCTGTTGATTATATTTGAAGTAATAGGTTTTAAGTTTAGGGAATCTATCTTTTAGATAACATGTTTTATAGAGACGCAAGTTTAATCGATTGAAATTTATAAACGGATAGTTAATAATTGCAATTATATGATATACCAGTTTTTTCTGGGCTTGAAATAGAAATTAGGTTTCAGAAAATTAAATATCGTGAATGGAAAGAAAGAGAGAACAGTCATAATGCGCACGCAGTTTCTTTTAAGAAAAATTTATACTGGAATTTTCTTCCTAACCTCTTCCGACACGATACGTAACCAGTTGCATGGCACGTGTGCATGTATTTATGCAGTAGTATGTGTGTGTGCCATGAAAACCAAAGGAAACGTAATCCAATCTCTTTTCTCTCTTTTTCTATCAATAAACAATGAACGTGATATGTGCGAACATTTTTCAACTATTGCAGTAACGACAGAAAATGGTACGAAGATAATAACTTTTGTGTTAGGTTAATTGACAACAAAATTCGCATCGGGGGAATTATAACCTAAAAGAGAAAGCTGCTTTAATAAATTCTTTTCATTTTCAGGGACCTTGAAATGAATTCGCTGAGACCATTGATATTAATCTTGAATTTCCATACTCAGAGAAATTGTGACCACACAATTTCTTTAAAGGTTATCCGAGAGTCGAAGCATCCGTTAGTGCATCGACGTCCTACATGTTTTGTTAATTGAGATTAGAGAAGTATAGAGTTGTGAGATAATATACAATGGCAGAAGTAAAAGTTGGAATTAGTTCGAGCCAGGACTGTCCCGTCGATCCAAGAACGAGAACCAGTGAATCCGGAACTATGGCGTCGTCTCCGTCATCCTCGTCTGATTATGTCACTGGGGATGCTGATGACAGCTCTGATAGTAAGACGACGATACCCCGAACGTTAAAGTCTGTAGAGACCTTGCTCTCATTTTCAAAGGTATAATATATTGTATCGACTCGTTAATAGAGATTAATAGTTCAAGTAATACATAATCAATGCTGGGAATTTTGAATATGCATCGATTAACGAAATTCTTATTTTGTAGGCAACGACACAAGAGGAACTTCAAGAAATGGCTGGGAAATGTAAACAGTTAGTATTAGAGAGCACGGAATGCTCCGAGGAAAGGAAATGGCTCGTAAGACGTTTAATCGAGCTTCGTCTAAGAGTTCAAGAGTTACGGGGATCGCCTGATGAGACGGTACTCGAAACATGCGTTGTTCTCGGACATCATTTGGTTCCCCAGAAACATTATATCAACAGTGGGCCAGTTTACTGCGATCATTGCAGTGGCACTATCTGGACAGTTTTGCAGTCGTGGTACATTTGTAGTGGTAAATTACATTAATTATTAAAAGTTCAAGAAATGGTTTAGCTTTTCCATGATAATTCATTTGAAATAACAACTTAATATTAAATATAAGTAGAGCATCGTCAAATCAGACTTGGACAGACATTAATTGGGTATCTAAACATTTGATTAGACATGATTAAGTAATGAACTTATCGATTAATTTGAATAACAATGGTGTCCAATTCTGCGCTAAGTGAATATTAACCATTTTCCTGGAACTATTTACCAACTTATAGTAATGTTAATGATAACGATTGAGATTGCGGATTCTGTTGCCACTGGAAATGCCTGAACAACATTTGTCGAGTCTGCGTACATGTCATCGCAAGCGAGACTGGTGGCTACAACAACACAATGGACATTTGCCCAGAGCAAGGACTTTCGGCGCAAGGATATCGATGCGCAGAATGCAATGCCAAAATAACATTTAGTAAGTCCGTCACAATCATATTAAATTTAATTCCCCCACGTGCAGATTTTTAAAACTGCCGATATAATTATTCACTTTGAAATACTTCAAGACAGAAAGAATATGCTTCACGTTTATTGTTTATTAAATTTTTCCAAAGCGTCTGAATATTTTCAATAGCTCTAATGAAATTTTACATTGCAAGCACTCGCAGAAGGATTATTGGTATCATGTTTCGGAAGTCCTTTCAAGTATCCAGGTATTGTTCTACTAGAAGTAACGTAAAGCAATAGCGACGTAGAAATTACTGAAAATAGTGAGAACGTTTAGAATGGAGCAAAGTATTTTTCTTTTAATTTCTTTCCATTACAAATGTGTCGTTGTGATATTGCAGATACTGCATGGGTAGATCCGCGTCTTTGCGATTACACTGGATTGTATTATTGCCAACGGTGCCACTGGAACACTATGGCAATGATTCCGGCAAGAGTTGTCAGGAACTGGGACATGGAACCACGTCGAGTGTGCCGAGCTGCTGCTCAATTATTGGCTTTGCTCGAGGAGAGACCGGTTCTCCAGCTGGAGCAACTTAATCCAAAGTTATTTACACTGATTCCAGATTTATTGGTTATTAAGGTAAATATGAAAGTGACAGAGGTTACCTCAACGGATGAATTAACCTCAAATATGACAACTACGAATCACGGAGTGTAATATTTTGTATCGTGGAATCTGAAAGCCTAATAATTTGGAATTTATATCCGGAATTATAATGAGGAAAACTCATCAATCTGCCTGTTACTGAAGATAGTTATCGTAAACATGTTTAAAAGAAAATAGGCCAGTAAACATTGAGCATAGGGATGTTTCTATAATTCATCAGATTTTTATAATTTTTAGAAATTACGGGCAGAGCTGCAGATGATGAAGACTTATTTAGTATCCTGTCCGAAAGCCCAGACTCAAGGTTTGCCCTGGAAATGTGTACTCCGAACGCATTTAATAGAAAGTCAGGACACCTATTCCCTGAGGGACTTAGCCGATCTTCAAAGTGGAGTTCTTCTGAGTGAAATTAGGACAGCTTATGATTCCATGAACAGCCACATCACTGAAATATGTAAATTGTGCAAAGCGAGGTAAGCACGGAGTTACTAGTAAGGCGTGTAACTTTTAAATGTTGAGAACTGGCTGTCTGTTTATTAATTATGCCCTCTTTTTGAAGGGGCCATTTGTGTGAATTGTGTGGGAACGATGAAGTCATTTATCCATGGGGTCACAATACAATCTCTTGTCTGGATTGCACAGCAGTTCACCATAGAGTTTGTTGGGCGAAACGCAATCACACTTGTCCAAGATGTGCGAGAATTCAACGAAGACATGCTCTAGAATCGGAAGGAAATACCGAGTCGATCATTGAGAAGAACGGAGAAGAGGAAAAAGGTAAAGGCCAAACTTCATCGGATGATCGCAGCCCTTAAACTACTATCTCCGTGCATTAATTTTCCATCTCAGACAATGCAACCCGATTAGATACTAATATACTGATTATCCTTCGCTTTGTTAAGGCTTACATCGGTGAAATTTAAGGGTGCGAATTAACTGTATATACGATGTATATTTTGTATTGGTTTATAGATGATTTCTGATCCAAAAATGGAGCTGTACATAGTTAGAGTTATTCGTGTAGTTCGACGTGCAGCTCTGAGTTTAGCGATGAGTTTTTCCATGGAATTTATGGAGTGCTAGTTCAGTTAGTGAGTTGCGTTAGTTCACCAGTACGCTGGGCTTTCGATTAATCTTACCAAAATGTTACGTCGCAATTTTGTGCACTTAAGGTTTTGTAGGCAGTTAAAGTTTTAATTTCTATTTCATTGTTATTAGTTTGAGAGATCTGTTAAAACAAAACTTCAAGGAAAAGCTACGAATTAGTGAACGATATTAAATTATTAAATGGGAAGGTGTTTTAATAAAGACATGTACGAGTGGTTTAGGTCTAGTTCCGTAGTTTAAATAATGCCGCTTTTTTATTCTCCGCGCAATAGTTGAAATAATTAATTCCGGGCCTCTGTCTTCAGGGCATTTATTACGTATTTTTTACGAGAGCGCTCACTTTTCACATTTTCATCTCACGTGGGTTTATTCCCAGAATTACGTACTCGCTATATGAATGGTCTCGCATTTTCACCACGAAAAACTTTACGTAATAGACGCCCTGTGTTGAAATTTGAAGTGATTTACTATATGATAAACTAGTTAATCAGAGTTTAAGTGGTTTCATAAATCCCTTAAATTCGAATTTACTAAATTCAGACCCAATTAATTCCGGATTTCGAGTATAATGGAAACGTAGTTAACGTGTGCATCTCGTCCAATTTGAATGAACTGATGGAACTTCGACCGTGGCGCCCCACGCGAAGACTAAACCAACCAATTATCTCAATTCAGAGCCATCGATTTTTAAGGTTATAGCGATTCAACTCAGTCGCCTATCTTTCTCCGCTGTGAAAACGCAATCGTTGACATTTCTTGGAAAGGTCGTTCGTGGACGGTTGTCCGCAGAAGAGGTTATACCGATTTAAAACTCTTGTTAGGATGGCGCAGACATTAATCGAGTCCGACTCTTCTAGCGTAGCGAAACGTCTGTGCGCGATCGTTGAGAAAACCGCAAACGAGGCGATCGCGTTAGATGACATCTTTAAAATTGGTTTATCAGGTGCCGTATCGTATCTTCCTTGCGCGAATCTAACCGCCATAACCTTTCGTTATTGCGGCATGTAATTTCCCCGCAAAGTCTCGAATAATTTCCGCGTAAAGTCGGAAAAGTCAGCGGCATTAAAATAGACTGTAGACGTAGATGGAATGTGTCATCATAATTTTAATTTTATTTAATTGATTTTCATGAATTCTCATTAATTTACAATTCAAATCTCCCTTGCGTCTCGCTGTAGAAATGTGATCGAGGGTTTATCATATATGGTATTAGCTCCGAAATGTCGTAGATATCGAGAGCGAGAATAAATTTAAGAAACTCTGAGACCGCGGAGGCTTAGAATATTTAACTGGATAATTTATCGATCTCGTTATCTGCAGGAAGCTCCATGGTGCATCTCTTGGCGGAAGGTCTGCCGAGCATAACGACCGATTGGAGTAAATGGCGATTCTTCTTCTGCGACGAGAGAGTCGTTCCGTTAGATCACGGCGACTCGACTTACGGAGAGTACAAGAAACACTTGCTACCGAAAATCCCAGTCACCGAGGATCAGTTTATAAGAATCGATCCCGATCTCTCAGGTAAGACGACTGCTAATATTATGTAAAAGGTATCGATAACGTTTATTATATAGCGTATCTTTTCTAGCCGAGGAAGCAGCAAAGGACTACATCAAGAAGATGTCAGTTTACTTCCCACCGGACAGTTTACCGAGGTTCGACTTGCTCTTGTTGGGCATGGGCCCTGACGGACACACTTGTTCCTTGTTCCCGAACCATCGGTTACTGGACGAGACGAGTCTCTGGGTTGCGCCGATCAATGATTCGCCTAAGCCACCGCCGTCTAGAATCACCCTCACTTTCCCAGTGATTAATAATGCTAAAGTCTGTGCTTTCCCGATCACGGGATCTGGAAAGGCCAACATGATCAAGGTAATTATATTTTAAGCATTAGAGTTAATAACCGAGCGTCACAAAACCACGAGACGTAAATGTTCACAGCGCATCCTGAAGGACAAGGAGAACCTGCCAGCGGGTCGAGTGCAGCCAACCAACGGACAGTTATACTGGATCCTTGATGAAGACGCAGCGAAGCAGTTGGATTCTTAAGTATAACCTCAAATTGTGGCTACGCTCCAAGGAAGCTTATTATATTCCACCTTATATCGCGTCGCCGCAGGACGCTCTCGAGGCGGCAACAATTTTATATATATACATACAAACAATTATTTTATATATAATATATAGACTAAATAGGTAGGCAGATAATATATTGAAATATTAAAGGGTTAAGATAATGCACCGATCCACCTCGAGAGGCGGATCGGTGCGACCTCGTGGATGAGAAATCGTCACTCTAGTGCGCGTCGATCACGAACTGCGTTACTTGGAGATGAGGAAACATTAGAGACATACAGATGCAAAGATCATGAGCTGCGTTTCCTGAAAAATGGGGAACCATGAGGCGAGGGAGGCCAGAAAGAGTCACGCAAACGCCTTAAGGTCGAGATATTAAGTTTAGCTTTATTTCCTTTTTTATAATAACGTTGATTTTTTTACACGTGATTTTTAACGCGGACCTGAGGCGCCGCAACCGTTGAGACTGTCGGTTCGTAGATTATTTTCACGCGTTATTGGAAAACCTTTTGGGAGTAAATTCTTTTAACGTTTCGTCGGGAAGTAGGAAAAACGGAACGAGAAGAAAAGCCCTCTCTGTGATGATTTCCACGACGCGTATACTTAGATTCGCACTGTAAATAAAAGAAATCGGTTATAATCGTTGAGGGGATGTGAAAGTGGCAGTGGAAAGCTCAATCATTGAAGCTTTCCTCCAAACTGGGTGCACCGAAACGTGAATCCAACTTTGGAATATTAATGCGAAGGCTCTAAGGAACCTCCCGACACCCATTAAATCTGAATTTCTATAAGAAATATTGGAAATGTCTTTAAAGAAATTTTTCAAAAAATGTCACCGGTGTCGGGATCTTCCTTATAGCTTTAATATTTGCATATCGTCAAGTTGGAAGCTATTCGGTAGATTTAGTTAGGAGAAAAGCTTCATAAGCGAGGCCTCTGGCGACAGTTTCATGTCCCCTTAACGCACCGAGGTTCAAGTCTAGTTTTAATATAATGATTTAGTTGGAGAGAGTTAAGGAAGCTTTTTCAATTGATTTTTGCGGGATTTCTCTTTTTTTTTTACACCGCCCAAAACGTTCTCGCGGACTTGTTTGGTTGCGAAACGGAGGTTTAACTTTATTTCTAGGTGATAATTAATTCCCAGGCCGATAAGAACCGAGTGATAACAGATAGGAGGGCGTTTGCGAATGAAAACAATTGGGCAACGTGGCGATAACGAGAGGCAGACATCTCAGGGCCGTCGACGTGTATTGCACTTGAGGAATAATAAATCTTACTGGGCACCGCAGATGTAACATAACCTTAAAACATTTTCGAACTTTTAATTAGTCGACCACTCGGTTCGATTAAGGCAGTTCGAAAGTGTTTATTTCGCTTTCTGCGTTTCATAGTGATTCTTTCTTTTTTTTCTCTTTCTTACTAATCCTGGGGATATATTAAATCGTACGCAGGGGGTCGATTCTGTACTTTTGGTGAGAGTGCTCATTTCTCGCACTTTCACATCAGGCGAATTTATTTACCTGATTTTATATCCGCCGAGTGAAAATGCGAGATCTCGGTGACTAGTCTCACGTGAGGTTTCTCACATTTTCATCGTAGTGACGTAGGTCCAGAATCGCGGGAGATGCTCACGTAAAGCATTTTCATTAGATTAGAGTTACAGAATCGACTCCCAGGAAGTGAGATGCGACGAAATATGTAAATCCACCCGAGTCGTCGCGAACGTATATTTGTACTGTTTAGTAATTACGAAAGATAATCTTTGGTGACTTTTTCATACGTCCCGCGCGGGCGCAGGGGAAGAAAAATGGCGTACAGTAATAGAGCAAGAAAAAGAGAGAAGATACAGAGAAACACGGAAAGATGTACGAGCGTATATTCAATTCTTACATAGATAGATTTAACAAATCTGAAGTACATTCTGCTTTGCAGAATAAGTCACCGTTACACAATGCGCATTACGTAGGCAAATGTACACACGTCACACATCACACACACATGCGCGCACGCACCACCGATCGCATACGAGGAGCTGGCGCCCTCTCGCTGCCTCCCTAGGAACTGAGTCTATATAATACATCAATAAATTATGTTTGTTCATCCCGGGAATTAGTATAAGGAGATAGGACGTCATGTATATCGAAATCGTCCCCACTTCAAGATTTTCGGATTTTTTTTGTCTCTTTTCTTCTTTCTGTGAAAACGACCATAGACGTTATGTCTCCTTATACTACTTCACAGTTGATCCGTAGAAAAGGGAAAAGAAAAAGGAGAAAACGAAAAAAGTCACTCGTGGTGCACGGACGTCGTATAAAAGAACTAAAAATGGAAAAGACCAGAGAACAGGGAGAGATATAGAGAGGGATCCAACGTCCCTCTGCGGAGTCATGTCCACGTCTCGTTCCCGCAGTAAGCTAACCTATAAACGTGTATAAAAGCATATTTTCGGTCGCGCATTTTCGGAGCCGCTGAAATAATCGTGCTTTACCCTTTTCCCAACAAATGCCATGCTCGCACGCAATTTCCTGACTGGGACATTCTTAGGTTAATTGGAACACGTAAATGCCATCGCGTGGGGTTAAGTTATCTAGGGGGCGCTGGCGGCCATCTTGGAAACGGCGGCGCCAAATCTTTCGGAGAAAAAGTAGCCGATTGCATGCACTGTAGGCGCTAAAGGAGACTAAGAGGTACTTAATCGTATCAAAGAATTCAAAAGTCTTTAGTAGAAGCCCTCGTTGATGCTCGAGAAATACGACGTTACGTAAAACCGCGGCTTTAAAACGCGCATCCAGTGATCGGTGCAATCTGGGCTTCCTGGTAAGTTTTGATTTCTTTGAGCTAACCTTCTTTCCTCTCGCTGAATCGCGGGTCAATTTTCACACGTCTAGTCTTACTTATCACAGAGCATAACTCGGTCTACGTATCAGAGTCCTCGATTCTCTAATCAGTCAATCCGTTAGCAGGCCCGCGTGGAAGTTTTTAAATTTCATTTTCGCCTTACAAGGCGCCGGATAAGTATTGACGCCCTTTCACACCTACCGTCACGTGTTAGAAACGGCATTACTTTTCCCACCGACCTGATATCCAAACTAATAAATCCCCGGGCCTGCTTTTCTTTTCTTTTTTTTTTTTTTTGTAGAATAACCACACGGCAAAATAAGCGTTCGAGGTTATCGAAAATAAAAGAAAAAAGGGGGGAAAGGGCAGGGAAAAAATGAATATAAAGAAAAATAGAGAATCGTCGACGCCTCCGCGGATTCGCTTTGTAGGCATTCGCCGAGAGCACGGATCGGATTTATTCTTTTATTTCGTTATATCGGAATTTGGGGGGGATATAATCTTTGATAAGAGATATCGGAGGATCTCGGTTTAAAGTCGGACCTTTCTTTTTATTTTTCTTTTAATACTTTGTACCGTGAAATGATATCCCGCACTGGTTATCAATATTCCCGGAAGGTGCAAGGTGCTTTATTAAATCGCCTTTATAGTTGGATATAATTATTTAATATGAATATTAATGAAAATAGGTGGAAAAGAAAATATATCCGAGTCAAGAGGTTTCTCTTATACCGAAAATAATAATAAAAAAGTACTTAAATGACATAAATTTAATTGTTTAGAACAGGGAATATAATCGATTGCACGTGCTCTCGGGATTTGCCACTCTCCCTAATTGTTTATAGATTAATTAATCGGCCTGGCCGATGGGAGGAGAAGATGCAAAAAGGCCCTAATTGTTTATATACTCTTTCTGCGAGGGCACGCATGCACGTAACTTAAGCGATTATTTAATTTTACAATTAATTGTATTAATATCTTCTTCCATCGGATAGCAACGATCCGCAGTTTAACGCATTCGCGACCGGCAAATCTTTCTTTTCCCGTTTATACTTCCCGAATATACGTAATAACGGCGAAATGAATGAAATTCTGTAACTGGTTGCCGCAAACTTGTATCGTGTGACGTCATGGACGTGAATACACGTCAGCGGTCGCGAATGCGTTAATATGTGAGAGAGTAGAAGAGGGGAGAGAGAGAGAGAGAGAGAGAGAGAGAGAGAGAGAGAGAGAGAGAGAGAGNGAGAGAGAGAGAGAGAGAGAGAGAGAGAGAGAGAGAGAGAGAGAGAGAGAGAGAGAGAGAGAGAGAGAGTACAGACCGTGAAAACGAGGCGATCGGGCCAATAAATAAAGTTGCGAGAGTCCTGGCAGGAGAAGCTGAGGACGCAGGCCCGCCTGCTCGGTCCCATATAACGTGCTGAGTAATCGTAGGTATCTCCGTAAAATGGTGTAATAATTTAAATAGAATTAATAGCCCCTAGTGTGTGCGATTATCACGTCATGTTGACACCCAGTGCCTGCCTGAAGTGCTCGTATACCACGTAACTGATGGACACCGCAGGGGCGACCTGTGGAAAATACGAGAAAGACATTTTTTGGAAGACAATTCCTCTTCCTCGAGGACTTGTATCAGACTTGTGAACCCACCTTTAGAAAGTTTGGCGTCAAGCCGCGATACAACCCGCGGAATCCCTCCCTGTGGACGATGTCTTGGAAGACCCCGACCATCGTGTTGGGATGTCTGGTGGGTGATATTTGGGCTTGCAACCGAGTCCTGACTAGAGCTAGCGGGTACGAGCATACTTGTCCTGCCGTACTCGAGGCCGTTCCGCAGAGCAGGAGCAGCCAAAACGCGGGCTGCTCGTTTTTACCGTGGGTTCGTAAGTAACTATTCTTCAGCGTCTGGGAATAAAAGTGTCAAAGCGTCTCGCCAAGTACATTTGTACAGGGGGTTAAAGTTTAATTATACCTCGTACACAGCCAAGTCGATCCCCGCGTATGGAAGTATACCAATGAGATTGGGAACGTAGCCTCTGTAAAACGTCTTGAAACCAGCCTGGCGATAAATCTTCTTCGCGGCATCCAAAATGCCGGCAAACTCCCCGGTTTTCCGGAGAGCCAACCGAGTCTTTAGCACCTGAAAGCAAACCCCGGAAAATGATATTATATTCTAACCTATTAAAATCGATTAATAATGATATAATGAAATAAACCTCGAGCGGGTATATAGCCGATTGGCTTATTCCTCCAGCCAATGAGCCTGCGAGAAATCTCTCGTAGATTCCCAGCTCTCGACTGTCGTCTCTCTTGATTGACCTCTTCACTTGTTCATAGGCCATGAACTTGAGCGCGGTCTCCGGGCCGATTTTAAGTACGTTTATGCCGTTTCCTCGCCACAAGCTTAAGACACCGCCTTCCCTCAGCATGTATCTGAAGCAGCTCATGATATTGCAATGCCTTGTCCCGTGAACCTGTCAAAGGAAATCCCGATTAGGGCCTCCCTCGAAAAGTGTACGGCCGAGTCGAAAGTTTGAATTACCTGCAGGTAGACTTTTATCCGATCCAACGGTGCTGTACACGTCCGAGAGACGGCGCCTGCGATGCCACCTGCCAGCAGGTGGCGCCACCACATCCCTGAGACCATTTCGCTGGTCGTAAAATCGTCCGGCACTCCCATGTCCTCCCCGATGTCCATGTACTGTAAAAACCAGAAAACATGCTTAAAGCGGAATAAGTCCCTTTTTTCCTCCTCGTTCGGGCTAAATAAACATTTTTTCTTCTTGAACAAATTTTATCTAGGGAGTTTCAAGACCTTTGTTGAGAAGTCTATTGTCACGTGTTAAAGTTTGGAGAAAAGTTGTATTAACACATTCGCAGACCGCTGACGTGAATTCACGTCACTGTAAATTCCATTCCATATTAAATTAATTTATTCATTCTATTCCTGTTAATATTTATACAGGAGGATTTCGTTACGGCTTAAGGCATGCTTTGAATTTTCTTTAACACGTGGCAAAAGTTAGGCAATGGTGCATGCCATCAGATTCTGAGGATTCGGAGATCACGAGGCAGAGGGGAAGGTCGTTCTCTCGTGCCAAGGAATAAAGTTAATTTTATCCGTACCGCGACATATGTACAAATCTCATTGTCGATCTTATCAAAAGAGGAGCCCGATAATTTGATTGGCGAGTCCCAAGGATTCCGTTTAAATGGTTAACGAGTCTAAACCAAGAAGAGTACATCGGAAATAAATATTCCGATTACTCACACACTTTGTACACGGAGCCATCTCGACATTAGGGCGAAATTCCCCTGACCGTGCTTAGTAGCCAAAGGCACCTTAAGGCGCATGAAACTTGTTCGAAATGTTCACAACGAATTTTACGGGCTTCAGGATCATTTTTAAGGCGATATGCAAGGGTCATTCTATATATGCGAAGCGTGAAAATGTTTATAAAACTTTTCTACTAACTGGGTGCACCGACTATATTTATTTAAGGTTGTATTATTAATATTTTTTCAAACAATGTTCTGCAGAGTCGACTCGAACCAGAGGAAACCCGATAAGAAATGGAATCCAGGAGAAATTACGCCACGTCGAAGAAGCCGCCTTTAATTAATTGAAACCATAGAAAGCGATGTCGCAATTGTTCATTTATTTGTACCTTGTTGTAATCACTCGACTGTAATTATCTATAAGTTATGTAAGGATTCCTACGATTGAAGATTTAATTCCCAGCTGAGAGCAAACGTAGCGAATAATTATCCTGCCTCGAAGGATGTTTAAACAATAGCAAGACAAAATAAGCTGTTTATGAAACACGTATTTCTGGATAAACTTGTACGGCAATTTTGCTTATTAAAATGTAGACTACGGATTCGTAATCAGTACATAGAAGTAGAATCTTGTAGAGTATTGTTTATCAGTATTGTTTACAATAATTGTTTTCCGGGATTCAGGGTCTTAGAATGGAGAAAAACCGCGAAATTCAAAACCTGCGGTCACTAGACCGATGAAACTGCGGTCCGAGACAATCGACCTTATTCCAAAAAAATATAAATTGCCGTACAAGGTCTGTTCAATTGCGATTAACAAAAAAAAGTCTCGTTTAAGGTGTTGATATAAAAACCAAAGTCGGCGACGCAAGTATTTAGAGAGCTCCTTTTTACGACGTCGATCTAGTTCCTCTACGTGTTTCACTTCACCTTAAATGGGGCCCCCTAACCTCAAAGACACCTTGCGAATACTTAACTTGACGTATATCTCGAGAAAGAAGTCGCTGTCTAGATTGTCCAAGGTATCCATGGCGTCGGCTTATCGTAGGACAATTATTTGATAAGAGGCCGAAGTAACTAGGCGCGTTAATTCAATCCGGCGGCCGTAAGAGCCAACGAGAGACTGAAAGCCGTCCAAAAGGAAGCGAAAACCTCAGGGCTGAATGCCAACTACAGCTTCTTCCTGGTCCCGAGCCCAATGTCAGAACGAGAATGAAAGAAACGAGAGAAGGAGCTGACAAGACTGGACAATTTCTTAATATTCTTTTTAAACGATAACAATGATTTTAATTAGACGAGCATGTCTAGCGAACCCTCTAATAGCCCGTTCCTGATCCTTCGTCCACGTGAGCTGGCACGGAGCTCCCCCCCAGGCATACATTTTAGGGGTTGAAATTTTCGATTTCTAACGGGAACATAGGATAACCAAGGAGGTGGCACAGAGTTTCTCTCCCGGGCAACAATTTCAAGGGTGCATCAGGAGAATAGGCGATTAGAGGGGGTTCGCTAGACACGCTCGTCTAATTAAACGTACTCATTGTTATCGTTAAATAAGTTTCTTTATTGCATTAATTTATTTTACAGTTTATTGTACCTTAGGTACCGCAAATACATAAACGTTCTGCAACTGGTTTAAAAGAATATTAACAAATTGTCCAGTCTTGTCGTCATCTTGAGACCTCGAAGAGTATCCGGCCACCTCCTGGGTGCTCGATGTAAACTCCAAGGCGAGGATTCCCTCGGATATCCGCATTGTTCTCGAATGGCGACGGAATCGCGCCTTCAAGATGGCTGCGGATGATATCCAGGTCTTGGTTTCGCGCTCGCCTTTTCTTCGTCACAAGCCGGATCCGACGGGGGAAAACCTCAACAAGTTCGGGTCATCAACAGGAAACTTTCATCGGCAAAAAGAAAAGTCCAGGAGATCCACAATTCAGATCGAAATCCATCGATGGTAAAAAAAACACTGAGCCTTTTAAATACACGATCAACAGCCGTGACTTTCTTCGTTCCTCATCTTCGTATATCACCATATTTTTATAATAACGGATACACGTATTAGTTTACCTAACTAAAATTGATAGGTTATGAAATCGCGTTCCGGGTCTGACTTACTCGTTGCAGCAGGTCATGGTAAACGTGGAGGAAGTCCTCGCAGACCTGGGAGCTGGTCCCGATATTCTCCTGCCTCAGCATGACCAGGGAAGAGGGCCGAGGCGCCTCTAGTTCGATTAGCACAACCTTGGTCCGTAGCTCCGAGGAGCCTGGACGGGTCTAGGTATATCTGGACTCCTCGGCGAGCCGACCGAGGTCGGTGGACCTCGCGCGGGCAGTAGGTTAGGCGAGGTGCACTTCCGATAGACACTAGCGCACCCCCGGGTATAATTCGAACCTTGGCGACGCGACCGACCAAAGTCGATAGATCCCGATGCAACAGGCGAACCGTGGACTCTAAGGAACTAGTGTGAGCTTCGACCAAGGTCGGTGCACCACAAGGCAGGTTAGGATCGCTCGAGGATACAGACGACGAATGATAAAAGCCAATTTCGACAAGGGATCCGAAACACGTGGGGTGCGATAGGTTAGGTGAGAACTTTCGCGTCGACTCTCGAGGGGGCCGTTATACCGAGGTCGTTGAAAAAACTGGAGGCCGGTCTCGACGACCCCACTCACGGGGCTTCCGCACACCGTCTCCGGGAACGCGTCTGGCCCGACTGACGGCGCGTGACTCAGTCGACGCTGTCGGCGAATGCGCCGGAACCCCCCTCACCGCGTGACGTCACGACCGCGTCGGAATGCGCTCGCACGCTCCCCGGAATTTATGACAGAACGGTGCGAGCCTCCGACGTTTAAGGTTAAGCGAGACCTTTCGGGAAATTTCATCGACGCGGGTGAAAAAGATTTTATTTCGATAACCGTGTAGAATTATATATTAGGTATTGTACTAAATACAGTACTTGAGTCGTATAGTAATTGCAAAGAAATCGAAGTAAGATATGCCGTAAGGGGGTCCCAAGTGTCATGGCGGCGCGTCCCTCGAAAAGGGCCCACCTCGCACTTTCGGACTCGGCGTAGCGACGAGGCCCCTCACTTTTCGAGGAAACGGCATTACCAAAGTTTCCTCGGGAAATGTGATAATCACCGACGGTCGGCTTGGAATTGCCGATTTCTCCGAAAGTTTGGGGGGAGAGCCATTTAACGGATAATCCGGCGACGTTGGGGACCCCCCGCGGCGAGCTCGTGCGAATACCAAGTGATACCTTTCACTATTCGCGTTCGCTTTCGGCGTTACCACATTTCTTTTTTCGAGAGAGGACCTCGAAAGGTCTCGCCGATCTCACGTCGAGCGTGCACTTTATGTTAATCGTTAAAAAGTTTCACTCCAGGCCCATTCCAGTCCCTCTAACATGTATAAACCTTGGTACACGTTTTTCCTCAGAAAGTCGATAAACATCGCGATTACCTGTAATCACCGTCTCTTATTTTTTTTTTTAAAGCCACTTCGATTCGATTTCTGCATATATCTCGAAAAGCCGGGGCGTTATCAGCCGCCAATGAGCGATAGGAATTTCGCAATGCCGAGTGCAGCTCTCCCTGATAAGAGAGGACAAAGCGCGGATCCGGAGCTTTCGTCTCCCTGCGCTGATTATGCAAATAATATCCGCGTATGCGGAACGACCTGCGGAATTACCTTGCGTAATCGGTCCCCGACTTTCCGCGGCCAGACGATCGCAATTCTCGCGCGTGTCTTTAAAAAAAGAAAAAAAAACGTTATTTCGCAATCGAGGCATCGCGGGGTCAGTACACCAGACGTGAACTTGGATCCGTATAAAGGTCGATTTACCCACGTCCTATCCGTATCCGTTCCGTATACGTTCCGTATCGACTAATGAAGTCGTCTGCCAGGCTTCTGTGTGAATAATCGATCGAGTTCGATCCAACATGGCGGCCGTCTCGTCAACACGACTGACACGCTGCTCTAGCAAGGGGCACTGTATTCCGAGACGGCGTGACGTCATCCCTGCGTTCGAGCTGATGCAACATCGCCGGCGGTTTCATCACCGATTGGACGCGCCGACAACGCTAGAACCATTTGCTTCCCTCGTCTCGAGAAAATGGAAACATTGAGAGGTCAGGGGGCGAAGCATGGGGAGAAACGCGAGTAGATTCCATATAGGCGGATAGGTAAAGGAATGCCGGCGCGTTTTCATTCGAAAGTCGGTAAAGTGGGTGAGCGCATGTCCGGTGCTCCGAGGCCGACGGCTCTAGGTCTTTGGAATGGTCAGGGGTGGGGTAAGGGGCGCGGCCTGCTCGAAGAGGGGCAAAGCAGCTGATAATCAAGGTTATCGGAATGTCTGCTACGTCATCACCCGGATACAAGCCGAGCCCCCTTCGGTGGCCAATCACGCCTTCGCGTTCTTCACTGGCCTTGGCCGTGCGCGTAGACTTTTAGGGCCTTAAACTACGATTAGTTAATCCTGAATTAGCGCAATCCCCTGTTACACCGACCTAAATTAAGTCTGTGCCCTTTACTAGAACAGATATGTTGAGTGATGTTAAAGTAAGCTTACCGTCGAATGTCGCCAGTATTGTATGAGTTCGTGTATGTCAGTGCCAGGGGCGTAGAGCAGAAAGTCTCGCCACTCGTTAAAGCTGATGTTGAGGCTTCCATCCTTATCCATCCTGTACACAATAAAAGTTCCATTTTTACCATCGACTTGAAGAAAACACTCACCGTTCACGTTTGATCTCGCGTAGTTGGTATCGGAGAAACTAAGTGTAACATTCCGTAACGAGGAGTGACAGCTAGCAGCAGGTTATATAACCTATTTTTCCTAACGAATCTTAGATTTGTTAGCCTCAGCAGTTTCTCAGGATCAACGATCAAGTAAAGAAGAGAAATGATCTCACCTCTGTAACAATTTTGTCGCTTCGCCCCGGTCCATGTCTATTCCCAAATCTTTGAATGCTCTTATCAGCTCCTCCAGATCGATCTTCCCTGCAAAGAAAAATAATTATCATCGCTGTTTAGTTGCAAAAACCTACTGTAAAAAAAAAAGAAGGGCTATCGAATTCCTTAAACGACGTTGCCAATGATTATTTTGAAAACTCACCATCTTTATTTTTGTCGAGGTCTGTAAACTGCAATCGCAGGTTTTTCTCGTGCTCTCGGACATAGTGTATAAATTCAGCTAGACTGATGTCTCCGCTTTTCGTCCTGTCCGATTGGGCCAAGAATTTCTGGAAAGTAAAATACGTCTTGATTCACGCATACTCGTTGCAACTGACAATTGACACGCAGAAAAGTGTTAAAAAGAAACAAGTGAAAAGTGACAACAGTTGAAAATCAGTATTCAGTGCATGCTGGGAGAAATCTAGGTTATGTTCTAACGAGATACACATCCCTTTTTAAATGTCGTGTCATAAATATCGGTTATATCTGCATTATTTTGGTAACGGATGATTTCACACGTTAAACTACATTCACATAAATTGGATTTACCAGCGGCAGCTGTTACGTGACGTCGACCTTGCCGAAGCCCTACAATTACGTTATATAAAGAATATATCGTTCCAAAGTGCGGAATGTAAGTTCCTACTTATAATTGCTAGATCGATAACCAATAGTTGCTACCCGTGTCTTTTAAATGCAACAAACTTATCCTACATATTTCACGCATAAATCCGTTACGTTTAATTCCATACTTTTTCCTACATTAGACCTACGATTTTATTCCTATTGTAATTTAACGCAACTTCGATTTCAGATTTCCATTACGATTAAAAACTTCATGTTTATTACGCAACATTATCCAAAGTACAACGATTGAAGAGGCGGAAAATCCACTCCTCTCGTTGAGCTTCTACACAAAAGAACTTCGGTTACACCATCTCCGAGGTCCATACATTAAACCTTAACGTTTCACCCTCGAGAAGTTACTCCCAGTCGACGCATCTACCTGGAACGGCAAAGGGTTAAAAAACCGTCTCTTAACCCCAAAAGTGGGATTTGAGGATAAACCAGTCCATTAACCCTTAAAAACCGTTCTCTAACAGCACCTCGGCACACATACCAAGCTATAAACGGAAGAAGGTTAACTTTCCCGAAAAATCCTCACCTCGGCGTATCTTTTGTGAACGCCGACCTGGTGGAGCGCCTTCGAGAGGTCGTGGACATCGATCCTGCCCTTTCCGTCGAGGTCGAGTTTCTGGAAGATCTTCCCGAGTCTCTCCTCGTCCTGGGCAGGTAGCTCGTGGAGGTAGTGGGGCGGCATGACGCCGAGCGTCGCGGCGTTCCTGCCGCCGGACGGCATCTTCGGGCACCCTAACCTCGCTTTGGCGTCCCTGTCAATGCGGCTGTCAATAGCAGCGCGGTAGATGCGGCATGCGCCTCGCTTCCACTATCCGATAATGAGATTAATAACGGGGAGTAACGAGGAATAACGAGGAATAACGGCAAGTTATGGCGAATTACGACAAGAGGGCGAGCCTGGAGCGTTGCAGCTCAGCCGGTCCGATTCCAGGTGATTCCAGGATCCTTCTCCATGGACTGTCGATTGGTTATGTAAGGTGTGCGGTACAGGTTCTCCAGGGTCGCTGGAACGGTCGCAGGTTGAGCGTCGCGCGATCGTGGCGGGCCCGGGACGAAGTTCGGCCATCGACCACCAGGGGCGTCGCGCGCGATGAATTCAAGACGGAGGTGGAAACGTAGTCGTGGGTTATCGGGAACTCTCCTTGAATGGTAAATTAGCCCCGTAGGTACAGCAGGGCCTGCAAGTGCTGTTTAACATCCGAAATATTTATCATTCTGACAGGAGAGAATGGTTTCTACCACGGGGCTGAATATTTCGAGAATGCAGTCGGCCGTCTCCCTTTAAACTTAACCTCGCGTTATCCTAACGGTATTTCGCGAAGCATGATCGATACCGAGCATTGAGGTGCCCGCTACTCCAAAAGGTGTCGAAAATTGAAGAAGCCTTTTACAGAAGCGAGCTTCAGCCATTATTATACGTACCGTTATCAGGCTTCTCTGCGTTGCACATGCTGCTCGTGTTATCAAAGATTATTCACGAATATCTCGGCTCACGTCACGATATACTATGATATTTATTTCTCTACGGTAGGTACGTCTCATTTTTATTTTACATCGTTCAATTTATTTTTAACACGTAGATAATGTCTTCGATCCACTTTAAGGCATTATTCCGTTGAATTTATCGAGATAGGTCGATTATACTGATTCTTTTCGCTTTCTGCGATATTAAGGTAGGTCATTAATGTCGAGAAGCGATCTACGAGTACATGATTCGTCGAGAGGATTGCAAATTTCCGAGCGTTGCTTAAAATGGTTCTGAGTCGAAACGATAAGAGGAAACGCAAAGAAGGCGATCTTGTCGACCTCATGGGGCCTTTATCGGAATCTCCTAAAAGGTAAATTTGTATATTTTAATATCGTTAGTAAAAGGAAAACCAAACAAACGTTCGGACTCTCTTTGTATAAATGCGATTAATGTAAATGATATAATCGATGTAACGCGTCGCTTGTTTAGGACCAAAGTGCACGCACAGAGGAAATTTGCACAGGGATCGGCGACCGTGTTCAGTCCCACGCATACACCCGTAAAGGAAAAGGAGAAAACCAAGCCTGCAGTAATTACGGAACTCATAACCCACAAACGACCCAACACCGAAGACTTCCTGACGTTCCTTTGCTTTCGAGGTTAATTGGTTACTAATGAAAGATTCCTATCTCGAAGACCGCGTAAGCATTTTTGTAACCATTTTATATACCGTTATCAGGTACGTCTATACTGCCTCCAAGTTTGAATTTCTTCAACGTCGGCCCCAAGAAGGAGAAATCGGAATCAAAGCTGAGCACAGCCACGGTGGAAAACAGTCCTTCGTCGTCAAGTGCATCTACTCCTCTCGCAGAGACGGCGAAACCTAACCCAACTAAAAAGATACAGGCCAATAAGTCGAAAAATGTGGTTCCAGAGAAAAAGAAAGTGTCGAATAGGATTCAGAAAAACATAACCAAGTACAAATCGACGTCATCAACGGTTCAAGCACTGAAGAAGAAGTACCAGGAACAGCGTCTTGCCAAGCAGCGAATCAAGAACAAATTCAAAGCCTCTTGCGTGATACGAACTCGTTCCTCCACGGAGAGAGCAATCATAAAGTCCAATCCTAATCTCCCTTCGAGGAAATATCTGTCTACGGTGGAGACAAAGAGACTTGGACTGCGAAGCAGTGCCAATAAGTCAAAGAAAGTGAGTCTTACAAAGAGTAAAGGAATCCCAGCGAAGCCGAAGAAGAGACCTTTAGTGAAAGAGAAGAGTCACTCGTCGAATGTGGAGTTGTCCTCCGATGAAGAAGTTCCATCTACCAGATCGATGTCTCAGGCCAAACGAAGTCTGAGAACTGTCTCAAAGAAGATCTGTACCAGAAGTAAATCTGAACTGCGGAGAGTTACCAGGTCGCATAGTGAAATAAGCTCGCAGTCTCTCTCTCGGAGGCCTTCCAGGAAGACTAAGGAGGCTGCTGCGGTATACATGGAGATTCTGGGCAGGAAGTTAGTCAGTCCTGATCTGGAGAATGATGACAATTTGTCTGTCGATAGCTTCCCTGAGTTGCCTAATGCACGAAGGATTGCTCAGACTGAGAGTGAAATCAAAGCGAAGGTTAGACAAGTCAGGCCGCAGCAGAAGGAGACCAAAAATGAGGGCTCGAACAGTTCGAACAGGAGACCGGAGAGGGCGAAACCTGAAAGTAAAGTTATATTGAAGAATAAAAGAGTTCTGCGTGTTAGGAAATATTGTGAGATAGATAGTGACGAAGAATCTATTAGTTCGGAAGAAACTGGCAAAGCTGGACCCATCACAAGGCGGAGTGTTGGGAAGGGTGTTCAGCCTCCGAGTAGAAGCCTTCGGTCTTCGTCAAGGAACGTTGCTCCGAAGAGCGAAGTGCAAACATCTAGCCAGTCTAGTAAAGATAAAGAGAAGATAATCACGAAGAGGAAGAAAGAACAGCTGGGGGGTAAAGAAACGAATAAAGAAACGGTTAAGGGTAGTGCTGCGAAGACTAAGGTATACAAAAGTAAGGTTAAGTCCACCGATTCCGAAGAGGAGACTTTAGGAATGTTGTTAGACAAATTGAAAAAGAAGAAGAGTTCCGCAGAGGCGGAGAGGGAGAGCTCTCTGGGGAAATCGGAAGCGAAAGAGGAAAACCGCTCGGCGAAAGAGACGCCGGAAATTAAAATCGACCTTTCGAAGGTCTCCGATGACGAGGAGTCTTTCAGAGGTTTCACGAAGAAGGCAATTTCGAAAGTACTGAATTCGTGCCATTCACACGTTAATGCCAATTTGCTGGCCTCAGAAGAGGCCGATGGGAAGTTGGATGCAGTTAAATCACAAGCTGTGCCACAAACGAATGTCTCGGAGTCAAAGGAAAAGTTATCGCTAGCCACAGATACGTCTATAATGGTGTTACAAAGTGAAGCAATTAAACATGCCATGGCGGAGAATTCAATGTACAATGACTCATACGAGGCCCTTGCTGCAATTACATCGAAGCCTGATAAAAAGTACAGCCACGAGGTCAAGAGCTCTACGGTGAATATAATTGACATGCCGTTGTCATCTGCTCATGGCCGTAAGGAAAGAGTGAATATGTCTACCGAGCAGATTGAAAAATGGCTGAACGAAAGCTCGATGGCGAAGGAGGAGAGCAAAGTTGAAATGGAAACTGTATCCAACTTCAGATACGAAGTCTCCGAAAAGGTTAAAAGTGACTCGAGCCATCTATCGATCTCTACGAAGATCCAGCATTTAGTACGACCGGTGAATGTGACCTTATCAAAAATCAGTGAAAAGAATACAAAGGAGAAACTTCTCGTGCAGGCCAAACCAGCAATGTCACAAGTGACTGGAGTTCATGCCTGCGCGATAAGACCGCAGAGTGTCTCCAGTTGTCGCAGTAAAAATAATTCCGAAGCGAAGGAGGTAGCAAAGCGAAGGTGCTCGAAGGGCAGCAAGGACTTTTCCTATGGAGATGACAGCGACGCAGTGTCAAAGTCTGACCAGAACTCCACCGATGGCTCTCCGGAGAAGAAGCCTCTAGATAAGAGGATCGGTAGCCCTCGGAAGCCCTTTCAACCGAAGGTTAAAGAGCGCAAAGTGATGACTCCGAGTGCCAATGCATTCTCTCCAGAGAACGAGAGCAGTGTCTACGCTTTCGAGAGTGACACCGAGACCCCCGTTAGCACGCCCTTTCGGAGAAAGCTTCGAGACAACTCCAAGCTCACCGAAGGAAATTCATCGAAGGATTTAGAGGTCGCGAAACCTGGGAGTGAGTGTTCAAAGGAGCCCGACAATGAGGTGCCAAAAATAGAGAAAAGTGTCACAAAGGTGGAGTCCTCGAGTAGCGTCCCGATGCAGTTGTCAGGTCTGAACGTGAACAAAATCGAGTTACCAAAGTGCTTTGCCAATTTAACGCATGCTCAGGTTCTGCCGTTAAACAAGCTGACGACTAACTGGAGCAACGTTAACTGCAGCTCTTCGATAGCGGTGCAAGTGAACTTGGACGAGCAGACCCAAGAACAGTCTGTGGATCCTGACAACGGCAACCTGCAGAAGAGTACAGAGATTTCTACGCAGACTGACAGCAATAATGATAACGATGATGATAACGACGGCCAGTTATTCTATATACCGCTGCAAGCGATGACTAGGAATGGACCTAACCTTGTTCAAGGCCAGCAATTGATCCAAGGTGTAGCCGTTAAATTAGGCACCGAAGGACCCACCGGACCCAATCAGAGAGTCCTGCTCAGAGCAAAGTTGGTTACCAAACCTCCTGTGACAGTTGCTCGTTGTCCACCCATCGGAACGGTTCAACCTACCACCAGGACCCCTCCGAGTGCTCCGTCATCCATCGACCAAGCTGTGCCTTCCACATCTACTGCTGCTACTTCTGCTTCCATTGAAAGACAGTCTCCAGTGAACAAAACCACTGGCAATGTTCAAGCGAACCAACATAACCTACCCGTAGGACCCGCAGTCTCCGATAAGGTGAACCGATCACCCAAGATGACCAGGGAACGGAAGGCTTCGATCGACTCCTCCAAAAGTGGCAAAAGGTGGCTCAGTGTTTGGTATTGTGTTTATTCTGCGCACCCTGTTTGGAGAAAGGTTTCATAAATATTTTGACGTTTTGCTATATTATTTGACACTTTCATTATATATTATTGATAACCGAAGGAGGCACGAAGCACAATAGGATGAAATTCTTCCCACAATTCTCGTTCTAATCATTCGTTTCAATGTCCAGGTCCCAAATGAAGCCGAAACAGAAAATGTCAGAAATCTGTTCGCCGAGCAACGATACAACCTTTCCAAGTATCAAGGATACTAACACCGAAGCTCGTCTCGTAGAAGCTCCCACGTTTCGCCCGACAGAAAAAGACTTCCAGGACCCATTAGAGTACATCGACAAGATTCGTCCCGTAGCAGAAAAGTTTGGAATCTGTAGAGTCGTGCCTCCCCAAAATTTCAAGGTCTCTCATACTATTTCCTTCCTATCTCGAACTCCCTTAAAAGTTCCCTTAAGGTGATAGGAAAGTGGCGTCCGACAAATCTTTATGAAATTTCTCCGATCTGGATCTACCGAGTGATTAAAAAATTTACCACATAAAGAATTCTCCAGAAGGAGATCCCAAGAAAGGTCTCTACACCAATTAAATTCAATATCTTTAATTTATTCATAAGCATTTCTTCAAGTTCTTACATAAATATTAATTAATCCCTGCCACTTTCATGTCACCTTAACAGATTAAAGAAATGATGCCTCTATTGTGAAGTTCTCTTAATTAATGTTCAATTTTAGCCAGAGTGCAAGGTCTCCGATGACATGAGGTTCACTGCGTACAATCAGTACGTTCATCGGATGCTTCACAGGTGGGGACCTAACGTCAAGGAGATGATGGCGATTAAAAAATACCTGGCCACTCAGAGCATTACCTTGACCCATCCTCCGTGGGTAGGACATCAGTATTAACCATTATTAATTAATTAATAATGATGTCACTGTACATATCACTGCGTCGTAGCACATCGATACTGTCTCCATCGAGGCATATTTTTCTATAATCCCAGTCTACGTTGTTAATAATTCTAGATAGGAGGAATGGAGGTGGACTTGCCTCATCTGTATCAGACCGTGCAAAGTCTGGGAGGTCTAAAAGAAGTCATCGAGAAGAAGAAGTGGCAAAAGGTTGCCGATGGGATGAAAATCCCAAAGTCTGCCCAGGACCGTGTCACCAAGTTAGACGACATCTATTGTAAATATTTGCTGCCCTACGACACACTGTCTCCAGGTTTGCAGACATTTCTTTTATTTATTTAATTCCTTTCCAACTGAATAACAAGGTAATAAGAAATGAAAACATTACAAAATCTCTCCAGAGGAGAGAGAGAAACTGTTCGATGAGGTGGAGACAGAGTGGGCGAAGAGGGAAAGCAAAGCTCTGGAGAGACTCGATACGCAGTCCAATGATGACGAAGAGGATGAAGATGACAGTTCCGATGAGATGGAGGAATGCATAGTCAAGGTGAGAAGATACTTCCCCAGGGTGAGGAAATGCAACCCAGTCAATTATTAATATCCTCCGCAGGGTAGGAATATGCCACTGAATGCCTTTTACCGGATCGCTCGCAACACCCAGAGGATGTGGTTCGGGGAGAACCAGCGATCAGGAAGTGAAACCGAGGGCGCCTCCGCAGACGAGGTGGAGACAGCGTTTTGGAAGCACGTCGCCGAGAGGAAGCGACACGTGTGCGTGCACGCTGCCAGCATAGATTCCAGCGGACGTGGGTTCGGGTTCTCCGTGGCGAAGAACAGTCCTTTTGCCAGGCACCCTTGGAACTTAAAAGTCCTGACGAATAACGCGGGCTCTGTCCTCCGAGCCCTGGGACCGCTGATGGGTAACGCCTTCCCCGATAACGGTTCCCCATTTAATCTTAAAATATCTCACCTCTGTGCCCTTCATCCCCAGGAGTTACCGTGCCGACCCTCCACGTGGGGATGTTGTTCAGTGCATGTTGTTGGTACCGAGACCCCCACGGCCTGCCCTGGATAGAGTACTTGCACACGGGCGCGAAGAAGATCTGGTACGGCATCCCGGACGAGCACAATTACAACTTCAAGAAGGCGCTCGCGAAGATGGTGCCCCGTTACTGTAAGAACAAGACGATCTGGTTGCCCTCGGACACGGCGATGGTGCCGCCGGAGACGTTGGTCAGCAACGGGGTCTCCCTGTGCCAAACCGTCCAGGAGCCTGGCCAGTTCATCGTCGTCTTCCCCAAGGCGTTCACCTCCAGCATCTGCACCGGCTACGTCGTCTCCGAGAGCGTCTATTTCGCCCACTCGTCCTGGCTCGAAACCGCGGAACAGGTCTTCAAGGTATATCCCAGGGTCTCTGAAATAGGTGCCCCTCATCAGTTGGATAAATATATATATATCTCGGGTTTGAATTTTAGGACATACACGACAGCTGCGAGCCGTCGATATTTTCGTTCGAGAGGCTGCTTATCAGTATTATCAACGACACGAGGTCCCACATCGACGTACTTAAACAGATCTTGCCGACGGTGATGAGAATCCGCGACAGGGAGATCGACTACCGGAGGCAATTACAAGGCTCGGGTCTCCTTAACACGGAGAAATTGCCACTGCCGGATAGTGGGAAAGGGAAGAAAGGGAAAAGGGTTAAGGAAGACGACGGAGACTTCGAGTGCGAGACTTGTCGAGCGAACTTGTTCGTCTCTTTGGTGAACAACTCCCAGGACGACAGCGTCTATTGTCTGCCGCACGCTCTTCAGCTGATCTCGAGAAAGAAGAATCTACTGAAGAGCTGCACTCTCATGTACACTTACAGCGAGGTAATTTACATTTTTAAACAGAGCCGATAAGCACTTAGGTGTCCTCGGAGTGTCTTAACAATTCATTCGTTATCTTCTTCCAGGACGAGCTGGACGAGCTGATTCAAAAGCTGGAGGACAGGATCGAAGCCAAATCTAGGAAGACTAATCAAATCAGGCAGAGCAAATAGACCGCCGGGATCTAGAAATTATTTATTAACATAGGGAGATCGAGATTGCGACTTAATAGAGCCGATTGTTACGATGGTTTAATATACCATTCGCGCCTTGGCCTTATTTATTCCACTTCCCTTAAGGATTTCATTTCGCTTTTTCGTCCCTTATGAGAGCAAGTGCCAAGACGTCGAAGAACTGCTTTCCCCGTGAAGTAGTTTACTGTAATCTATCTAGAGAAGTTATGAAAAAAATATATAAAAAGAACAATTTCATTTCGATATCGTAACGAGTAGTCGTAGAACGTTGACGTAAATAAATGTTGAAGAGGGAAAAAGAAGAAAAAAAAAATTACTCTCTGCGATTTTAATGTTAATCGCTCCTGGTGGAAAGCACTGCCCCCTAGAACTTTATCGCGAACTATTATAACATTATATTTATTTATTCCAATGGTTGAGATCTTATTCTATCGCGAGATGCATCCGTTAATTAATTCATTGCGGACCTTCCGATAATAATTAATTAATTAATTAATTAATTATTCAGTTCTCCGTAGCCGTCTATCTTTAATGTAATTCTGCTTCTCCCTTAAGTTGTATATACATATTATGTGTGTAAATATATATATATATATATATATATACACACACACGCGTTCGGTAAACGTTTCGAATAAAAGTGTACTTGAATACAAGTTCCTTTACCTCTTTCTAACTTAACGTGAAATGAAACCTCTAATAAGTCGATATAAATGCGAAAGTCGACAAAGCAGGTACCTAGAAGAATCTCGTTTGCCGACGTCGGTGAGATTTCCAAACGCGTTTCACTTCACCTTAAGTAAAGAAAGAAAAGAAAAAAAGAGTCTTACCAGAATTTAGAAACTTGAGGGGGGTCTCACTTCATTTTAAGAATAAGTTTGTCGGGGCTTATCTTCGCTTTCCACTGATAAAGGGCACACACACACACACACACTCAGAGCGTGCAAAGATGCAGGAACGAATTCCAATGAAATCTGAAAAAGAGTATGTACGTGAAATGTTTATTAGCAATGTAATAAATTCGTAAAATCAAATGCCACGCCTGGAGCCTCAATATGAGGACGAAATTAGAATGACTGTTCTTGCGCCAAGTCTACCCAGTTCTCAGGATAAAAACCTTTCGACAAGACGGAGTGGAATCCCAGATGGAATAAATAATCGAGGGATTAATTAATAATATTGTATGATTAATTCCAGTTAACTAGAGTAAATAGGAAATTACTGGTAACGCAAGAAAGTGCACTGTGCCGAACACTTTCCAGTCCGTCGAGTTGAGGCCATTCGACAAGTAGTCCTCCTCTAATTATCACTAAACCTGTACAGCGATGTTTAAACTCATTAACCAGTGGGTCGCAATAAATAATTCCTAAAACTTCCCAACGTAACAATTAATTAAAGCTAAAGAATCTTTTGGAAAAGAGTTAGCGGTACACTGGGAGACATCGATGCCCTCGGCAGGGGAGGCATTCATGTCCTCCACTGTACAGTGGATAAAAAACTGATCGTAGAACAGAACCGCTGTCCTTTTTAGATTAAAAATCAATGGCGGTGACTATTCCTTTGGAATATGTACAGTGTATAAGTTGTAAACAATGGCAGAGACTAATCGTTGCCTCAAATTTAACCTCTTTCCCTTTCGCACCTTATTTAGAAAGTAAGTTTCCATTAACGGTAGACTATGACAAGTATTCAAATGTACATACACGCACATTAAGCCTTAACTCTGGAATGGTTTGGATACAATAGTCAATGTACAAGGATAATGTATATCACGTACTACCCGCAGAAACACTTCCACGTACCATGCATGCAACAATGGTACAACGGATACATTGTTCCGAAGAACACATACCTCCGATCAGTTTGAAAACCATCGAAGAGATAACCACGAGATCGAAGTTGATATAATTCCGCAAAGGGAACAAATTAATTAAGTTAAAACAAATGAAAAAAAAAAAAAGAGAAGCGTAATGCTTGTTAACTAAAATCCTTCGGTGGAGGGTTACGACTAAATTAATAAACCCAATAAACACAAGACGGTGGAATATGCGTTGAAGATAAATAAAGTGAAATCGTTTGCAGCAATGAAACATAAACGCTTAATCTTTACATAGTCTTGCGTGTATAAAGCGTATTCCACTATTTTCTGTTTATCGGGAAGACTCTTTAAGGGGATGTGAAGTGGCATTTAATGGAAAAAAAAAATAGAAATCCGAGTTTCAGGACCTTCCTTATACCCTGGAGGGTAAATATAGATATTTATATTGTAAACTGTTAATCGATTGGATTTGGAGAAAAAGTTTCATTAAGGAGAACTCCTCGCCACTTTCGCATCGCCTTAAGATATTGTATACTCCTATATTGAAAATATATAAGGAACGGTTCATCATCTGAGATGGCTCTCCGAGTGACGGAGACAACTTGTCTCGAAACTCAATCACGTTGCATCGTGAACGGCCAATCCAACAATTATTATTAAACAATTGGCCACTGTCAATTAATGGACGGTTCTTTAGAGTGGCCTCTAAACTGTCTGGAAATTAGGCGGAGAGAATTTGCGACCTGATGTATCGATGCACCCCACGAGTTGGAATTTAACATCGAAGAGAGCCTTTCGGTGCTGAATGAGTTTCGAGAATAATTAATCCCCTCATTGTTCCCTGTGCTGGAGGACATTAAAAAGCGTCTGGGAGTTCTCTTCCCTGCCCTCGTCCTCTTCCTCGTCGGAGCTGAAGTTGGCGTTAAGTAAATTCGTCAAAGATGTGGATTTCTGTGTAAGGAGGGGAAGATTAGTCTCGACCCCTTCTTCAGGTTTTGTCCCGTTGCTCGTCACCGAGGAGTTAAACTGCAGCTCGAGGCTCTCCGTGGCGCGTCTCTTGTTAATTAATAATTTCTGGGTAACGTGCAGAATGATCCCGCCAAGGCACATCAATAAGCCGATGAAGTTGAGGACACTCATTCGATCTCCTTGCCATTCAAAGGCTAAGATTAATATACATATTTCCTGGAAAGGATGGAAACTTAACATGACCTCGGTTGAAGAAGATTTATCAAGACCGACGAGCAATGATCGTGGAATTAAATCATGAAATCCCTTGTCGTTACTTTACAACGTTGCAAAAGAAATTGTTGGAATGAAATGAGACTCGATTGATTTAATTTAACCTTCCATACGCGTTTGCTTACCTTCAATATCCCGGAAATAGATAAAGTCAGACTAGAAGTGTACGTAACGACCATGAACTCCGTAATTTCCATGTGAAATGCTAAAATGGCACCTCCCAACACAACAGTGCACGTAGAGATGATACTGGATGTATCGTTCCAATCCACCCTCAACAGGCTATCATAAAGTTTCTGCCCTGAAAAGAATGACTCAAATCACTTAACCTCAAATTGGCCACATGCATCTACTGGACTCGGAGCCTTAGAGAGTCGTTCCTCAAACATAACCTTTCATCCGAATAGTAATCGAGACTTCTTTCAAACCATGTTACAATTAACAATCCTGCGATATGCTCACTACTATTCCCACTAGACTCTTTCCTATAATTAATACGAAGGAGATAATCAATATTACCTTCGAACCACATCGTAACTGGTAAGATTGCGAGAAGCATCCACGGCTGCATATGGAACATCATATCGATCGGGTTCCTAACGCCAAGTTTAGACTTTTGCATGATAATTTGCGCCATGGTCCACCGTAGCCCACTCGAAAAGGACGCCAGAAGGCAAAGTACAAATCCAAGGACTTCAAATTGGGTCGACTTGTAGGTGAACATTATCAATCCTCCGGATATCATAACCACGATTCCAACCAACGACCACGACTGAAACAATTGTCACGTCTTATCGTCTCAACAACCACATATGAAAACATTCTTAACACCTCGAACGATGGAAAAATATCCACAAAGAAAACATATACTGCCAGACTTAACTTAATCGTATAGGTTACGTATCAAAGCATTTCGAAACGGATGAAAAGAAATTCTACGTTACCGTGGGCTAAGTCTGGTGGCTTTAAAACCCTGCATAAAAATTTGGAATAACTTGTTTAACGATACACAGTGCACGATATTGAAAATAGATAAATATACTTTAATAGTTTGTTTAAAAATCTGGCTTTTAATACCTTCTTTTCTAAGTTAAATAAGAGAGCAAATCCCAGAATGAAGATGATGGTTGTCGACTTCGTCATGGTGTACCTGAGGGTAGGAAGTGAGAAGTAGGTTCCTGCGTTAAGAATATGAACGTTATTCTAGTCGAAGCACTTACAGAGACATTGTGATCAGAGATATGGCCCAGTTCGAAAAGCCAACGTCGAAGCCACTTGCTATTCCTGGAGGAGCCAACGAGCAGACTACGTTCTGCCATGGCAATCCGACTTGTGAGTGGCCCTTGTAACACCTTCTTACACATCTGACTAGCGTAGCGAGAAAGAACTTCACAATCAGGTGGCAAGCCACTACACTGAGAGGAAAAGGAATTCCCTGAAAATATTACTTCGATCGTTAAGCTGGCGGAGTTTGTAACCCTTTTAAGAACGATAATTAATTATCATTGAAAGACTGGAACGCTGGACATAAATATCTGACTTGGGGATGAAAATAGAGATTGCGACTACCTACCCGAGTACTGTACAGCCACTGCTGATAAAATGTAAGCCCGACCGACAGAGCAAAATACAATGCTATCAACAAGGTCGTCAGGCCAATCTTTCTCCAAAACGAAGTCTGCGTTTTCGCCGTGCTTTGAAAATCGTGCACTTGCTGTAGAAAGTAGTCCGGCGAGTCAGCATCTTGACTAGCGACTTCATACTTCACGTTAGACCTAGGCATATTTTTTTGGAAGAAACGTCTGCAAATAGAATCCACTATTCATTACAATCGTTAAAGGTTTGGTCACGAAGGCACAACCCACCTATTCAGCTCCGGCTAGGAAGCGAACGATGCGTTAATTACCCATATATGCTCACGATTCATTGACCGATTTGCTCAAACATCTTTGCGAAGCCAATGCCGATAGCGAACCGATTCCAAGCATATTACGCAGCGTCTGGGCTCGATCGAGCCGACGACAAATGGCAGGTTAATCATCCGAATAAATATTCGCAATTCCTTTACCTGAGGAACTACTTAACGCCACGGTCCAACCACCGACGAAGGCACCATCGCAGGGAAATTCCCTGCGCCGAAGCTACACGGCGTAACATAAAACCAGCAATTCCATTGCACTCTCCCAAAACAAATGTCTCGAGGAATATATAAAGAATAAGCAGGAAATAATGATAAAAAAGGGGTCGTTTACCTGCAAGGTGGATTCTCAGACAGCGAGAACCCCCGTAAACATAACCTCGTAACTGTTTCTCCAATCCCCGTCTGAGGTTATGTCGTTATATAATATTACACCTAATTTCTTCGAACCCGTTCTTCGCACTTTCGTTGTCAATTCGGTAAATAATCGTGCGTCAAGTCGGCAGAATTAACCTGAGCATGTCTCCCTCGGTCGCGTAAACGTGACTACCTTTCAACTCGAATCACATATCGAATCTCGAAATGCGAGATATCGTTCGACCGACAGCCGTCAAAAATCCGAACCTATATATTCCGCCCACCAACCTAGGTTAAATCACCGATTACCCAACCGCGGGTTAAAGTAAACGACCGAGTTAATCATGGGTTAGGAACATAAACGTTCCCCTATAGATAAGCAGGGTGATCTTTCACGTCATTGTCGAAAGGTAAACGTGGAACAGCATTCAAAAGGACGAAATGTCTTCCGTCGGTAAAGTAAGACCCGTATGCAGGTCTCAAACACGGCAGAGTACCGGTAAAACGAAGTTACCGACCCTTCGAAAGTAGTTCCACTTTTTACAGAGGTGTAAAGGGTGTAGAGGTCGCCAGGGGGCCGCGCCTCCCTTTGAAAAAGTGGCGCAAAGAACCTCCGGTGTACATAAAAGTATGTTTCGCGCTCTGTAGTACAGTAAACCTTTCGATATCAGCTAGTAAATAGGTAGCAATATGCTCTTGACAAAATACTACTAACATTTAAAATATATGTACACTCTCCCCTGGCAATACACACAGTAAGATAATCGTAGCAACTTTAGAGCGACAGTTACAACACTTATCTTTATCTTAATCCCCCGTACCTCGACAGTCGTCGAAACCAGATAGGGGTTGTCCAAGTCATCCCCAGGAAGTCGAAAGTTCCATATCCCTTCCAGGATATATCGTCAATGTCGATCTACGTTTCTAAATATTCGCGAATCGTGTAAAAAGCTTGCACTCGACGACTGTCGATTCGACTTTGCCACTGCGAAGGACGGTCGTTACAATTGGCGGTGACAAAAGACAAAAAGAAAGAGAGAAGGAAAAAAAAACACGTCCCGGCCTAGCGACAAGCTGATAAAAACTGCGGTTGGCCACACACGACAGGCAGATAACGTTTCCCAAGAAGGAAGATACGACACCGTGTGCGGAAACGCTCGTTTTTCTCATTCTACATATATAAAACGTGTGTATATACACGTATATATGTATATGACATTTTTATAACACCTTAACACTATAAGCTATCACTTACAACCTTGCGCGAAGGTAAAGGTATGTAAAACAAATCGCCCAATAAAATCCGACCTTGTTTACTCTTAATGAGAGTGCACAATCGTTCCCACATATCTTCCGTTCAATATACAATTATTCGCAGTTAACCCAGACAATATACAATTACACAGGGCATCGCAGTCAGTGAGAAATTTCTACGATCCACTTGTGATGGTTCTTCAGAAAGATCCCACACGATTCGTCGTTCCTCTTCGTCCACCCCTTCTCGACACAACACACTACGCTAGAATTAATATCCATAATCTTACCCGAAACCAAATTGAGGCAACAGATCCGCCGTTGGAAAACTCGCATCCATTTACTCCCCATTACTATAGTAATTAATCATTAATGTATATATATAAATTGTATATTACACAACGCTCGTCCGCGTCGGGTTACGATTACGTGCTTTTTACAGTGGAAGAGAGGTTAGGCTCTTCGGGCGAGGTCCGATGTTATCTGCGCTCGTTCCTCCCGCCGTTTCGGTAATTACCTCGGCCCCTCGCACTTCCCTTCGCCGAGGAAGTGGATTTCGTCCCGGTCTCCCCGGTGAACCTCGCGGAGCCTCCGGGAAGTCCCGCCGCGGTGGCGCCTCCACCACCCCCGCCGCCATTTCCGGTCTTCGTGGCCGCGGAGCTTCCGCCGGCGCCGACAGCTGGCGCCACGGCGTTGCTCTGCGCGGCCTGCGGACATAAAAACGATCGGTATACCTCGATTTCGTAACTTTCACATGGTGAAAAGGTGAGATGCTTCACGGGAGACTACTCGTTCGATCTGGAGATTTCACATTTTCACAAAGAGAATCGGACGAGTAAACTCACGGATATGAGAGTGCGAGAAGTGAGCACTCCGGAGAGAAAACGAGGAGTTAATAAAATACGAGATATATACGTCACGTACGAGGGGTTGTCGGGCGGTGTTCGCGGGGAGGTTGTTGGCGTTGCCGTTATTGGTGACGGCGTTGTTGACGCCGACAGGGGTCGCGGGTGTCGCTTGGGAGATGAGTTGCTGCGCAAGCGCAGGGTTGGGCTCGCTCATGTTGAGCTGCTCGTTGATGACCATGCAAAACTCGCCGATCTTCTGTATGTCGCCGGTCTTCCCGGAGTAGAGGGTCAGGCACTGCCTCCAGACGGAGGCGTAGCCCTTGGTGAGCCTGACGATGTCCCCGGGGACGAGGAGCTGGCCAGGCTCGTCCCAGATGGAGACGTTCATGCAGGCGGTGCTGTCGGCCACCTTGAAAGTTCGAACTTCGCGGTTCTCCTTGGTGACCGTAGGGTGTCCAACTTCGAGAACGATAAACACCACATTAATGTTTTTCTGCCCGGGACGGATGTCCTTGATTAGCGCGTACTCCATGACGCGAAGAGAGGAGTCGATGACGTTGCACTAGGACTCTTCCCGGCTGTTCCCGGCCGAGGGACACGAACACGAGAACTACGTAGAGCTCCGATATCGATGCTCGCGGCGATGGAAGATCGTTTTCTTTCAACTGGTCAAGGGAAACTCTCCGGGCGCGGGTTACTCGTACGGAAGGCCGGCGCGGCCCCTCGAGGAGGAGTTCATTGCGGAAGGGATGCGCGAGTCGCGCGAGTCGTGCCGTTGGCAGCTGATGGGAGGAGTGGCGGCCATCTTGAATCTGATGCGCGGCGCGTGCCGTTGGCGGCGCTGGTGGGGGCTCGGCAAACATGGCGGAGATTTGGAGGGGAGGCCGGGTGACGCCATCTTGGAAAATGGCGGCGCCCTACTGAACGTTCCGAAATCCCGGGGGATGGTCTCACTTTTCACATTTTCACCAGATTAGAGTTACGGAATCTAAACTGCGTATTTATTAATACGATAGAGGCATGCTATGCGGATGGAAACGCGGTCATTATAACCTAACCAATCCTAGGGATATTTGGTATATTTTCTCTAGGCAATTTATGCCGGGAGAAGAAACGTCGGAGAAAATTAGACACGTCGAATGTTTTGAGTCCAGCTTTAGGTTTAGATTCGAGGATCTACTTTAATTCGGGAATTTGTTTGATTCGATTAACTGCGCGTCAATTGATGACCCCGTTGGACGAGTCAATAAGTAATAATAACCACTATCTAGCCAATTCCAAAGAGCATGGAAAGATCGTGACGCCACATGGAATTGCGAATTGTGAAAGAGATATTTGCCAGGGAGACGAGAGACACTTGAAAATACCGAGATTTAGCGGTAACCTAGATAAAATTACCGGCGAGATTGCGATAAATTATGTAATCCACCTTTTTCTATAACAATGTGTAATTTTATCATTTAATTTCTAGTCGAGATATGTAACGAGCCACCGAGCATCTCTGCGGCATCCATTTACATTTCAAATAGACTTCGATCCTTAAACCTCGCAAATCGATCGGAAAGGACCTTGGACTTTAACGGGATTTACTCAGTATGGGATCGTTTAATGCTTCTTCTTTCGAAACTTATTAGCGAACGCACTTGTACCAACGTTTAAGTCAGTATGTCCAGGGCACATCGGCGATCGATAGTTTAGATAACTATATCGAGGCGTTATCATCGGCGAGTTGTCGGGAAGTTTCGGCTTACGAGTTAACGAACCATCTGGGACTTAATCCGGTGAAATATGGGAGTGACTGCGGAAGAAGTTGCCGAACTTCGGGATAGTTTCTTTAAGAAGATTGGCGAGGAAGGGCCTGAGTTCGGTATGACTATTTGAGGATCAGATAATAATGTTGAACGATTTAACGAATGTCCAGAAATTGCTATAATCAAAATCTTACAGAGGGTTTCCATCCAGTCGATATAGCCAGAATAACGGAGCAGGACACTTGGCTAAAGCGGTTCCTTGAACACAATGAACGTAACATGAACGAGTCTCTTCGCATGCTTTGGGAGTGTTGCGCTTGGAGGAAGAAATTTGGCACCAACGGTGAGACTTTATGGCACAATTTCCATGTAATGGTAGTCTTACATATTTTAAACATTGTCTCGTTAAATGCAGATATCTCAGAAGAGACGGTGAGGCGAGACTACTTGGAAGATGGAATTTGCTACAGCCATGGCAGAGATAAAGATGGAAGGAAACTGTTCATTATTAAGTCAAAGCAACATGTTAAAGGAGCGCGGGACTTTAAGGAGTTACAGAGATGCATCGTGTACTGGTTCGAGAGATTAGAGAGGTTTCGTATTTAGTTTCGTGGATTTTTCAGAAATTTCATCGACGAGCTTCGAATGGAAAAACATTACGTAAATAATATAGATGCGAATGTGTAAACTGTTTCGTTAATATCTTCCAGGGAAGAGAATGGAAAGCCCGTTTCCCTGTTTTTCGACATGGCGGACGCAGGACTGAGTAATTTAGACATGGAATTTACGCAGTATTTAATAGGGTTATTCAAGACATACTACCCGAACTTCTTGAACTATATAATAATCTTCGACATGCCATGGGTCCTAAACGCAGCCTTCAAGATCATAAAATCTTGGCTGCCAGCAAAGGCGATACCAAAAATCAAGTTCGTAAATAAGTTGAACATCAAAGAGTTCGTCGATCAGAATGACATTTTAAAGTCTTGGGGAGGCACTAACGATTACGTCTTCAAGTTTGTATCGGAGACCCAGTCGAATGCCGTCATGAATGGTAAACTCGAAAGCAAGAAGGTAAGCTGAAGGTAACCGCAGAATGCTTTTATAATATTCCTCGGATCTATGGTTTATCATAGCATAACTTAAGTTAATCTAAAATTTACATAACCTGCATTAAATTGCAGGTTCACTTTGCAGGAGGGTCTCCGATTGAAGAACAACCATCTGGCTTTGACGATCAAACCAACAATGATACTCGTAAGATGAACAGTTTATTTATTTATTTATATATAGAAAACTGATGCTTTTGTTGCATTCAAAAAGTATATTTTTTAGTTCTATCGGTCGAGCCAGATGTAATAGTGCTTTATAGAGGAAAGGCAGAGCCGAGTGGGACGATCACTCTAAAGAATCTTACAACGGAGAAATGTGTCACGTACAAGGTACTTATTTATTGTTAACGTTTGGACTCATTTGAATGTCAATTCCCTGAATATATCATTTCTGACAGATAAAGACAACGACCCCTGAAAAATTCAAAGTACACCCAAGGATTGGTATTCTGCGTCCTGGGGAAAAGGTTGACGTCGTCGTCATGTTACAACCGGGATATGAAATACGTGGCTGGCTGCACAATATTAAGTTCCTCGTTATGTGTCTGCCCATAACGGAGTCAGAGATGAACAAAGAGTTGGCTGAATTTTGGAAGGTAAGGTCATTCAAATCATTACTCACGTAACATATTAAGGGGACTACTTCGGTAGACAGTGATTCCTCTCAATGACTAAAAATAAGTCTTGTATTAATTTTATATCGATTACAGACTGCGGACAAACCTGCAGAAAATCACAAGCGCAGATGCACCGAAGTGGTGTCAGAAACTGGCGAGAGCCAAAAGCTGAACTCGATATTATCTAGTAGCCACGCAGGCACTGATTACAACGCAGACAGATTCTTCACGAAGGTAAGTCCCCTGGCCTTACCTTACAAATAGATATCTTTAAAACGTACAGTTATAAGAAGAAGAAAAAAAAAAAAGACAAATAGTGATTAGACGTGAATAGTTAACATCTTCGAACGTTTCAGATGTCACAGTTGGAAGACTGTCATAGAAAACTCCAAGGTGAGCTGAGATCCTCAAAAAGACTGCAGTTCCTCTCTATCGTGTTAACGGTACTAATGGCCATAGTCGTCACTTACATTCTGAGAGCGGACATCAGGAGTGTAATCGAGGAGCAAAGCTGCCGTGCCTATCGAGAGTAGACGAACAATCGTACAGTTCCAAGTGTTAGCGAGGCCCTTGTACGTTTTATACTGCGGGTAACCTCTAAACGAAACTCTGGCCAAATGTTTTTTTTTTTCTTTTTTCCCCGTAAAGGTAATTTTCAATCGTACGGCGTGAAAACAGCTTTGAACGTATTTTTCTACGCTTTTGTATGTACTTCGACAGTCACGATATATTAATCCTGCCTGACTCTTAACTGCGTAAAACTTGTGGCGAGTGATCTCAACCGACAAAGTTTCTATCCAGAGTGTGTGAAGTTAGATCGTAAGGCTGACGCATAACTTTTCCCTTGTTTTTCATTTTATTTTCATTTTCATTTCTACCTGGGGCCCTCGCAGCATCTAATTCGATAAATCTAGCGAGAAGGAAGAGTCGTCTCCTTGAACTTGTTATTCTTACGTATAGTTTATGTACCGGAATGTTGGAACGGATTCCCGAGTGATACTTTTCGTACGGATTGCGTGGAAGAGCAGTATGATATATAAGTGTATCCAGAAAACCCCAAATTGTTATTTTATTTTTAATTTTACGCAGCCACGATGTCATAAAGGGCAGTGACTACCCTACCGATGTCTTTGTTATAACGTTGACTTAATGTTCTCTCCGAAGGTCGACTCGTGGCATTATTTTTTACAACGTATTATATTTTATATCTGTTGTTAATAATTATGCATCAAACATGAGCGAGTATATAAATAAAACTGTTACATTATAATACATTGTGGGTGATGATCGTTCCTCTAGTGATATTTTTCTATCGGTCGTTTTAAAGAGAACATTCCCCTCGATTAAAAACTGGTCACCCTCTTTAATGTAATATATTTTAGACGATAACACGTATATTGTAAAACTAGATAACCGTTTCATTAATTTCTTGAATTATAATCTGTAAGAAATGTAACAATTATTTAAATATAGTATTCGAAGTTAATTGCTTTACACCGAGGTTAAGCCTGCCGTAAAGAAATTAAACTCCCGTTAACTCAAACCGTAGAAATTCTAATTTAAGTACCGATCGAAATCCAATCTGGCTATTCATTAGCGCGATGTAAAGATGATTAGCTAAATCCAGGATTAAGGAGTGCGATGTTTAAATCGCGGATGCGTTTAAGAACCCGTAAAAGCCCACCAGCGCCATTGGCGGGAACGGTAGGCGTCGTAAACCCAGCGCGGGAACGCGGTCGTTAGTACCGGCGCTCGCCACGATGCGGCGCTCGTACAACGGCGCGGCGTGTCGGTGCGCATCCGTCCCGCGCAGCGTTTGAACCTGGTCGATCGCCATCTTGGAGAGCTGGCGGGTCTCGCCTCCCCGCCCCGCCCGCGCCAGAGGAGCCACTTCGTTACACAACGCCCTCACTCGCCCGATTCCGAGTTAGCCGAGGTAAGCTTACGCGCGATTCCAGGAGGAGCGGCCTCCCGGGGCACGTTCCCGTCGCCGGGACGGCCACGGGGCGTAGCGGAGCGTCGCGGCGCTCGGCTCGCCTCGCTCGACGCGCCGCCCGTGCGGCCGCCGCGGCGGGTCCCCCTTTCGGGCGGCGTCCTCCATGTTGATGACAGCGCCGACGGTGATAATTTCCCGAAATTTCGCCGCGTTATAATGCCCCCTGGGTCGCGACGTCGAAAGCACCCGCGGCCGCCTTGGGGTCTCCCCGACAGAATGCGCGACTTCCTCGCCGTGGAGGGCGCCTCTAAGGGGGAACCTAACCTCCTACGTGGCGCGTCCTCGCGAGTCCGCGCGCTCGACGAGTCGCGACCAATTCCGGGGAGTTATTACGAGGCCCTCTTCCTCTACCTCCTCGAGGATGCCTCCTTGCATGCTTCCCAATCCCGCCCGCGTCTACTTCCCTACACTGTTCCCCTGTATTGATTTTGATTTAATTTTGTTATGTCAGGTGACGAGGGAGAGCATTTCACGCCGGATGACCTGCGAACCATGCGCACGATAGGAGGGTGATGCGACTGCTGTCCTTGTAGGGTGTCGAGAGAGGCTTAGCGAAGATGCCTAGGTGGGCGCAGAGTTTGCATATTATGTATCACCTGCGATGAGATGGCTTTAGGATCGGGGAGGTGGAGGACGATCTCGTGGTCTTACGGTCTCTCCAGGAGTTATTCTTAAGTTCCGGGATCCCGAGTCGGGGTGCCGAGCTCCTGCGGTAGATTACTTGTACTCTAGATGGTATCCAACGAGTTTTGTGGTAACTCGGGCCATCCAGCGGAGAGTTAGTTTTAAGCCGATGATATCGAGGCTCTCTTAGATCGAGTGGATAGCATGCACTTAAACGTATGAATGTTAATGTTTCGTGTTTTCAAATGACTTGTGGTTCGCTTGGCGTCTTCGATGCCAATCTCAAATCTTTTGCCGTACTTCTTCGCTGTGTTCTCGAAAGCACATTTGCTTTGTACTTCTGTGAACTTCTCTTTTGTGAACCTCGTAACTCCTTTGATGTTATCTCATTATCTTCGAGGCCAGATTTTCTTGACCTGTATCCGTTACGTTTGTACAGTTACATGGAACCAATTCTTCAATTCTCTTCATCCGATATAAGAATTCGATTTTGCACCATCTCGTTATCCAGGAGGAATACTCTTTCACACTACATTTACATGTGACGATACCGGAGCGTTATACATTCATCTAAGTGTACTTCCGTTCTCCTGGATTTAAATGTTAGAGGAGGTTTAAGGGCTAAGTTAACAATTGAATTGTTTATTATACAAGGGAACTAATTGTTATACACAATTTTCCAGACCAAGTGCTGCGGCGAAGCGGAGTGCCCGAGTTAACGGCGCTACCATGTCGAATAACGTTGCGACGATAAAACTAGAGGAGGGTCAGGAGTCCGTTACAGAGATACAGACTTACCTGGAGACTTTTAACAAAGAAATCGAGGTTGGCCAGGGAGAGCAGCTGCAACATGTTCAGCGTAAGCTCCTATTTCTAATGCAGTAAAATACTATCTAATCTTAAGAGGGCATTCTCATCCAAGAGCATAAAAAAGTGTTTTCACATTGGGTCGAATCGAACAATGAAAATTTCCTTCCTTAGTGCAACAAGTGGAAGGCCTCTCGGGTGGAGAAGAAGGTGGAACTTATTTCGTGGACCAATCGGGTCAGTATTACTATCAAGCGAGCAGTGATGAGGCACCTGTCATGACACAGGTGCAAATCCAAGAGGTCGAAGACAACGATGGTCAGAATGATGGAGATGGGAGCCACGACGACCGATATCACGAGATAGAGGAGCTTGACAATGTCGATGGAGATGACGACGCAAGCGAGGTGAAGGTTTGTTACTGATTACGATCCCTAATAATGATTATTCTTGATCTATCGATGGATAATTATCATCGAAGAGAGTTCTAACCTGTTATAAACGCTTTTTTTTATATATAAAATATCGTTTTATTCCCTAACCTAGTATACGCAGCAAAGCACTAAACTAAAGCAACACTCCGACAACTTTTGAAAAGAGAGGAGTTGTCTTCGGAAGGCTCAGCATTAATATATAATTTCAGGGAAGGGTATCGAACAGTGGGAACAACCAGATGGTGATAAACTCCGGTGATGCTTATCAGACAGTGACGATTGTGCCCTCCGATACGAACCCAGGAGAGGTTAGTTACGTGTTGATAGTGCAGCAACCGGAGTCAGAGGATAAAGACAGCGGAGGAGCTGATGGGGAAACTCGCGACGGAGAGGACGCCGATGGCGAACAGGATCTCACTGTCTACGATTTTGAGGACAACGAGGACAACGATGCTCCCTTGGAGTCGGAAGCTGAGGACGACAAGACTAAAATCATCAAGTTTCTGCCAAAGAAGTCCCAAACGGTTACGCAGGCTCACATGTGCAATTACTGCAATTACACCAGTCCGAAGAGGTGAATACTTTCAAGAGTACAAATAGATGAGTCGTTGCTTCTTTGATCTCGGTTTTAAAAATCGATGCTTAATATCAGCTTAATTAACATTGAATTACGAGAACCCTGAATAGTTTATGAAATTAATCCCGCGTAATTGCAGATATCTATTGTCTCGACACATGAAGTCCCACTCGGAGGAAAGGCCACACAAGTGTAGTGTCTGCGAGAGAGGCTTCAAGACTTTGGCTTCGTTGCAAAATCATGTTAACACTCACACCGGGACCAAGCCGCACCATTGCAAATTTTGTGACAGTGCTTTCACAACGTCTGGTAAGCCAAAAACGTTTACACACGCTTCTTAATTTTTTTTCCTACGTTTGACACTCGATTTGATCAAAGTGTGTTTCATTATCGGAACCTAATTAATGTTAATCTCGTTAATTCAGACGCTTAGACGCACTTGCACCAATTTTGTTCGTACTTTTCGTTCGGTTATCATTTTATTTGATTTCCTATTTCCTTCACACCTGAATTTGCGTTTGTCAAAAGAAAGTTAGTGACTGCGTGTGTGTGCGTACCGACATGTTAATTTGCAGAAGGCCTGTATATGTACAAACTAATTAAACGTTAATGCAATTACTTTCTCGATTCCCTTCAAGATAATCTAAAAATTGCCTGAGAATATTTTTCTATATTTCATGCACATTTATATTGAATAATTCTTATTTGTAAGCTCATCACCGCGGTGCTTCTTTTAATTTTTTTCTCAACTTGGGTAGCCTCTCCGTGTATATAATTTAATAATAATTTGTATGTAATGCATTCAGTGCTACGTCAGCCTTCTGCGTCACTCTTTTGTTACATCGACATTTTAAACTTTCTGTCTAGTCTCCCTGCGTGTTCATAACTAATTTCTATACGATGCATTTAGTGCCACGATAACCTACTGCGTTAGTATTTCATCTTATATACAATGTAGCAATTTTCTTAATTGGTTCGGTTCATCGTCACTCTTTCAACTTAACACATCGAAGAAGCCTTTAAAAGGCTTCCGTTCCTTTTTCTTTTCTCTATTCCCAGTCCGGGGACTCGAATAACTGTACGGTGGGTCTCTTTGGTTGCAGGTGAGCTCGTAAGACATGTTCGGTACAGACACACCCACGAAAAGCCGCACAAATGCTCCGAGTGTGATTACGCGTCGGTCGAGCTGTCGAAACTCAAGCGACACATTAGGTGCCACACAGGAGAGCGCCCTTATCAGGTACGTTTCTTTCTGTCACTTAGGAGAGCTGGTGCGCCACACAAGGTACAGACACACCCGTGACAAGCCACACAGGTGCACGTTATGTAGTTACGCCAGCGTAGAGAAGAACAAGCTGCGTAATCACATGCGAATTCACACCGGAGAGCGTCCTTACGAGGTCTCAGTTCCTTGGATATATGTCGATAAGTGACTAAAGAGAATGCAAATGATCTTACTCGATGACGGTACCTTGAGCTAACCTCAAGAAATAAAGATATCAGAGATTCTATGTCATATGATTGCACTATCGAAGCTCGAAGAATAGAAAAAGAGAGTTAGCGATGAATGCAAAGTAGGAAGGAAATCGGTGAGTCTTTGTTCTCTAATCTGTGTTATATATTTATAGTGTCCGCACTGCACATATGCCAGTCCTGACACATTCAAGTTGAAGCGTCATCTACGCATTCACACTGGAGAGAAGCCCTACGAATGTGATATTTGCCAAGCAAGATTTACGCAGTCCAACAGTTTAAAGGCTCACAAGTTGGTGCACAATGGTAAGCCATCGATGGATGTTCACTAGAGTTTCTCGATTCGTGGGAATAGTTCCATCGTTAGTAAGCTTAAATCAGGCTACGTTACATATCATGTTTGTTCCAGTGGGAGACAAACCCGTCTTCCAATGTGAATTGTGTCCAGCCACGTGTGGCAGGAAAACCGATCTCAGGATTCACGTGCAGAAATTGCATACCTCCGATAAACCCTTAAAGTGCAAACGCTGCGGAAAGACATTCCCCGACAGGTAAGGAATCTTCAGGCATTTGAAATATTCTTTTAGAAACGGTTTACTAGACATTCCTCGATGCAAAGATGACATACAAAAGTTCTATTCTAACGACCGTACCACTTGGAAGCATTTGAAACCCTCTAAAGTGATAATTGAGGTTAGGCTGAATTTTAGTATTCGAATACTTAATGATTTTTTTTCAAGGTTATGTCTTTTCAAGATTTATGAGTATTGCTCAAGTCACGTTCTTTGAATTGTTCCAGGTACAGCTACAAGTTGCATAGTAAAACGCACGAGGGGGAGAAATGCTACAAGTGCGATCTCTGCCCTTACGCCTCGATTTCTGCTCGACACCTCGAAAGCCACATGCTCATTCACACGGATCAGAAGCCATATCAGTGCGATCATTGCTATCAGTCGTTCAGGCAAAAACAATTGCTTAAACGACACTGCAATCTCTACCACAACCCATCTTACGTACCTCCACCGCCACAAGAAAAGACACATCAGTGTCCAGAATGCGAGAGGCCTTTCAGGTAAGTCCTCGATATTAATGCCCGGTCCCATTGATCATCATCTATCGCATCACCTCAAAACGTTTTACATAACGGTAGAAACACTGAATTCCCTGAGATAGACGATAAGAAAGGAACTGCTTAACGTTGGAACTCTTTAAAGGCACAAAGGGAATCTTATCCGCCACATGGCAGTTCACGATCCAGAGTCTTCGCTGCAAGAGAAGCAGCAGGCTCTCAAGATCGGAAGGCAGAAGAAGATCCAGATCATCGATGGCCAGCGAGTGGAGGTTATGACAGGTTGGCATCGAAGCGTTGGAACTATGCTTGCTTCGGAGAGTGTCAAGTTCTTGCTCGATTGATTATTCACACTGTGTTGCAATTATTCCTAGTTAGTACATGATAATGTGGATCATTCGGTATTCGAATCGGTGACTAGTGTGAATGACGACAAGGACCATTACGATATGATCATGATCATTGACTAATACTCCTTTGTTGTGTTGCGGCAACAGGAGATTTAGCTTCTAAACTTAAAGGGTACGAAGACGAGGACGAAGAGGACGAGGACGACATGATGGCAGTCGAGGGGAGCGACGGCCAGCAGTACGTCGTTTTGGAGGTTATCCAACTGGCAGACAACCAAGGCTCGGAGCAGGTAAATAATACATGCCAATTTAAGGCGAAGTGAAACCCTCCTCAAATCAGTCTACACGAATCAGAATTTTTGTCAAGGTGATATGAAATTGTCACTCGATACACCAGAAAGCTCGTTAGAGTTTAAATACTGTAAAATACTTCCCACGGATATATAAATGTTGGTAACGTTACGCGCCGTCTCATGTCTAATTATCGAATCCTAATTACGACTGTTTATTCTTTAGATGGCCGTAGTGGCCAGCGAAGACGGCGACCTCGTAATGCAAGATCCCCTTAGCCAGGAGAGTGGCATCGTCACGGAGACGGGAGAGGATGGCGAAGACATGGACGAGGACGACGTCGTGAGCATGCCGGAGATGAAGGTGGAGCCTACATCGACGCCCATCAGGAAAATCTCCTCTAGGGCCTCGCAAAACGATCCGAAGCTCCGGAAGGAGATGGAAACCTGCTTCGGGTTCGACGAGGTGAATATACCACGTACACTGGGAGACGTCAATGCCCTCCCATTCCTGCACAGGCGATGTCGTACCTGCATACCGTGTTTCTTACTTCCCTCTTGGACTTTTCGTTCTAGTGTCTTATCTCTTTTTTTGCCCTTTTTAACAGGAGGATTAATTAATGGTGCAGGAAGAGGAGGAAGACGAGGAGGGGAATTCCAATATCCGGTTGCTGGAGACAATCTCGAAATGGAGAGAAATCAATATGTATAGAGAGGGAGGAGTGAAAGAGAGTGCCGACACGGAGGGACGTAAACTTTGATGTAATAGTCAAATATTTTGCTCCCCTCGCGGATTTGCGGATACCGGGGAAGCAGTGTACAATTACAATTAGGATAACGGAATTACGATAATTTATGGATATATGCCGTAGAGGTTTAATTTCTCCCGATTAACGGACAGTGTGTACAAGAGAGGAAATGAATAGCGTTAATGTGCATCCGGTCCGATAGTTCGCCGTCGTCCGATCTTATCACCTTTCATAAAGGACAAAGTCAAAAGAACAAGGCACGTAAACAATTCCAGAGGGATCATCGAAGACCACCGCTAACGCCAACAGCGTTTCCTTAATCCAGACGCAAAGATCGCCTTAAATGTAAATCTTTCTCCCAGCAATTGTTATTAAATATCGGCGAGGACGACGGCGACGGGGACGTAATATTTTTAATCCTTTATTTATAATATACCGGCGAGGGCGCAGGAAGGGTGTCGATAAGAGATAGAGAGATAGGAAAAGGGGAACGCTCTTCGCCGCACTGTAAATAACTGCTTTTCATTTATCGTTTACACGGTAGGCTATCGTAAGACTCTAGATTAGGCTGGATGGAAATCTATGTTTAACGAATCACTAAACGGTGGATCTGCCTTCACGAGATGAGTCTTCCTCTCGTGTAGGCTCGTCCGGGTGGCGTCACGGGTTCAGAAGGAAATCGCTTTTCTGGCGAGAATGGCAATGTAGAGACGTCTTTAATCTCCCCAATGTTTTTACACTATTGAAGAGATTCTCTCCGATCGGTTACAAACAGTCGTTAGAGGCAGTCGCGACCTTTCAATGAATTTAATTTCCTTCGGAGATGCAACACGCGAGAAAGACTAGCTTTAAGGCGATACGGTGCGAATTATACTGCAAAGATATTTTTTGCTGCCCAATTGTATATAGAGATTCTCTCCGATCAATTAAAAATCGACAGATAGTCTTAATGGGTTGTCCGGGAAAAAATGGCGAGGCTATCGATACGTTTTACTGCATCTGATTACGAAGCAAGGCATTGGAATTAATTACAGCCCATTAGGGAGTTTTAATCCTCGTTTAGTCCCGATTACTTCAGTCCGAGAGGGATTTCGCTAATCATTACCGGGATTAACTCATCGGAATTAAATTGTTAAGCTAATTACGATACACTGGGAGACATCAATGCCCTCCCATCCTGCACAGGCGATGTCGCATCTTCAAGGGAGGCATTGTTTGTACGTTCATATTTCTACACGTTAGATGATTCTCTCAATGAGCGATTTCCTCCCGATTAGCAAAGAAAGCCGAGAAGGGACACTGTAAAAAGTCTGTACAATTTTTTTTACGACCACGTAAACGTAAAGAAGCTGCACGCGTCCGCGTATGACTTTGCGCGAACTGTACAATTGTAATTTAGATATATATATATCGATCCCCCAATCCCCTTTCCCAAAAATCATTACAACGTTCCGAATTGTACACTTTCTTACATTATTCCAAAGAAAAGCAGTGTAGCATTTTCTCTGTAATAAACGTTAACCCATCGAGGGAGCGTTTCTTATATTGTAAGTCGCATCCATCTAGAGTTGAGGAAGTAACAATAGACTGTTAACGCACTTGCCACCTGATATTCTACTAGGGCAACTTAATTCAAGGATCTTCCTCAACTCTCTGATAACGGACATTGTTTATCATTGAAACATGTCTTACCAATATAAGTACAGCAAGATCTGCGACGATGAACTACTCATCGCACTTGAAAAAAAAAAAAAAAATAATGGCTCCTTTCCAGGTTAGGTGGACCACACCCCTAGCTGCGATCCGGCTCTCGGATTGGCTGAGGCGTCAGCCAATCCGAGAGCCGGATCGCAGTTGGGGGATGGGCGGCGCCATCTTGGATTCTGGACGCAGAACTCCAATATGGCGTCGACTACGCGGTCACGTGACTGCGAGGGAACGGCGCCACTTTTTGAAACGTTACCTCATCGCGGCAAGAGCGGTGAAAATACTCGATAAGAGTACGTACTTGATAAAGTACTCAAAAAATCGGAGGTGGACTATCGACTGAGGCAATTGAGCTGATAAAAATGGCTAATCCATGGTAAGAGGATTATAAATACTGATAAAATGCAGCTTAAAAGGAGGAAGCGAACGTCTTCTGGCCAGTTGTAGTTGGCAGGCCTTTTTCTGTAAACGTCGGGCTGTTGTTAAAGTTAAAGAGCAGCGGTGATCGGAAAGCTTTTAATAGTTCTAATATCTGCATTCCTGGATCTTGATTTATAGGGTTAAGAGCGAATATGCCGCCTGGGTCTAACATCGCCAAAGAGGTTATGAAACGCGTCTTGAACTCGAAAGGGTTCGCTGTGTGCCTGAAAGATGTGAGATGGTTTTTACGCTTCACTAAGAGATAAACTCTATAATTATAGTTATCCTACTATTATGTATTATTAGATCGTGATTTTACTTTCATTCTTTAAATGGAAAGTCATCGATAGGAGTTACCGAACGATGAACTATTTTCTGTTAACCTCTTGCGCTTCGATTTAATTATGAAAGGTTTCACGATAATGGGGAAATATAATTTGAATCTGATTTGCCACTGTATAATGTAACGGCGTAGTTGGCAATTAAATTCCCATGACGAGTCTAGCTCGTCGTAGCACAAGGGGTTAAGATAATAAATAAGAAATAATTCTGTTAATAGAACTTGGAATTACGCTCGAGTGTTCTTGGTAAATAGTACTTTTTAAAGAGCTGGAGTATTATGTACTTATCTGTTATCGCGTTGAAGGGGTTTATCGATATTCTTTTGATTCTTTGTCACTTCCGTTTGATATCGTTCGAGATTGCTGTAACTTTTTTATATCTGAATGGGCTTATCGTTTTATTAGGTGAATATCCTGAAGCTAGAAAACGGAGAGTGCAGTGCGGAAGTAACGGTCGGTCCTCAGCATCTTAACACAGGCGGAACTATGCATGGAGGGTTTACGGCCACACTCGTCGACTGCATAACTACTTACGCTGTTATAACACAAGGCAACAATTCCCCAGGAGTCTCGGTGGACATTCACGTCTCGTAAGATGCTTTCCAATTAATTTAACTTTGCAATTTAAATAAATTACTCTCGTTAATTTTCTGGAAAGGGAAAGGTGACGTAACGATAGAAATAAAATATGTTAAGGAACGATGCATGATGCTTTAATCGTGTTTAGATATCTAAAAGCAGCACAGCTAGGTGACGTTCTATCGATAGATGCCAGGACGATTCGCTGCGGAAGATCTTTGGCTTTCCTTGAGGTCGAGTTGAAGAAAAAGGACACCGGACAGATAATTGCTCGTGGACAACACACAAAGTATATGGGCGGTTGAATAGTTGGATAGAAAATTTATTTACCAAGAGAAATACAAATACAATTATACAATAGTGAGAATAATTCTAGCAAATCAGAGTTTGTATTTATATACCTATACGCATACGCAGTGGTAATTAATATGTACATAAATTGGACCGTACAAAGTTAGTGCAGGAAAGGGACGTTCGAGTTATTTGCACTCCCTCTCCTGCAAATGTTTATAAACACAGCGTTAGTAAATGCTTCTTTGTTTAAATGCGGAGAAATGCTCAAGGCGTGTTTCCATGTTTTTACTCCAGGTTACTCGACGTACTTTATTTACTCACTGTATCTTAAGGCGATGCGAAAGAAGCATCCGATCAGTCAAATCAGTCAATTGTTAATAACAGTTTTCTGCGCACTCGGTTTACAGCAACTTTTCACTCGATCTCAGCATCTTGTTAACGATCTTCCTGAGCTCTTCTAGTTTCCCCTGCATCTCGGCGATGGTCAGGGTCAGGTTGCCACAATTTTCTTCCTGGGAGTACTCGACACTCCTCCTGGACCTGGAGATGCCGTTGCTGCGCAGAGGACAGCTCTCGCAGCAATCTGCCCACACCCTGAGGTCCATCTTCGGGATGTCTTCGCAAGAGACGAATCCACCACCCTCTCCAGGCATGACGAAGACGTCTGGCTGGACCCGGGTGATGTTATCACCGTTATCACAGAGTAGTCGAGCCAAGCTGGTCTTCCGGATCTCCTGGAGCTGCTCGTCCTTGAAGCCGGCCTCGCCCTCGTACCAGAACCTGGAGGATTAATTTTTAATCCTTTTAGCTAAATTTCGAATTAAGGAACCGAGGTCATACCTCGAGGACATCTACTGGGAAAAATAGGCTCGAAACGGCAACACTGACCTGTCCCCGTCCCTGAGTCTGCGGAACTGCTCCAGGAGAAGACATTTGAAGAGGGGCCCGACCTTGGCCCCGGGTAACTGGTCCTCCAGGATGCCGCCAACCCAGACGTCGACGTTCCCAGGGTGGCCGTAGAGCTCCTTCAGCTTCTGCCTGACCTTGGGGCTGGTGATCTCCCAGCGGAGGTCCTCGAAGGTTTCCACCCTGGACATGTTGCAGTGCTCCCTCCAGTCCAGGTACCCGGGGATGCCGTGGTCCCTTCCTCGCTGGATGTTCATGGCGGCCAGGTCCAAGGCGACGGCGTGGGCGATCCTGAAGAGCTGCTCCGTCAGCTCCGTGTTGAGGTTCTGCTCCGGTAGTTTAAGCTTCGCCGGGGTGGCGAACATCCCCCGGAGGAGAGGGTCCACTCCACCTTCGTCGACCAGTCTCCAGGGCGAGAAGAAGGCATCTCGCAGCCGAAGAGGACCCTGGCGAATGCTCTGGAAGGACCAGTCGAGTCGCTGCAACTCAGGTTGGATCAGGGAATGTCCAAACCTCAAGGCAGCCGTGGCGAAGACGTTCGAGATGGAGGCGTCCAGGTCCGGGTCGTACCTACACGGCGAAAGAAAAATCTATCAAGGTGAAGCGAAACGCGCCGAGACTTGGAGGTCCACCCTTACCCGGAGTACGGTCCCAGGAGATCCTCGACCTCCTCCCCGAAGACCCTCGGCATCCAATGCCGGAAAGTGACGTGCTGCATCTGCGCGCCGACGATGCGCCGTGCCTCCTGGTACAATGTTTCCCCATCCCAGTGGGGATTGACCTCGAAGAGCCTCTCCGCGAGCCGGTTGTGCTCCCTGAGGAAGAGGGTGTGCATCGCCAGGAGGCCGACCTGCTCGTTGGCTCTGATGTCCCCGGCCACGAAGCAGCTGACAGAGCTCTCCAGCGGATCCCTCCTGCAATCAACGAACTCCCCGGAGGCGAAGGGCAGCAGCGGTTTGCGTCCTGGGAACGTGGGACCCACCCTGAGGAGGCCGCGACTCGACGCGAGGTCCCTCAATCGCCTGGCCAGCTCGTCGTCGTAGCCGTACACCTGGGAGGCGTCCAGGTAGCTCGTCAGCTGGTTCAGCTGCTCCCTGGGAGTGACCAGACCCCAGAGGACGCTCGTCATCCCGGAGCCGCAAACGGCGCTGGTCCTGATGAAGTCGATGCATCGTCTGTTGGTCACCCTGGGGTCACCTGGGGGCACTTCCATGGGGAAACAGGGGGCGGCATTGTCGCAGGACTTCTTGCAGTCTATCCCGTCCCAGGACTCGCTGGATACCGATGGCAGAGCGTGGTCCAGGTCATGGTCCAGGAACTGGCCCCACTGCATCACCATATGGGTGATCTGCTCGTCGCTGGTGATCTCCTGGGTGGCGATCATCGTCGTGGACACCAGACGAGCCGCCGGCTTCCTGAACCCGAAGTATCGCCGCGACCGGTCCCACCCTATGGGCTGGGAGAACCCGTTCTCGTAGAGGGGCTTCAGCACCCTCCGGAACCCTGTATAGGAGGCTCCCCAGGTGGGGTGGCCCAGGTTGTTGCAGGTCCCGTCGATCGTCCTGTACTTCTTGTGGAAGCACACGTTGGAGCAGTCGTTGCGAGACCTGTGCCCGGTGCACCCCGAGAGCTTCTCTATCTCCCTGATCTGCTCCTGGGTGAGGATGTCCTCGTACCTGAACTCGTTGGACCCGTTGACGGCGATCCCGGAGTCCACCAGGCGACGCAGGTTCGCCAGGGTGCGCTCGTAGACCTCGGCTGGCCTTGCCGCGGCTCGGCCGACGGCGTCCGGGAACCTGGTGAGCCTGAAGGGATTCACCCTCTCGGCGGAGCTGAAGAGCGCCACCAGGGTCTTGTTAATCGCCCTGTCGACGCTCTCCGAGGCGTCCTGGAACGCCCTGACGATAAGAGCATCGGTCCTCTCGCCCTGCCTGACCCTGATAAGCGCCTGCGAGGTAGCTCTTCCATGTTCGTTAACAGCGGAGCACTCGTACCTCCCAGAGTCCGCTGCCGAGAGGTTCAAGAGGAACAAGCTGCCCCCCCGGGTGACCTTGAACCTGTTCCCAGAGACCGCTGTGCCATCCTTCTTCCAGGAGATACTGGGCTTCGGAAGGCCCTCCGCCCTGCAAGGCACTTCCACGGAAGCCCCAGGTTCCACCTCCATGTCCTGGGGCTCGTAAGTCAACCTGGGGGAGCTGGTACCCTGGTTCAGGATCCTCAGATCGGCACTAGCCTCGACGAACCCGTCGTCGCTCTTCGCCTGGCAGACGTAGCGCGCCGAGTCGCTCTCCTTCGCCGCCAGGATCTTCAGGGTGGTCCCAGCATCCTCCAGGAAGATCCTGCCGCCCTGCTGGACCCTCTCCCCGTTTCGCCACCAGGATAGCCTGGGAGGTGGCAGACCCTCAGCGGTGCAGATCAGGGTCACGTCTTCCCCGGACTGGACGCTCTGGGAGAGAGGGACGTTGGTGAACCTGATGGGGTCCTGGACCACCCTCTGGGAGCTGGTGCCTTCGGATCCCACCTTGAGATCAGCAGCTGCTTCCGCGATGTCGTTCTCATTCTCACCCTGGCAGACGTAGCGCGCGGAGTCGCTCTCCTTCGCCGCCAGGATCTTCAACGAGGTGCCGGAGTTCTCGACGAAGGTCCTGCCGCCTTCCCGGACCCTCTCCCCGTTTCGCCACCAGGATAGTCTGGGAGGTGGACGCCCCTCAGCGGTGCAGATCAGCGTAACGTCTTCCCCGGGTCGAACGCTCTGGGAGAGAGGGACGTTGGTGAACCGGATCAGGTCCTGGGGATCTAGAGACGGGTCCTGGGATAGGACCCTCAGGTCAGCGCTGGCCTCCGCGAGGCCGTTCTCGTTCTCCGCTTGGCAAACGTAGCGCCCGGAGTCGCTGTCCTTTGTCGCCAGGATCCTTAGGGCGGTGGCGGAGTCCTCGACGAAGGTCCTGCCTCCCGTTTCGATTCGTTCGCCGTCTCGCCACCAGGAGAGCCTCGGGGATGGGGTGCCCTCTGCTCTGCAGATCAGGGTTACGTCGTCGCCGGTCTTGATCGTCCGGGAGTGGGGAACTTCGGTGAACCGGATGTTGGGACTGACGGTGACGACTGCCCGGGCTGGTCTCGACTTTGTGTACCCCATTTCGCTGCTGGCCACGCATTCGTATTCCCCCACGTCGTTCTCCGTCATCGGGGAGATCGTCAGGCTGCCGTCGTCCTTCATGACGTAGTGCTCGCCATCTAGCGGCACCTCGTCGGAGTTCCGCATCCATTTTATCGACGGCTTTGGGTCCCCGGCCACGCGACAGGATAGGGTTGCCGTTTCCCCCAGGTGCACCTCCACGTCTGCTGGACCCTCCATGATCTTCGGCTTGGCTGTAAATTAAAAATTTAATATAATTGCAATCAAATTTATCTACATCTCTACCGATGATTTCCCATTTACAAAGCATTAATGACGGGCATCCACATCGATGCTTTCATTAAATTATAAAAGATTCCTTTCATGAGTCGACGGCGACCACATTGAAAATTCTCGTACCCATCTTTACACCGAACTACGCAACCAATAACGACTAGCAATGAATTCCTCACGACTCAACTGCAATGAAAGTCATTGACGGACATCGCTGCCAATGATTTCCCTTTCATGTACGTAGGTTCGTGGCAAATGGCAGCCATTTCGGAGGGCCTCGTCCTGGCTCGTTGCAGCAACCACACGAGATCACAGTCACAAACTAGGGCATTGCTGTCGAGCTTCAGCTTCGTCATGGGTCCGACGTTTCGAAAAGCATCGGCTGGCACTCTGTTGAGCTTATTGTTCTGCAAGAAAAGCCTCTCGAGGGCCGGTAGGTCGTTGAAAGTCCCCGTTTCTATCCGTGTCAGGTGGTTGTTCTGCAGATATAGTTGCTCGAGCTTCGGAAGGTTCCTGAAAGCTCCTGGGGCGATTCTCTCGATGCGGTTCTTGTAAAGATACAGGATACGGATGCTGGGAGCCCCGATGAACGCATCGGCCTACAAATACACCGAGATATAACTTCCTACTATTATTTCTAATATTACTAATATTAATTTAATATCTCTACCTGCAGATACTTCAGGTGGTTGTCGTTCAGCAATAATGTGTGCAGATCCTTCAATTCGTAAAACGCTCCCACTCGTATTTCTGCGATATCGTTGAACCTCAAATCCCTGAAATTTCATTTATCCACTTACTAACCTATTTCACGTTACATAGAAAAATATCCCTAGTGGCGCGGAATAATTTTTAAATATACGGCTATAAACATTCAAAATTTCGTACGCATATGTCCCGCTTTTATTTCAAGTGGCGCTGTGATCGATTTTAAAATACGATACGAGGTATCGAGGATTCATTCGATTAATCGATTCTCCTACAAGACGCATCCCAACCGTCGTTGGATTTTAGATTTACTTTCAGCAAATTATCAGGTAATTAATATTAAGTTTCGTAGGAAATAGTGTTGGAAATATCGGAACAAAGTGTAGGTGTAAAATGCGGACACGCGCCGCCGTAATTCGCTAATCTAACCTCTGATATTATCCTTCGGAAGTCACGATTGGCTGTTCTCGAATGCGTTTACATTAGTAGAACGTGAGTCGGAGTATAAACAATTGTGAAACGTGGATAAATAATCGCTGCCCGAGAATTCCGCCTAACAATAAATCAACGAATCGAATGAATCGTCGAAGGCGATCGCGCCAAGAATAGAAAATGAAACCTCGCGACCGGAATTCAATTTTCACATTAACTCGTACAATTAATATCACATATCAAGGTGATAGGTAAAGGCGCATTTAGCATAATAATATATCAATTTTCAAGGGTCATTCCATACACATAAAAATGCTACAAGTGTTTGTCAAACGACATACATGTCGCAATTAGAGGAAGGAAAAGAAACATCTTTGTCCACTTCGCCTGAAATTTCGCAACTCGATGAAACAAATGAAAGAGACAAAAATGAAAAAAAGAAATAATGCGCGAGCGGAAAGAGTTAAACCTTCCCGATAACCCTGATAACCCTGATATGGGACTGAAGTGCAGAGTATGTAATCCCTCGAATTACGTAATTGTGCACACGTGAGAGTTTAGTTTGATAATGACACTGCGCCAGATATAAAAAAGGCTTAAAAAAAAAAATTTACCGACGCGGTTATTTGCATGCTGCAATTATCGGGCAATAAGTATCGCGCGATTGATTTTAATATTAGGATTTAGGACGCTAGGATAATAAAATAATAAATAATATATTTACCGGATGTTTAACATCTCGCAGTGGGTCAACTTATTCCAGCTCTCGGGTTTATTAATATGATAAAAAAGGAAAAGGAGGGCAAAGCGGACCTCGAGAGTCTGTAGAAAGTGAAACAGCCGGTGGGATTGATTCGCAAGAAAGGAAGCGAGATTAAAAAGAGAAGTGTACGACCGGGTTAGTTTATGAATCACTCTTTCGGTATAAGTGCACCATTATCGCCGGTCAAATGAAATCCAATTGAAGTCAAACGACTTGCCGGTACTGCAATTCCTGGTAAACGATTTGCATCGATAAGAGCCGTATTAATAGATTCGGTACTGTGTGTCTATTTATCCGGGCTGGGGATTTAAATTACTAATTAAGGTTTCTTCTAGTTAAGGAAATATTTCTCAGAGACAAATGCAAAATGATCGGAGGTCCATGGGCGGGCCTATGCCCAGAATCATGGGCGAGGAAAAGCGAACATGTTTAGAAGATATGAGCATTGCCTAAACAATTGATACGACTAGACCAAGACATTTTATATACGTCTTCTTTAACTATAAGTCAAATAACTATACCAGTGAATCTACGGAAAATATAGACTTGTAATTTCACCTTCTACACTAGATAGCCACGAGCGAAGGATGTACAAAGGCGGACATGAATGCCCCCTGCAGATAAGGCATCGCCTGTGCAGAATGGGAGGGCATTGATGTCTCCCAGTGTACAGGGGAAAAAGAATAATCAGTTAAGGTGATATGAAAGGGCCATTCTATACACGAGAACGTCAAATTATTTATATAAATATTATTTAAATGATATATAGAAATATTTCTTCAAACTGGGCGCGTCGAATTATTTGAAACCTTAACCTCCATAATCGCGTGTTAAAGTTTCAAATGATTCGGTGCATCCAGTTTTGAGAAAAAAAAATGTATAATAAATATTTCCACTTCTTACGTATGCATAATGACCCTTTGATATCAAGAAACTCATAGCGGTTTATTCAACCACTGGTGGAGACCACAGAAAAGCGGTACTCTCAACCTAAGCGAAGGTTTATTCCGGGTAAAACTCCGGATGCCGCGTCGACGCAGGGTCATAGACGCGAACGCGATATTTCGGTCGATGTTTCGTTTTTTACCGCCGTTAAACTATAAATAAATCCGAAGACATAAAGAATCCTAAATACGAGGGTCGGCTTTGTGCGAGGGACTCATTGTGTCATCTACGTCCAGTTCCTAAATTTATATTCGAGTAATTTCCCAATAATCGGCAGAGTAAATTGTATCATTTGAAAAGTCTTCAGCCTAATCGTTAGTTAAGTAATCGTTGGTTACAGTCATGAGGTAGTATAAGAGCTAACGACGTTAGCGCCACTCGCGGGAAACCAGGGAACGAGATGACCTACCTTCCTACCGACGTACATTACCCAAAATGGTTTTAATTTCGCAATTAGGACGCGCAAAGCGAAACGGATTCATTCAGGACACAGATATCTGCATCGAGATAGTAGTAGTGGCCTTTTCCGCTGTTTAGATCAGATAAGCGTGGCGGTTTTGTCGCGGCAAGGTTAGGATCGCGTCAGCTGACGTCACGCATCGAATTGCCACTCGAGTGCTGTATTCCTGAATGAAATCACGCGGAAAAAGAGGTGCAATTTGTGTCTTTAATGCAAATTCGTAGAACCAACCGTTTCGTAATGGCCCGAATACAACTTTTCTTCAAATTGGCTGCACCGAGTAATTCTAAACTTCACCACGTGATTATAAAGTCCCTAAGGAAGGGCGCGATGTTAATGAAATTTCATTTTTCTTCGAAAAATGTTTGGCTACAAAAATTTTTTTTTTAATATCTTCACGTTATGTATATTCAATAACCCTTTCATATCGCCTTAATGATAGTACTTACAAGACCGTGGTGTTGTCGGGCACTCGAGGCACTCTGCTGATTTTCTGCAACATGCACCTCACTGTGCTGAGGAAGCACATGCACTTGCGAGGACAATCCCGGATGGTGGTTGAAGTTCCGGAAGTCGTGGACGCGTTCATAATTATCGCAATTAGCAGCATTATGATTAGAAACGGGAGGAGCCCGGGCCATGGGCAGGTTTTCCTGGACATCTTGTGGGTATTTTCGGTCGCCATCGGTCTACGATACTTTCTTTAAGGCCTTTTCTTCTTTCGTTACTCGCAAGAGGGAATTGCTTTATCGACTCCCTTTAAGGCGGGTTATCCTTTGGATATCGGCGGTGACCATCGGATTTCGGAACCTTCGAAGCCGAGTAGCTGGAAATGTTTAAAAGGGAATTGGGACACTCGGTCGAAGGTCCGATATCCAAAGGGAGCCAACTGGATCAGCTGCGATAACTCTGATCTATCCACGGAGGTTATCACGATCGTCCAATAAATAATTCAATATAAAAATTGGAAGTACAGTTTCCATGCGCGAGATCTAAATTCGGTCACCAGTCCGATATCCAAAGGGAGCCAACTGGACCAGCTGCGATAACTCCGGTGTCCCGGAGCGGGATAACTCGGGTGCCGCGCTCCTCTCGTCAGTCCCGCGGCGCGGCTACTGCGGCCTCGTCAGCGGTTCGGCCGCGTCGCGGAGGTTTTCGAGCTCGGCCTACCGGCATGCAGGAATACGAAAGGTCTCGAGTCGAGGAGAGAGAGAGAGGGAGGGACAAAGAGGGTCTATCTTGGAGAGCACATCTCCATCGGGAGAGAGAGGGAGAGGGCCTCTCTTTCAGAGCGGAGTGGGAGGCGCGAGCAGAGAAAGAAACGGGGAAAGAAAGAACTACAGGACGGACCAAAAGTGCTGGGCCTTATCCTAAACTCGGTAGAGTCTCGAGCCAAATGCATTTTTGAGCGAGAAACTCTGTAGAGCTTCGAGCTACATACATTTTTGAACGAGAAACTCGTAGCGTTGTTCGAACCGCCCGCTATTTTTCATAGATTATGGGACCGAACCGTCCGAAACCTTAACATGACACGAAAATAGAGCGGGCGATTCGACTAACCTCCTCTATTTTATACTTATACCTATGCCTTACCAATTTTGACCCGTCCTGTAGAGACGAGGGACCGGCGCTTCTGCCGCGACCTCGCGGGCCGACCACCACCGACGCATTGACACCGTGAGTCGCGTCGCCCGTGTCTTATAGCCTCGACACAGGGGCGCCCTAGGGCCTTATACCCTCCATACCCCAAAATTTCCTTATAACCTCCACATTCACATGGTAAGGTTTAAAACGATTCCCCAAGTTTGGGGATAAGTGATAAACCTCTTTGACGCCACTTTCACGTGACCTTAACCTCAAACATAACGTAGGAAACTGCAATGTCGATAACAACACCTCCGACGAGAGTAGAAAGAACTGCCCTAGTCAATTGCAACTGATGAAACCGAGACCTTTAGCGTTAAAATCCTGAAAACCTTAAATCTAAGCTAATGTCACGCCATAGGCATAGAATACACAGTTAAGGAAGATGTGCCGACACATGCGAGCGAACTGCTCTACAGAAATAGCCCGTGACTCAATATTTAACCAGCGTTGATATTTCGCATCCGACGCGGTTGGTAGCGATTCCTAAATAAAAGTAACGAAATTTCTCATCATGATATCGCGGAAAAATCGGGACGAATGATAGGCGATTTCTTTACCTATTCGATAACCTAACGATTAAACAAAAGCGGACATAAAGGAAAAACAAAGATGGCCTGATTTTCGACTTAACGTTTCTTTGCCTCGATAACCGAACCATCTGCACTCGAACTGATAAGAAACGACGACGATAACACACCGTGCCTTTTTATATCACTTATAGTCTGAAATATAAATTTATTGAAGTCTTCAAGTCTTTACAGTTAGACGACAGTTATTACGCGTAATTAGAATTAAGTCTACCGATACTTATTCTTTCATAAATAATAATGTCCTCCACATATAACCGATTTTCTCTTACGTGTAATAATATATAATGCTATATATACAACGATATGCCAGTATGTAAAATACATACATGTCCGCGAAACGTATACATACCAGCTACTCTACATACATTTCGTATTCACAACGCGCGACGATTTGAAATTTTTCACAATAAAAAAAGAAAGAAAGAAATAAAATGTCAAGATTTTTACGCGTAAAAACTTAACCGTTAATTGCATTCACCCTAATCGTACCTAACAAGTACCCCAAGTACCTCGTATATAAAAATAATAATTTTACACTTTTGCACACCACGCGTTCTATTTTTCTTTTCTTCAAAATTAACGATCGAATGTAAAAGAAATCAAAGATGGCGACGCCGTGCGCATAGAAGAAAGGAATCGTTATTTACGGACGATATATAGTCGACAGAATGATCCGTTTCAACCATCTACACTCTATACGACCGAAGACAAACTTGGAAGAAATTTATGTACAGCGTCGTCCGTTTTATTACAAGTTTCCCTTTCAAAAGCGTCCCTTTTCTATTTAGAAACGACTCTTAAACGGAATTATAACGTAACGTGAAGTTATTCTCGTTTATTCGCCGATATTTATAGCGTGCGACATTTTCGAGTCGTTTCACCGGGATTCGATAAGTGACGCCATGACTCTCGTAGTATTGGACGCGAATTCGGCGCGCAATTCAAATCGCGGGCAAGTGAAACATTCGGCACAACATTTCCTGGCGATAATAAAACCGGGTATGACGATTAGTTCGTCACAAACGTTTCTTTAAAAGCATGGCATGTATACGAGAAAGTAAATCTGATGGGTAAACCTCGACGTTGATATAGAAAAAGGGAAAAGAATTGGGTATTTTTCTGCGTCGAAGATTTGCCTAACATAAATGACGTTCACGGTCGAGCCGAAGACCCTGAAAAGATGTTCATACCGTGGATTCAATGCTGTTTATAAGATACTCATCGCCATAAAAAAAATGTCGCAGGAAGTGATAACGTGTCCTAACCACAAAATCATCAAGACAAGTTGCGACCTAGAAGAAACGTCTTGTTCATGTCCATATACTCGATAGAGTACGTAGGACATTACAATCTCATGAGATGCCTAGCCATCCTCGAACTGGTCCTCGCCTAAAACTTCATTGCATCCACACCAGTCCCCAAGAAACCCATCCACGTGCACCACCTCCGAAGAAGTCATTATTATCACGTCCAAAGACAATCACTGCAACCTACCAAGACCCGAAAACATGCCTTCAGGATTCGGCCTCACTCGCCTCACCTCACGCGATCTTCATATAAATCGTCCGTTCCCTCATCTTGCAGTGTCTAAGTTCCCTAAGAGCCCTCTGAGCTTCCCCAGGAGAAGCGAACGCCACCTTGGCATCTCCCGTGGGCATGCCCTTATCATTGTACCGCCTGATAACGTTTTCCCTCTTGACATCGAAGTCCCCAAAAAAGTCGATGATCTCGTCGATGTCAGCCTTGAAGGGAACATTCTCCAGGGAGAGAACGCACCCGGGTTTCCCGAAACCCTCGACATACTCCATGGACCCGGTGGGATGCCGCCCCATGAGGTGCCTAGGCAAGCCCATCATCCCCGGAGGTCCCCTAGGTCCGAACCCAGCTCCATACCGAGCTGGATGATGACTCGGTAGCTGGGAGAACCTGGGCCTGGCGTCCTGGAGACTGGGATAATGGGTCTGGGCACCTTCCGCGACCTGGGGCTCGGATAGACCCAGGGTCTCCATCATCTTCAAGCGAGGGACTAGCTCTATGGAGGGTACGCTCTTCCCCAGCGGCAATCCGTTCTTCGCCGTGGCTCGAAGGGCCTCTTCGGGAGTGTCGAACTCGCAGAAGCACTCCCCAGCTGGTTTCCCACCCTGGTTCAGCATCATGTGTATCCTGTGCGGCACGATGCCGATGTCCGAGAAGAAGTCCAGGATGTCGCGGTCGATGGTCTGGAAGGGCAGGCCCCTGACGATGATGCAGTCGGAGGCGCTGCTGTCGGCCAGGGCCTCCTGTTCGTGGTCCCTCTTCGCCTGGGCGAACTTCTCCTCGGTGATCGCCGAGGCGAAGACCTGCTTCATGCCGATCTTCAAGGGGATCCCGAGGGACGACTCGGCGTCCTCCACCCGGGCGAACTGGACATACGCCGCGTACTTGGTCGTGGAGCCCTCCTTCGAGGTCACGATGAAGAGGTCGTTGATCTTCCACTCGTGGAAGAGCTTCGCGATGTCCATCTCCTTGGCGTAGGAGGGTAGTTCCGAGAGGAGGACGCAGGACGAGGTCCTGGAGTCGGTCTCGGAGGTCTCCTCCCCGTGGTCCTCGCGTTCCGGGTAGTAAGAGTCCACCGCCTTATCGAAAAGACTCTCCTCCAGGTGGAGAACCTCCACCTCCGAGCCCCTAACGTACCTTGTGGTGCTCAGGGCGAGGTCCTTGCCCTCCTGCTTGCTGAACTTGACGTAGGCGATGCCGACCCTATTTCCGTGGTTGTCGTTTATCAGCTTCAGTCCGTCCTTCCTGATGTAGATCCCCTGGAAGGCGTGGCGAACGTCCCCATAGGTCGCACTCAGCGGCATGTTCCTGACCTCGACGCAGTACCCAGCTCCCGGGGTCTTGGTCTCTCCCCCGGAGAACCTGGACCCGCTCCCGGAACTCCTAGTGCCAGCCTGACGCTCGCTACCGTTCTCGAACCCGAAAACCCCGGCACTACCCTGGAACACGTGGGGATTCCGCCTGTTGTCCAGCTCCTGGACCTTGCTGACGAAGGGGTTAGGCGGTCTGGCGTTCGTCCTGTACTGCAGGGAGTTCTGGCCCGACCCGTAGGCATCCTGAGCAGCGAAGGAGCCGCTGCGTCCGGGGAACCTGAGGGGATCCAGCCTCCCCTGGTCGCTAGCCCAGGGTTCCCTGGGTCTCCCAAGGGTGCCCATCCCCCCAGTTCCCACGACACTGGGAAGTCCCCCACTTCCCAGGGCCGGTGGTAGCGAGTTCAGACCCACCGAGTGCCCCAGCCCAGGAACATGAGGCTGCACCAGACCCCCCACGCCGTTCAGCCCGTTTATCGCGAACTGCCCCGAGGAGATGATGGGCTGCTGGCCCAGGACGGGTCCGTTGAACGCCAGGGAACGCTGCTCAGGGTCCTGCGCCAATGCTGCGATGCCTGCTCCCAGGATACCTGGTGCCAGCATCGCCGCCTGCTGCATCTGCGACTGTGGAGGCACCTCCCAGACGCCGTTTTCGCTGATGCCCTTCTTCGAGGCCGCCGATCCTATCGGGGTTGCGGTCGATCCCTTGTCTTTGGAGAACTGGCCCACGCAGACGACGTCGCTGCTGGTCTCCTCGTCGTTGGTCTCCTTCCTGCGGTCTCCGGCGTTGCGCTTCGAGTCCCGCTCCCTGGAGCGCGTGCGGTCCCGCGACCTGGATCTTTCCCTGCGTCGCCGCCTGTCGCGTCGGTCGCGTTCCCGGTCTCTCGACCGACTTCTGTCTCTCCTACGTCGGTCTCTGCCTCTGTCTCGGTCTCGTCGGTCCCTGTCCCTGTCCCTATCCCTGGACCGGGATCGTTCTCGGGATCTCGACCTGTCGCGGCGGTCCTTCCGGTCCTTGCTGGACTCGCTGTCGTTATCTTTCTCTTTATCCTTCTTATCAAGTGGTGGACTCGGTTTCGGAGCCTGCACCGTAGGTACCACCGGCACTGCTGCCGTGTGCATGAATGACTGCAGGTTCAACGTCTGTTGTCTAGCTGCCTCTATTACCTTCTGCATCTCCGTTCGAGAGCTTAGCAGCAGCTTGATCTTCATCTCTTTGATCTTCCCGCCGTCGTTCATCATCGCCTGCCGCGCGTCCTCGTCGGTGCTGGAAAATATTAAAAAAAAAAAAAAAATGTTTCATATTCGAATCGACTGATTTGAGGGTGTTTCGCTTCGCCCTAACAACTCCACGTGGCGATTAGTTACCTAAACGCAATAAAGGCGTCGCCCAGTTCGCCGCCGACGATGTGGACGCCACCTTCCGGGATACTGAGGCCTCGAAAAAACTGGCGAATGTCCAGCGCGTTGGCCGACCACGCCAGATTCTGCAACCGGATTATCACACTCATCTTGGAGACTTATCAGAGTCTGGAACCAAGAAAAAGTGAAGAAACCTACATGAGTAAAGACCAAGCGCATCGTTGTGCATACCTACCGAAGTAACAAGAATACCTCATTACACGTGATATTTCTTCCTCATTACACGATATATCCCATAATATATGATATATACCACGCTTTGCGCTACTAGAGAGGTTAGCGATCGCTCGGCGCCATTCTCACGCGTTCCTTATGTTCGCTCCACGTGTCGTAAATAGCACAAGTACTGCGGTACACTCCTACCTATGCATTAAAGTACTCCAGCCGCATATCCCGACAAGTGTCGAGATATAAATAGGCACGTGTACATGCACTCCAGTTGCGAAAGATTGTACACTGGCGGAGGTGAATGCCTCCCCTGCAGACGCGGCATCGCCTGTGCAGAATGGGAGGGCATTGATGTCTCCCAGTGTACATAAATCCCGAATTACTCGTAATGCAATTACTTGCCGAGCATAGCCGATCTTTTTCCGCGGAAATAATCTGCAGTAATTCTTCCAATCTTGGATAAATAATTTAAGTTAGGTACGGTTTGACAAAGGCATTGTTGATTTTTACCCGAATTTAATTCTTGTAAAATTAGGATCCTTTTATGCGGAGATTTAGACAGGGGTGGGTACAAGCAGGAAGAGTACTCAATGCTAATGCATGATTATTTACCGGTCCATTACTCTCTGGAATTGATTTTCAGGCTAATTTGAGTCAATAGGGACTTCCTGCGAGTTCCTATCATAAATATGAAGCGACGTTGAAATCATCGGTTTGCAATAATAAAGTACCGGGAATTAATTTTAACGGCGTTTAAAACAGGCGAGAAAATAGAGCAACATTGTACACGAGGAATTAGATCACTAGAAGAGGTATTTGCCTGCAGGCTAAGTGCAGGGAACCTTACTTAACATTAATTTATGCCGATTTAATAGTTAATTAAGCACGAGGCGCCTCCTAGACGCCGAGGTAATTAAACCCGATTGCATTTTATCCTGCATTTTCAAGAGTATTAATCTTCCATTCAATTGGACGGTTGCACATATAATTAATGGTCGTCGAAGATTATTAAAAAACCCCCTAACGTTGATTAACATTCATGTAAAATGCATAAGCTCGATTAACAGTCTTGCGTTACCATTTAAAAACTACCGAAACATGCAATGCACATCTCATAGAATTTTAATTTTTAGATAGTTTCTTCATTCACAATTAAATTCTATAGCCAGGGTCCAGGGTCATTAATATACCAAGTCGCTAGAGCACCGTCCGGATCCAGCATCGCATCTAAATCCACTCATAGTTGAAACAACTCCACCAGAAATCTATCCAAACCTTCCCTACAGATAAACAATAAATAAAATATTAAAATCGTCGAAAGGAACGAATCTCCGAGTCTCGAGAACTTCTCCGGGGGCCCAGTCATTAATATACCAAGTCGCTAGAGCACCGGCGAAGCATAAAGTGAAAAGCTGCCGACATGAAGCCAGGCTTGATTTCTTTCACGCCGTCCGTCAGATAATTACCGAGGCGAAAACAGGGAGCTCTCAGCCGTGTAAAACCGTTTAAATTTTAACCAGGTCTATTATCACGCCTCATAGATCGTGTCGAAGCGATCTCCCCTTCTGCGTGTATCGAATCTCTCAGCCTTCCATCGTCGGTTCCATTTTTCAACCCAGATAGCGGAAAAAAACTAACGTAACTCTCTTACGGATGTCCCAACGACATCGTACGTGTCCGTCACGTATGGCGATATATTACATTTACATTAAACATTACAGGTATCCAACAGCTTCCATTGCGTCACCGACATTCCCTTCACAGGTGAATTTTACGACCGACTGCTTGCGCGATGATCATTAAAGCAATTAAGAGGGGATTATCGTGTAACATTAAAAAAGAAAAATCCATTTTTCCTCACAACTCGAAGATGACAAGTATAATAAACCGGGAGATTTTCAATAAATATTTTAGACACCTTTAAAATGAAATCCACATCTTAAAAAAATCTGTCGCTTGAGATATTTAGCAAAGGTTACAACAAAAAAAATATATATATATTATTAACATTCGGGTGTACGATAAAAAATGAGAGAATAAAATATAATTCAATAGTTAGGATTAGACATATTGTCCTTTTTTAAAGGCACATTAGACGAGGGCATATAGTTCGGATACTAAGAGCTCCCGCAGTTGGTTTCCACGAATGCCGATCGACAAACAATGCCTTCTTTGCCAACAAAGACACTTCTGGCCCGACAAGAACTCGCATACTAATTCCGAACCACTCCTCCGATGATGTCGACTGCAGTCTGCGGATTGCGAAACGGTCTCTATCCATCTTTTTCACTTTTTTTTCCCCTCCTTTCAGGAGCCAAGCTACGCACTCGCGTTCACATTCCCTCGAATGCGTATCGGAAGGCCGATAAACAATTGCAACAACGAACTAACAATGACCACCATCCAGAATAATGCCCCTAGACGCAGCATCCCTGTACCACATCTCGCATCACCACTAAAAGTCATACCATTAAAAAAAAAAAAATTTCATGGACACAAGTTGTAATTGCATGTGCCAGAAATCCAGGACATACGTGTATTTTTCTTCTGTACAATTTCTGAAGATCACGAGTTTATTTAGAAACTTTTAATAAATGTATATGGTGGTTTACTTTTAGGGCGTCGAATTTATAATGTTACTACCATCTCGCAGAACGCTTTTGATATGGTGTTGCTTTTAAGAATTGCATTTAAAAAATAATGTATATCATCGGTTGTACAGTGGCAGAATGCTAAGTGGTTATCACGTATTGGTTTAAACATAGATGTGCAATAAAAAAAGAAAAAGGAATTTATAGAAAATTACAGGAACGGACCAGCAGCCTCGAGACGTTGAAGGAACTTCGATGATCCCTTATTAACCATAACTCGGGATTAAGCTCGTGCAAAACGAAAATGGCGATGCGTCAGGTACACTTCGTACTTCCGGTACAGTAAAATATCACCACTCGTGCAGTCCGCGCGTTCTTCACAGCTCTTCCTCGAATCCCGCTGAGTCCTGGACTTCCTCCACCGAAACGCACCTCCGGACACCTCGAGCGAGCGAAATTAAAGATGGCGCGCGTCAGTGCTCTCGTCTCGAGTTTAAAGGGGGATAAAAGCCCGACTTCTGGCGGGGATCTCCCCGAGAAACTTGGCTCCAGGATTTGGTTCAAGGTGAAGGATGGCAAAGGACGACGAACTGCACAGGGGAAATCAAAGCGCAGCTCCATAACCGCAGTTGAAGTTCCTGCCGGTCGAGAATCCACGTTTTACCGCAGAATCGCCTTGGTCCGTTGACAAAAAAGCATGGGGGAAGGATGGCAAATCAACTCTACCCGGAGTTTTCCATTTATTTTCAAGGAATTCATCGAAGACCTTTCGATAAACTCGCATATGAGCCGCCATCTTAATTTCCCAGCCCTACAGCCATCTCTTCCTGCATGGTAATCGGGATAAAAAAGCCGCGACGGACAATCCAGCAGACAATATCCGTCCTATATGTTGTAAAAATTGCTTACAAACATCCTGATCGAAGAATAAAACCCGAGAGTCTATGAGAAATAACCGCAAGAAGCATTATTCCCATATTAACATCGCAACGTCAAATCTCGATTTGCAACTGCGACGACCGAAAGCATTTCGCTTATATTTCCTTTTTTCTTTTTTTTTTTTTTTTCAATCCGACGTGCAGAACTGGAATAACAAATTCCTCGGCACTGTAACCACTATTTTCTTTTAACTTCACCGATATCGAAAATACCCATAAGTCCTCTTAACAGAGAAATAAATATTAATAGAATTTTGCAGTTAAGTGTTCGCCGTCTTTAAATGTATTTGGCGTGAAACTCTACCGAGTTTCCTGATTCCCAGCATAAAGGCGCATTTTCTACCCATAGTTTATTGTTTATCTCCAGACGTGGCAACGTTTGTATTTTAAAGATTAACTTGAAATTGAATAAACGGCGATAAATTAATAAGCAAGAGTACTTAAAGAGGGATCATTAAATCGCCTTATCGTCATTGTATCCCTATCATCTCGTAAATTTAACTGTAATTGCGAAAGAATCATGAAACGTCATCGAAGCTTTAAGCTGAAGTGAAACACCTCGGTAAAAGATATTCTTATAAATACCTACGTTGCCGACCATCGTGTCGAATTGCACTAAATGGCTAAATTTAAGCATATGATGGTTTTGATCGTTGGAAATTTAATGAAAGATTTCCTACGACCAATTAAAATTGTTGGCACGTCGGCATAAATGATATTATACGTATTGTTTAAAGTTTAATCCAGCTAGAGGATCTCAAGGGATCGTAACCTATGCACGAGGAACCGAACAAATTAATGTTTCGCTCTCTCATCGAATGCTGTACACCGAAAGCATTCCATTTTTATTACAACTGCAGTTTATAATTATTCAGGCTATTAAGTCCATTTATAAGTTGGGAATTATATGAAATAATCCCACATCAAGCAAATCTTGAAAGCTTTACTCCCGATTGATAAGGGATTACTTTTAATTTTACTGGAAATCTTTCTCCCATCGGTTATCATTTCAGATTTTTGCAAAGAGGTGGACTGAGGGGTATCGAATGTTTAACTAGAATGGTAATATAAGGTAATCTGCCATAAGAGCAGACTTAATTAAAATCTAGAAATATCTTTCGGCTTGCCAAAGACCCACTTACAATTCTGTTACTTGGAGGGCAGTCCTCTGATTATAGATATAAATTCAATTGTCACTTGTCGATACACCATCGAAGTAAAGAGGGATACTTCGAGTCTGATTTAAAGGCACTATCCAGATAACAAAACTCTAGAGCACTGAAACGATTAATTTCTATATCCAGTTCCCCTTGAAAAATATCTGCAGTCTTCTAACCACATCTCACTAGTCATCGTTACGATAAAGTGGGAGAAGAGTAAAGAGTAGATTTTTAAGTTTAGTAACGTGGCTGTTAAAGGGGCTAATTGCAACAAGTGCTCTTAATAGATTCAGTTTTTCAAGGAAATATCCCTTTCTTCGTTATGGTCTACACTTTTAGATAGATGCAAGTATCGGACAAAATATAAAAAATCCAGCCTACTAGTTTATGCCTTCATATTCCGGTTATGACTGAGAGATGAAATGCCGCACCACCGAAGAGTCTCCGACAGCCCTTTTTTAAAGTTGTCTTGTTAACGGTTACAGGCTCCAAATTACTTACCGCCTGCTTGGGGTAGTCGTAAGGTAACTATGCGGACAATGGGGTTTCCAGGTGGAATATTGCCAGCGAAACTCTGTCAACTCGATGGCAGTCTCTCGCTGCGCAGCCAGCCACCAGCGAAAGGACCAAATAACTTTGTCGCAGTAAATCACAACACAGTCCCCTCCAAAATTATTAACTAATTTTATTACGTTACTAGAGGAGCTCATTACCTTCTCAGGAACTTGAGAACTTGATCTCTTCTCTCTTGGCCCCGCACTCGCAGCTCTAAAACGTACGACGAAAGATAAGAAGTCGACGAGAACAAAGATGACTGAGCAGCAAACGGTCCATCGGCGAAGCTCTACGAATACCAGGGAGCGGAAAAGATGCAGTCAAGCTGCTTTCAGCTCGGCGTTAAGGGAGTTCCTCGACGACGTGGACCCTATTAGTAACACCTAACGCACACTGAACTGCCTAACGTCCTGTAACATACACATACGTGGATTCCAGTAAAGTACGAGGATTCGCTTAGGCAGACTCCATGTTGCTTCCATGCAGGAATCTTTATCAACGACCACTTAACACTATGCCGTCCGCACGCATAATCAGGAATCATTTGTTTGGCGTCATAGGCATCAACAGCATAGTGTTAATAACTGCTATGAAAGGGAAATTATCGACGATCACCTCTTAAGGTTTTCTACAAAACTGCAATCAAAGTGTTTATTGGCGTTCAGACAAGAATCTAGATTAGAACCTCGCTTACACGAGACCATTCAATTTACAGGACTCGTTCAATTAATGAAGAATAAAACCAAAGTCTAATTTCACACTAGACTAATATTTGAGGTTATTCGCTACATATTCGATGCTTAAAAATGAATCCTTCTAATAGCAAATAAGAATATCCAGTTGACGAACATGTGATATCGAGTCATTCTACGTCACAGGAAAACAAGGATGCGCTTTGTCGATTACTCTAACTAACTCTAGATAACGTGATACACGTGAACATAGTATGTATAAAAAAATTCCTCCTTAGCAATTTTTAACTTTAGTTCATGATTAACCATATAACAAGGTGTATATACATTATAAGAAAATGAGAAATAGAATTTCATCATGGAGTAGGACGCCATTACGTCCGCGCACGATCCGCCTCTGAAAATCTATTTTTAAGAATAAACCAGCACAATTTCCGAGTGAATAGTTAATCCTTTAGTTCCTAGCGACATTGTTCTTAGTTTTTATTACCGAGTGGGGTCTCTAGAAGGTAGTAGAGTCACAAGGAAAAATATTCTCGGGAGTTCCAACATGGAGTCGTCCGACGCGCCGTAACGGGGCCACTCGCTTTCGCGTCTCAAGTTGCCGACTCGATTTGTTTCGGGGTTAATTACTCACCAAACTTACAGCAGGGAAGCGGCGCGCTCTGCAAGAACGCGAATACGGAGTCGCAAGTGAAGAAATACGCGGTAATCGATTATCCTCCTCGGTGAATGCGTCTCCTACGTCAAGGTGAAAGGGTGTCTCGTAATGGCGGCGGGTGCTTGGCTACCGAAGGCAGTCGCGCGCTCCTCAACATGTTCCGAGAGGGGGCGGGTCTAACGGAAACGACCAATCAGAGCGCGTTGTCCGAGGCGCGGGTTCTGAAACGTTAGATATTTTTCATGGAGCAGATTCGGGCGTGGTTCCACAAGTTAACTTAACCGGAGTTTAACTGGTTTACAGCGGGTTGAATCAGTATTGTGTAATGACGCGCATTTGAGGTTCTTGGGAGGCGTATCGCGCCATGTGAGTTTATGTTCGAAAAGCACACGTAATACGATTTTTATTGGAAAGGAGGATGGAGAGGAATAAACATTAGTTTGAATTGTAATTATAAAATAGAAGAATATAGAATGGTCATGGAATCACTTTCAAGGGCTAAAGTCATATTAAAGGAGATGTTCGATGCAGCAGTCGAAGCAGTTTTGCCTAACAGAATCATAAAAAACAGAGTCAAGGTAATAGAAAATCAACTTCTCGTCGACAAAGAAGCTTTCAGGTTAAAGGGCAACGTTTACTTGATTGGCTTTGGTAAAGCCGTAATGGGAATGGCTATCGAGATGGAAAATTTGCTCGGAGATAAATTAAAGAAAGGGATCGTCAGCATTCCCCGAGGGAGCAAAGAAAATCTTGGAAAAATAAAGGGAATGACTGATTTGACTAAATCTAGAGGAGTAGTCATTTATCGGGAGGGATGCGTTAATAATCAACCAGACTCTGCATCTTTGTCTGCGACTGCTGAAATTATAGATTTAGTCACATCGTTGAAGGAAACCGATACATTAATTGTTCTTGTGTCCGGGGGCGGTTCTGCTCTACTTTGCATGCCTAAAGCTCCGATAGAAGCGAAGAGTAAAGAAAAACTCTGTAAAGACTTGCAAAATGCTGGAGCTAATATTAAGGAACTAAATACAATACGTATGAAATTATCAGCCGTAAAAGGTGGAGGGTTAGCTCGTATGGCATATCCTACGTCAGTTATTAGTCTTATCTTATCCGACATTGTTAACGACCTTGTCGACATAATCGCCAGTGGTCCAACTATTTACAACAGTAAATCGACGAAGATAGTTATAGAAATTTTGGAAAAATATAAATTATACGACGCTCTGGAGAATGATCTAAAATCAGTCCTTACATCGAATGAAAATGCAGATGAAAAATACTTATTAAATGAGAGGAAGGAATTTACACATGTGAAAAATATTATCATTGGTAATAATACGTTAGCGATTCAAAGTGCATTCGAAAAGACGTCGAAAAAAGGACTGAATACAATTGTTCTAGGAAACAATGTCGAAGGACACGTGCGAGATGTTAGTTTACGATACGTTGACATAATAGAAACAATTTGCCTTACAATGGGCGGCCATTTGAGTAGGGAGGAATTTTTTACAATAATGGAAAAAGATTCCACCTTTTCGTTGTCAGAAACTGAGGTAGAGGAAATATTTAATAGGATTATAAATAGTGGAGAGAAGGAGATTGTTTTAGTCGCAGGTGGCGAGCCCACTGTAGTCGTTACGGGAAAGGGGTTAGGAGGACGAAATCAACAGCTTACTTTCCAATTTTCTTTCGACTGGCATATTAAAGTACAAAACGAGCCACGATTAGGTGAATATAATGTTATTATAATGAGTTGCGGCACCGATGGACAAGATGGCCCCACTGATGCAGCCGGAGCATTCGGATATGCTGCGATTCACTCTATGGTCTCCGATATGTATAACAATTTAAAGAAAAAATTAGACGAGTCACAGGATAAATCTATTACAATGGATATCGATAACAAATTGAATATCGATGCCCAAGAAATTAAAAATATGGAACGCTTGGATGTCTTCCCAGATCTCAAAATTGATTATCGTAATAGGAATTCACTGGCGGAAGCTATCAAAAGATTGGAACAAATGTCACCCGACGTTGTATTGAGAAAAAATGATACATACAATTTTTACTCTCAATTTAAAGGAGGACAAGACCTGATCAAAACGGGAGTTACAGGCACCAATGTTATGGATTTGCATTTCTTTTACATTAAAAAGGTGTAATCTAATCTTCCGCAGGAAATTTATCAATGCCTTTAAGGTTCAGTGAAACACATCGTTCAAATAGATTCTTCTAAATATCCACGTTACCAATTACCTTTTAAAAGCCTAACAATAAACCAGATATGTTGCCAATCGTTATAGTATATTTTTTAACAATGCTAAACGTCGGGAGCGACGGTGACGCCATCTTCATTCTATCGGCACAAGCAGGGAACTAATCGAAGCCGGAAGGGACTTTATCGACGCTCGGCTTGTAGCGGACGCTAATCGGCGCTCTTTAGAATATCTAATTACTTTTAAGAACCTACTTAAAGCTAGCGACGCCTTAGGGCGGGCTTAGTCGGTCGCCGTGCCTAGTTGGGGATCCACTTTCCTAGCTAAATTGAGGTTAATTCAGTCTGGTGTTAATCGAGAGTCGAGAAAAGAGATGGTCACCGGCGTCCTGATCGCGATCGCTTTTGCGCTGCTCCTGGCTCGGCTGTTTTGCCGCAATCCCGAGAACTACCCTCCAGGTATATCGAACCGTTAATTTATAACCGGCCGGCCGCTTCTCGAAGCTTCCTTTTTTTCCCGACGTGTGGATATAATTAATATTAGGAGAGCAGATCTCACGCGGCTGGGCGGGCTATTTCGAGATGGGATTCTTCGGACGGTTGGCTAGAGGGTTCCGGCGGCTCCTGGTAGATGGCGCCACATACGCCACGGGAGACAGGCCCGGTACTTTCGCGTTTTTCCAGCTTTTCGACGTATATTACATAAGTTATGCAGTTTACCGGAGAAAATACAGCGTAAGAAAATATATAGCGAAGGAAAACAGTAAATTACGTTCCCTACGGACAATATCTTAAGGTACAATTAATTAATTTCTAGCTTGTATTCAGTTCTTTAGAATTTCACGTTTTCAAGATGGCGGATTCTGCAGATGCGTGATGTATTGTTAGCGTCTTTTAACGCACGTTCATGAAACTCGTAGTGTCGAATGATGAGCGATAATGTCTTATACTATTGGGTTAATTTACACGTAACGTGTAAGAAACGTCATTAATGTTTCATGGAAAAGAGTCAGTTTTCATTGTTTCTTTTCGCAGGCCCTTTTCCATGGCCCATCGTTGGCAATCTTTACCTCTTGCGGGACTTGTCTCGGAAACTGAAAGCGCAGCATTTTGCGCTATTAAAATTGTCCCAGCAATATGATAGCCCCGTAATATCTCTTCGCTTGGGGGGCAACAATGTGATCGCCGTTTCCGGTCTCGAAGGAATCCACGAGGTTCTCAATGGCGAAGAATTCGACGGTCGTCCCTGGAACGAATTCATTAAATTGAGAAACATGGGCCTCAAGAAAGGTGAAACGCCTTTTGGCAATTATTTCTTCTAGAAATTGCGTAGGTGTATAATCAATATAGTTTCTTTATTGTTATGTAGTAAATTTATATATATTTCTTTTCTGAAGGCATAACAATGGCGGACGGACCAGAATGGAAGGAAATTCGAGCCTGGGTAGTGAAGAGCTTGAAGAATTCCGGCTTCGGTCGTCCTGAGATGTCCGACATGATAAAGTCTGAGCTTGCTCAAACTTTAGAGACCCTAAAAAAGGGCGGAGTGTTTCGACTTAAGCCGATAGTTGGCGCTGCCGTAATTAACGTCCTTTGGACGTTCGTCGCGGGGAAAGAAATAAGTAACACTATTAACAGATTCCAGAATCTGATGGAGCGACGAGCAGCAATTTTCGACATGAGTGGAGGGATTTTGTCGTCTTTCCCTTGGATTCGATATGTTGCCCCGGAATGGTCAGGGTATAATATCCTGGTGACCATGAACAACGAACTGAAGAACGTCATTGTGGTTTGTTCCCTATTATGGCGACTAAGATGACACAAAACCCTTTTTTTTATTTAACATAAGCCTAGAGCTAAACATGTCTTATGTCTTTCTGCAGTCCTTTATGGAAAGAAGGAAAGTACAGATTTTTTTTTATTGTTTTAAGGAAACAATTGAAGACCACAAGAGGAATTATGTGGCTGGTAGTGAAGCCGACCTTATCGACATGTTCCTGACGGAAATATACGCCAGGAATGGGGATTCTACTGTATATACAGGTATTTCAAGATTTAACGAAATGCCTTGGAAGCTTCTAATGTTTTTCGTCGACAGAGGAACAGTTGATCCTGATCTTGGTGGACCTCTTCATCGCGAGCCTCCACACGTCGACCCTCACCCTGGACTTCCTCTTCCTGAACATGGCGATGAACCTTGATCAACAACGTCGCCTCCACCAGGAACTTGACAACGTTCTTGAGAAAGAGTCGCTTCCGGAACTCTCCGATAGACCTAAGTATGGAGAATATGCTTCCTGGCGTGTCCACTTACCTCGCTAATCGACTATCAACGTTGAATAACCATATAATAAGCTATAGTTACCTGTAGTAGCGCCATTTAGGCTGTGCCGCATTTTGCAGAGGCGCGGAAAGCGGGTTTTCGACTAGTTAGTAAGCGTTGCCTCCGCTAGGGGTGCTTGCCTATACGTTTTAAACGATGGAATTAATGTCTGTTTTCTCACGTTTGTTTTAGACTTCCTTATATCGAAGCCGTCTTGGCAGAGTCTCAGAGAATTTCTCTGGTCGTTCCGATAATCGGTCCCAGGAGAGTCCTTAAGGATACGAAACTCTTGGGATACTCCATACCGAAGGACACTTCTGTTCTGATTAACATTTTCAGCATCCACATGGACCCGACGCTCTTTCCGGAACCGGAAGTGTTTAAACCGGAAAGATTTCTCAAGAATGGGGCCTATCAACCTGACGATAATATCATGCCCTTCGGAAAAGGTAGATTAAGGTAGATTAAGGCTGCATAGGTTATGGTAGATATTAGGAATTTTTTAATATGAAAGGCGCTGATTAATTATAATTCATCTGTACCCTTTTTGGCGGTAACGTCATTGTAAATACTCAAGTGGTAACATAAGCTGGCGCGTCCTATTACCGACATTTATATTTATCTTCAAGTATTTTACAGTCTACGGTGATAATTATTGTTTCAGGGAAAAGACGATGCCCGGGAGAGGCTCTTGCCAGGGCGGCATTGTTTCTGATCTTCGCCGGCATCATGCAGCGATTTGAAATTCGTCCTGTGCCAGGAAAGGAACCTTTGACAAGGGAAATCATTCCTGGCATCACGTTATCTCCTAAACCTTACGAAGTCCTCCTGGTGCCACGACACACCTCCTAGAAGACGACGCATCGAGAACAAAGGAAGGCCTTAGTTTAATAAAACCTAAGCTAAAGTGCATTTACTTCCGTTTACATAGGTCGTTATTAATTACTTAGATAATAATTACAATTATCGGTTCGTTAAAGTAGTAGACAAGCTCTTTAGAGCGCATTTTCTCGTAACAATCGCCCGCTTATCATTGTCCTTACGTGATCACTCCACTCGTTACGTATACTCCTTTGAATAATGAACAACGCGATTTGCAATTCAGACGATTAGTGATATCTTATTTACACTGGACTTTGAAATTAATTGCTAATAAATTATACGGCAAATTGGGTGGGTAATTAGCATAAACGCAGAGAATGTGAAGATAGGTGCTGCGCTCTAGGGTTAACGAAATGCACTATACGGTGCACTGTACGAAATTCGGTGGAAGGTAATGCGAGCTTCGGTTAGTCTTTCGATCTCGTCCTCGACGAAAGTTTAAGGTAGTATGGTTTTGGGGAAATGGTGAAACCGTCGTAGCCATTTGTGTCGGGGGCTCCGTGTTCCGGCGAGATCTCCAAATGGAAAAAGTGGAGGACGTTGGTGAAATAGAGGAACAATGATTGCCGAGCTAAGATTTCCCCCAGGCAACGTCTCTTTCCTGAAAAGAAACCATTATTGATAACCATTCCTCCCGATTCTCTTCCCCGATTTAAGGGGGGGCCAAAGTGCCATCTGAACAGACATTTACGAAGCTTTTCTCCATCTTCGCTGTACCGATTCGTTTGAAACTTTACAACGTGAATATAGAGGCTACAATTAAGGTCTTGACGCTGAGCTTTCAAGTGGCGCGCAAAGAAATGTAAATTAAAATAGATATCTCCCGTCTCGTCTTACCGATTCCAAAAGGAATGGCGGCATTGTTATGAGAAAATCTCCCATTGTCGTCGATGAACCTTTCTGGGCGAAATTCTTCAGGATCTTCCCATATCGCGGGATCGTGGTGGACGCTGTGATAGTTGAGAATAACTATGGTGTCCTGATAAAATCGAGATAAATGATATCAGAGGCAATAGGGAGGCACATTGATAGCACAAGAGAAATGATGAAAGATAATAAGGATTAATTGAAAATTTTAGTACTTTTGGTATTTCGTAGCCATCCAAAGACACGTCTTTGGTTGTGTTGTGAGGCACTCCGAGGGGCGCCATTGCTAAATACCTCTGTACCTGGATAAAAAATAGAAACAATTGAAAGAATTGTAAAATTGATTACTGGAGGGATCCTCGAAGAGATTGGACGGATCGATACACCGGGAAAGGCACAAGAAAGGGAAAAAACGCAGGCGGAAGTCCCAGAAGAGACGCATTTCCTGGTGATCGTCGCTTTCTCTTACCTCGGCGAGGAAAGCCTCGACCCTGGGTAAGGATGGCACATCTTCTAATGTCGGAGACCTATCTCTCCCGACGACCTCGTCCAGGTCCTTCTGCAGAGTCTTTACCCAATCCTGATGCAGAGCCAGGAACATGAACGTCGTCGCCAGGGTGTCGCTGGTCGTCTTCACGCCAGCCAGGAACAGGTCCAGGCAAAGGACCAATAAATCTTCTCCTGGGTGGAGGGAAATAAATGTTATCACCCTGATAAAAATGATTGCGATCAGGATGCAGCGCCAAGGACATCGCAAATGTCCAGAGTCACACTCACGGGTGAATATTGAATCCGTGCCCTGATTTTTCGGAATTTCCAGAAGGAAAGCATCGATCAGATCCCCAGGTTGACTCTCGGGTAACTTCCTCTCGTGGGCGGAAATCTCGTCGCTGAGGAAGGACCAAAGCTTCTCCAGGATGTACATTAACTCCTTGAAGCCGGACAATTCTGGGATCACGTAACGCAGGAAGGGCATGTAGGACATTATTCCTCCCATTGTGTCCATTAACCTGGAGATAAAACACTTTAAACCTACTTGAATTATTGGGAAGATGAAGAGGAAACGAGCCGGTCCAACCTGAAGGCGTCGTGGACGACCTGGAGGATCTCCTTCAGTTTCTCGTCCTCGTAGGCAAATCTGTGCCCGGCAAACATCGTCCACAGGGAATTTAACACCGCTACGTCGAAGACTGTGTGCATGCCCACGGGACCCTCCTCACTTTGTCGCAAAAGGTTGTCGACGAGGTCCCGGGCTTCGATATGCAAATGACCCGCCATGATGGATCTACCGAAGCCGAAGACGCGCAAATGTCTCATGGTAAATCGCCGATTTTGCGACCAAGTGTGACCCTCCGTGAACAGGACTCCTGGAAACGGTAAGCTTGGAATTTCCTTCGTCGATTTCACTAAACAATTCCCCCCGAGATATGGAAATTATGTTAGTTTAGATGGGACGTCCCGTTACCTTTTCTTCTGCCGAAAGAGCGCACCCTGAAGAAGAAGCCGTCGGGTCGTCCGTTGAATTCCTCCTGGAGAAGGACTCTCTTCACCAGGGAATGTCCCGAGATCATAATGAATCGTTGTTTGCCTAGTTTTAAGCCCAAAATCGGGCCGTATATCTTGGACAGGACTTCAAACGCAAGATGGGCGTAGCCGTGCTTTAAACGGAGACGCTGGAACGTCGGGAAGCATCCAACAAACGGCAGCCATTTTGGTCCTTTCGTCGCGCAAGAAACGTAAATTGGTAAATAATTCTTCTTTATGTACTTCTAAAGCTTGAATTCTAATTTAGGAAGATGGTTGTCGCGAGTATTGTTCAACAAAAAGTAATTTAAAAGTGCGGCACATGCGCATACCCACCGGGCGGGAACTTTGCGGGCTTTGCGCAGTCGAGGGCGCAGTATGCGCAGAGCGCTACCAGCAGGAGGACGCAGAGCAGCGCGAGGAGCATCTCGAGGGTCACTGGCGTTCACAGCGGAGGATCCAACTTCTTTATACGCCGGAACAAAAAGGTTTCAGGTGCCCTCGGAGATATAATCTCAGTTGACACCCATGGGTCACTCCGACAAAAATACCTTTTTACGTCGGCCTCTTTTCAGGAAGACGCCCCGTCGTCGTCGAACCGCCCGACTGGCTCTGCTCGTCTACGAAGCCTCGACGGAAATAGGAAGACATTTACACATCCAGTTTATCTTCACCTTGAAGACATCAATGGAGATACGGGCGACCACGGCCATGACTTTTATTCCCTTAAGGCGCTTCCATGTACCGAGATAAATTAGATTAATTTATATGAGAGCCGGGTTTCATCCCAGGCTTCCCTGGGAACGATCACGGCCGATGCAGTGGTTCATATCGCATTCAAGTGATATGAAAGGGGAGAAATTTAGTCGTAAGTAAGCCTCACCGATGCCGACCCTGATCCTAAACCGTCGTTAGAATAATGAATCCACGGGATTTCGACGGTTTTACGTCGATCTCTTCGTCATTACTGCTCCGAAACGTCATATGGAACGCTTCAGGTAGTATTAAGATGAATTTTAGTTTATCTATCTGCATAAAATTCCGCAGCGCGTTTCATATCATCTTAATATTGCAAGAAGAGTGCCTGACCCAACGGTCTGAATCGGTATTCCAGAAGAAGATGACCCGAAGAACCTCGAGGAAGCGTCGGGCATAGCAATGCCTTCTTCTTGTACTAGAAATCCAAGATGGCAGCGCCGATGTCGCCGAGTTTAGCTCGACAAACGACTCGCGAAACCCGGAAATGTCCAGCTTTCACCGAGAATGTCGCGCTCGCGTAATTGCGTTAAACCCCCGGGGTCAATGAAACGACTTTTGCTTATTAGTTGGCCGTTTCTGTTAGCGCGTAAGGCGGCTCGTTAGACGGCCTTCCGTTTTCGCTTTCCACCGCTTTTTTCCCGATCCTTCCTTTTTTTCTCCAGGACGGCAGCCTGCAGAAAGCGAGGAAGTCTCGTCGTGCACCTCTTTGACACCAGATATGCGTAAGACGGATGCCCTCAGGGTCTCTCGAGAGAAATTTAAACGTCTTACCCACGCGCAGGGAGGAAGCGTCCTCCGCCGCCATCTTGATTCCTCGGGATACCGCGCTTTCCATCATATCTCTTATCATTTTATGTCTGCATAGCGGTCGAAGGAAAGCGAGATGTCCTCCTCGGTTGTCGGATGATAGTTGGATGATTGTCGGAGATATCTTCAGAGAGAAATTTAACGAAGACACCCACACGAAGGCGTCCGCCATTTTGGTTCCCGCGCGGAAGGAATTCCTGCGCATCTCCCATCAGACGCGTGAGGTATAAATTAAATTACGATATCGTGTGTGGGTGCCAGCAACTTTCACTCCGCTATCGTTTCCTCCATAACAGAGCCTACTTTCTCCGTTTCGGAGTCACGCTCTGCACGAGGACGGGAACACGTAGAGGACCTCGGTTGCACCGGGAGCATCACCACGGACAGAAAATAGGATCGCAGCTCGTAACAAAACATTAATCTTTATTCGTAACGGCATTAGTTAACAATATAAAAAAAAACGATAACAGTGCTGGGGAAGGAAAGGGTAGAAGTCCGCCGAGGACGCGTCAGTCGAGTAGCAAGCGCCCGGGTAACTTATCGTTATTTTAGGCCTTAACGTTAATATATACAATGGCTTATGTTACATCCAGGACGGGGATAGACCCCGGGGAAAAAACCCAGCTGCCCACCTCCCAAATTAGCGACCAGGGAACTTGAAGGCCGCATTCACCTTGTCTTGGTTGGTGGGCAGAGGTGGAGGGACCAAGTCCTGCGTTATGGTCTTGAGACCATTTCGGAAGGACCTGTCCCACCTAGCTCTGTCCGTTTCCTGGGTTTGCGGGTCTGGAGACAACTGGGCCTCCTGGACCTGTAGAATTTGTTGGGTTTGTTGGGTTTGTTGGGCCTGCTGCGAACGCAGGTCGGCGGGCTTGGTGGATCTTGCCACCAGCTCCGAAGCCTGGACTTGGGTGTCCTTGCGATCTTCCCAGCCATGATGGGGATGATGGTGGTCCTCGCTGGGGAACCATTCGGAGATCCAGACCGGCTTCCAGATCTTCTTCCAGGCAGGGACCCAGATCTCCTTCCAGGCCGGCACCCAGATCTGCTTCCAAGCCTCCTTCCAGGCCAGCTTCTTGTCGGGCACCCATTCCTGCTTCTTCTCCGTCCTCCAGATCTGCTTCCAAGCCTCCTTCCACTCCAACTTCTTGTCCGGCACCCATTCCAGCTTCTTGTCCGGCTTCCAGATCTGCTTCCACTCCTCCTTCCAGACGAGCTTCTTGTCGTCCAGCCAGATCTGCTTCTTCGCCGGCTTCCAGATCTGCTTCCACTCTTCCTTCCACTCCAGCTTCTTGTCCGGCACCCAGATCTGCTTCTTCGCAGGCTTCCAGTACTTCTTCCAGAGCGGCTTCCAGATCAGCTTCTTCTTCCAGAGGTCATGGCTCGTGTATTCCCAACCATGGTGGTCGGTCCCATGGTAGTGCTCGCCAGGAATGCCGACCTTCACCCACTCCGGGATCCAGATCTGCTTCCAGGCTGGGACCTGGATCTCTTTCCACGCCGGCACCTGGATCTCCTTCCAAACTGGCTTCCACACCTTCTTCCAGGCCGGAACTTGGATCTCCTTCCAGGCAGGAACCTTGATCGGCTTCCAGAGCGGTTTCCACACCTTCTTCCAGGCCGGGACCTGGATCTCCTTCCACACTGGCACCTGGATCTCCTTCCAGACCGGCTTCCAGATCTTCTTCCACGCTGGGACCTGGATCTCCTTCCAAATCGCTCTTTGGGTCGGCTCCCAGACTGGTTTCCAGATCTTCTTCCACGCCGGCTTCCAGATCTGCTTCTGGGCTGGTTTCCAGATCTTCTTCCAGCCTGGTTTCCATATCAGCTTCTTCTTCCAATACCCTGGGTCATGGTGGTCGTGGTGGTGGTCGTCGTGCACCTCGTGGTGCTCTTCATGGTGCTCTTCATGGTGCTCTTCGACGGGACCCACGAACCCTCCCTCGTCGCCTCCGAATCGCTTCTGGGCCTCTGTGCCGTATCTGCGAGTTAAAGGAAATATTTCTTAAGGCGACATCAAAGTGGCGACGAAGAGGTCTCGTTTCAAACCTTACTACACGAACATTCCCCTGTTTCCCCTGTAGGGTTACTTTTACGGGGAAGTGGGCGTTTCTTATGCTGGTTTATGATACGAGGCTCTTTCTTCAGTCTCGGGGCATGGCCATAACCTCAACGGAACTAATACTTACGGAACTTGCTCCTGAATCTGCTGCAATTGCGTCTGTTCCAGTGCCTTGCCCGCCACAAGCGCGGCCTGCAGTAGCACAACTAGCGCAGCCTGTAAAAAAGGAAAGAAATAGTTAGCCGGGTTTCACCAGAGATGGCGCCACCCAACGATCTGATCCTTGCTATAATCTTCTTCCAAATGGTAACTTTGGTCTCAGGTGTAGTGCCAGAAAATTTGAATTAGCCGCGCCGGACAACGAGAGTCGTCCTCCCGCCGTCACGCGATGCGCATCGATTCGAAATGTAAGTGTTATTTTTTAATGGATCTTCCTGGGGTTTTGCCCTGAGACGAAGTAGGGACGATTTCGATGGATGGCGTTGTATCTCCTTATACTACTTAGTTTTTTTACGCGACGACGAGCTTTCTTTACTTTCCTCGATCTCTGATCGAGGCGATAAATCGATCACTGCGAGTGTGACGAGTTCTCTCGGGCACTTTCATTTCTTCCTTTGGATTTTTCCACCGTTAAATGGAACTTCTTTCTAACCTCAAATTATACCGCACGCGTGTTGCATTGATTTAAAGGCGTTATGTATTGTTCCTTTTATTATTCTGAGCGCAAGGTGAGCCATGATTATCGCACGCGATAATGACTTCCTTCCTAGAGCAGGCGGATTACTTTCTCTTGAATTACATATTCGGCGCGCATAATCGAGTTAAGTCACGAATTAAATTATTCCGAGTTCTCCTTTGCCCATTAGTTGTTTCGTTGTTTTGGAAACGCGTCAGGTTTGAATGAAATAATTGTCTCGCAGCGCCGCGTTTACAGTCGCGATGCACCGCCACCTTGACACCCGTATATTCGGTCGCGCGCCAAATTCAAATCGTTCGAAAACTGACCGCGCATCTTGGGCGAATCCTCATGGCGTCGCAATGCCGCCCTCTGGGCGCGATCTCTGGGCACAGGGAGCGTGGTTTACTTCGCCCAATCAGCGGAACGCCGTAGTTATATAGGCGCGTATCCTCCCCTCGGGTCCGCGCCGAAAGTGGCCGGGGAAGTGGAACTGGAAGTGGAACCGGAACCGGACCGCACCACCTCGCTGGCCCGCCGCAAGTCGCCTTTCTTCGGCCGTCGCTCCGGTGAAAGTGATCCTTGCCCGCGGCCAATGGCGCCGTGAAGTTCACGCGCAAGGTTATGTGACAAGGTTACTCCCGCTCCGGATTCGAGGCTCCCTTTTTTTGCCCGCTCCTTTCCGCACGTCGCGGTTTCTCCGGATTCTGGGCTTATTTTTTTTCTCCACACATTTTTCGCGGATCACTGGGCTGGTGAATTCAAATCCTGGGACGATTTTTATGCAATGTCCAGTAGTCCATATTTCAAGTGGCATTGCTAAACCAATAGTATATATATTTTTAGAAATCATTTAATCGATGGGGAAGACTGAGAAGTACTTAAAATAATCCAACTTGCTGTAATTACGCAATGTTAAATCACAAATGGAATTGGGTTCTTTTCCTGTGACAACGCATCGGTCATAGTGAGTTGGAGAAAGCTAGTTGCGATAATTTTTCATCGGTATGTCGCATAAATGTGTCTTGGCGCCTGGCGTACTGTCATCGTGACGTAACTCATAGTACTCGTAAGAAATTACGCTGCTAACACTTTAGCTAGCTTGATAGTTAACCGCGAACAGAAAAGAAAATGATTTACGATCAGAATTAGCCGCCATAACGAATCTCCGCAAGGCCAAGGACGCCATTTTGAATCGCTCCCTTAATCGCGAAAATCATTTAAAAAATCCTCACGTTTCTTTTCACCTGATATTATAAATGACCTATGATTATCTTGAGGTATTCTATTTAATGCACCGTGTCCAGTAATTCGCAAAGCTATTATAAAGATTTCAGCTTCATTTTCTTAGTCTTGAGACTTATTTGAGCTTAACAAATCATGTCCCCGGGTGTACATTGACATCGAGGTGTTAACGACTGCCTCCGCGTACTTCCTTAAGGAAAGGAAGCTTCCACCGGTGTTAATTGCCGAGTTAGAGTTCCTGATGAAAGTAAATTCCACCTAGCACGCTCCTAGAACCTCCTTGTGGAGGTCCTCCATAAGGAGGTCCGAGGATCGTGCTGATGTTTCCAACGACAGAAATGTTTTACATGAATATATTACATACTATTTATCTATAAAAACGTCAGAATATTTGTAAAACTTTCATGAGTGGGAATTCCTTTTCGGCGCCGCCATTTGGGTGAAAAGTAAAATTTGCAAGAGTACGTTTCCATGTAGACGAAAGCCCTCTCGAGTGATAAAACGGAGCTGTGTCGCTCCAGTGAAAGCGAGATAAGTGGGCAGGTGACGTAAGAGAGTCCATTGTGTCAGAAATCGGAAATTCGTCTCCGACGGTCTTGATCGGGCTCGAACGAGTCCGGGACGGTTTCTCTGTCCGGGAGGAGAGAAACCTCTTTCTCCTCGGACCGGACGTTTTATGAGGTCGTTACCGGTTGTTTCTTTCGGGATTTCGCGAGGAATCGCGATCTACCGGACCGGTCGCGAACTCTCGGCGAGGTTTCCCTTCTCAAGGTCGTTGGTTTCCCTTGGCCGACCGCAGCACCGCCACCGGCGGCGTCGTCAACTTCCAGGCATGCCAACTACCCTGTATATCATTGAAAAAAATACCCCCGAATAATTTCTAAACGGGGGTGGTTATAAAAAAATGTTTCCAACGAAAGTTGTAGAGGGGAAACTTATGGAAAGAAAATTTCCAACGTAACTGCTTATGTTTTTCTGATACGTACCATGCGACAATTTTCTTAAATGGCTACAGTAATTTTCCTCTCTCTTTCTCTGCAAGAGGGTATAACACGATTCTTCGGTCTTGAAATTTACTTTGCTGATCGCGGGATCTTTAGGAACGTCTTGTATGCATAATGGCAGTCGAGGAAGAGCAAAGAAACATCTCAAACTAAGCGAGTCGGGGTCGAGCAGAGTTCAAGCCGCTGTTACGGAATGTTTTCCCGTGACTAAGAATCCCACCACGTGATCAGCCAGGGAAAGTTGCGAGGCACATCTCTATATTTGTAGTGTACGTGTTAAGTGGCATCAGGCGACTCTGGATTATCGCAGAGTCATCGATTGACGGAAGTCGCCATTCTCGCTGCCAAAAAAAATGCATAAAATTGCATAAATGTATAAATCATCTTCCATTTTTATCAAAAACTAACGTCGGCAACGTAGGAATTTAGGGAAATACTTTTTACCGTCGTCGATCAAGTTCCTCGACGTGTTTCACTTCACCTTAATGTGCAATAAGAGGATTTGTGCGATTCCCTAATAATTGTATACGTAATTCCTGCCATCAACGTGAGCGTATTCCGTGAAATTAGCATCCTTGAGAGTTGCGAAAAAAGGTGGAAAAAAAAAGGAGAATGATTCGCGTTACATAAATCGTTATCCGGAATCACGAATGAGCACATCGCCGAGAAAGTAAAGTTCGTTAATAGGACTTTTCCCAATCCGACGAGAATATCGGATGTCCGGTGTAGCCGGAAGTCGTTGCGGTGATCCGTCAATTATACCATCCGCGACAAGTTTCCCGACTTCCGGTGAAGACTGAAAGAAAAAAAAATATCATAAATTAGAGAATTTGACCCCGGTGGAGTGAAGAAAATCATTATTCTTCCAAGTTTTAACAATGCTAGGAAATGTTAAAAGTAGTGTTTTCCTTTTTTTTTTTTCGGCTGGAGGTTGCCGAACTGTCTTAGGCGATGTCGATTGGCTAATTTACATCGACATGTCGACCGTGACTCGCTTCCCTAATTATTCCCGTAGAACTGGCTCATTAAAATTCTTCAGATGACACCTCGGTCGACCGCGGTCAATTCTCGACGTCGACTTCAGGTAAAAAACCGATCGATCGGCTTGTTTCGCTTTATGGCGCCATTAACCCGATGTAAACATGATTTAAGAAATTGCTAGATATTAATTTCGTTCCCTGGTTTTAATAAGCGACCAAGAAAAAGGGGAATCCCCGTCTCAAGCCCTAACAACACAGGATAATTTCTAAATATTTTCTGTTTCTAATCTTTATCCCGATATGTAGGAGTGAAATACTCGACAGTTCCTGGAGAGATTTCGTGTAATGTCGAGTTTATTAAAAGAACGTGTCGTAGGTTATGTGGTGCACCATCTTTCGAGAAGAACTATCGGTAGAGGAAGGCAGACGAACTATGTGCACGTTTCGCTTTCTATTGAGTAATAATCCCAGGACATATAAGTCTTAGCAGTTCAATATGCGCCATACATAAAGCATGATTAACTTTCGATACTTCCTTAAAGGCCTTTATTAGTACCTACTTGATCACGGGTTGAAGTTTCTAATTATTCGGTGCACCCTCTTTGGAGAAGTTTCATAAATATTTCCACGTTCAAGGGGAAAAACAAAAAAAAGTACGAGTCATTGCCCGCAAGATGGCGCCACTATAGGTCACTCTTGATAGTTACGCGGAACCAGCCAGTCGCCGAAAGCACGCATGACTTGCCAGTCTTGTCTCCGTGGTGTCCGGAGGATGTGTATGTACCTTAAACTTTCACTTTCGCAGAGAAGGCTGCCTTGATCGAGCTTTTCTTCCTCTCCGATCTCGAGTGGATTGTATGCTAATGAGGTACGCATCTTTGCGCATCTTGTTCCCGTAGCCATGCGAAAGCGGGCATGAATCCCGTCTACTGGAAAAATAATCCCGGCGGCGCCCCCTAATTTAAGACAATAAATTATTTTCAGTGTTAAGTATTCTAAGGAAGTCAAAGTTTCTGCTTCGAAAGTGACTTTTACTGCGTGCTACTGCTATTGATAATAATCTATCTTCTAATCCAGTAGCATACCATATTTTATGCGTCATCAATCTCATCTGACTGGCGTAACTCTTCCGTGTAAACTTGCCATGAACCTCTTCAAAATTGATTTATGTGCGAAGGAAAGGTGCAACCATCATAATAAAACTTGTACCTTCGGAGTACCTCGGAGTGGGTTGCATTAATTTCTACAAGTAAACCGAGGCGAGTACTTATGCTGAGAATTTTTTGGGACCGATGGGGTTGACCTTGAGAGCTAAAAAAATTCAGAGACCCTAGAACCTCCCAGCACCTCGAAAACGATAGAATGACCACTAAGGACCATTCGAACGCCTGTCCACTTTCAAAGAACCCCGTTGATATATTACGGTTTACTTTCTTTTAAGAACTAATCATCGGTTAGTGCCCCCGGTTAATCGCAGTCCATTAGCGACTTTATGGTTAGGTGTTAAACCCAGCGGAAATTTGTCCACGAGGTTAAACGTAATTAAATAATGTCCGCCCCTAACATTACGGGTGATTTATGAGTCAACTTGGCAAGTTAACCCATAAATCTAACCGCTGAGCCATCGGCAATTTCTTTGGCGAGCTCGAAGCAATCGTGCGTGGTGGATTCGTCACACTTTCGGCCGAAGTGGCCGAATTAATATGGCGGGCCCAGAAGAGAGCAGGTAATTAAAGACTCGAGAAGATCGACTCTTCGCTTACGGCGAGACGTCGTGCCACTTCCGGTCTCACCTTTCTTCAGGAAAGTCAAAGTCTGCACCTCGGGAGAAAGTAAAGGTCGCCGGCTCGTCTCATAACCTTCGCGACCCTGTAGGGGTACGAATCTTTTCTACCTGCCGTTCAATTCCTGGATAAACATCTTCTCAATCACTCCTCTTAGGCGAAAAAACTATAGTGGGCGTACTCTTCACGGCTCCGGAGAAAACAGTCACGGCTGGGAAATTGCTTCGTCGCTTTCGACGACGTGATTTACAGTCTCGGCGTGACATTAAAAACGGAACGTGGGAAGTTCCACGCGTTAGTAATAAGATTTCGCCCTATTGATAATGTCGATGAATAAAAAATGCATACTGAAAGTGAACATGCCCATCATTACCTTTAATGTAACTTGTAACTCCGTAATTCTCTGTGGAGATTTTCCGATGAGCTTGAGGTCGGAGTTCTGTTAAACATTAAAAAAATATACAAGTCCTCCCGTAGGAATCAAGATACACTTGGTATAAAATACGTTTATTAAAATGAAACAAGAATATAAAAATAACTTTTTCCATCTCTTAGGGCTATGTACAATTGCGCAGGTAGTCAGGTGCGACGATATCTGCAATCAGTAGACCTGGACGGTCTGAACGGAGAAGAGTCGTCAACTTCGAGGTCGTCTCATCCTCGAAGGAAGAACCCTCCAGCAATAAAATGCGTAAAAAGTTGGACGGATCGATCGTTCGGAGATCGGCGGATCGATAGAGATCAGCCGCTCCCCTCCCAGTCTCCGAATTCTTCGGAAGAGGCCCAGGAAGAGAAAGGAGCATCCCGGGCTTTGACACGCCGAGTTGGGTCCCCACCCTCTCGCCGAACCTCGAAGTCGACTTTCGAGTTCGACTCCAGCGAACTCCACCTCGGATATACAGAGACCCAATGCAAATATAGATCTCGTGGCCAAACGGCCGTCGAATTGGGCAGAAAGGCCCAGGATATCAGTACCCATGGTGGGGTTCCTCATGGTGAGGCTCGGCAGGCACCCAGACTTTCTCCCACACGGGTTTCCACACCTTCTTCCAGGCGGGCACCTGGACGTCCTTCCAGACGGGTACCCATTTGCTCTTCCATTCGTCCTTCCAGACCTGTTTCTTCTGGGTGACCCAGATCTGCTTCTTCTGTGGGACCCAGACCTGGACGGACTCCTCCTTCCAGGCGAGCTTCTTATCGGTGACCCAGGCCTGTTTCTTCTCCGTTCGCCAGATCTGCTTCCACTCGGCTTTCCATTCCAGCTTCTTGTCAGTGGCCCATGCCTGCTTCTTCTCGGTCTTCCAGATCTTCTTCCAGACTGGCTTCCAGACGAGCTTCTTCTTCCAGAGGTCGTGGCTGGTGTACTCCCAGCCGTGGTGGTCCTTCCCCACGTATTGTTCCCCAGGGATTCCGACCTTCACCCACTCGGGCACCCAGATCTTCTTCCAGGCCGGGACCTGGACCTCCTTCCAGATGGGGACCTGCACTTCCTTCCAGACCGGCTTCCAGACCTTCTTCCAGTCCGGGACCTGGACCTCCTTCCAAACCGGTACTTGGACCTCTTTCCACACTGGCTTCTGCACCTTCTTCCACGCCGGAACCTGGATCTCCTTCCAAGCTGGCACCTGCACTTCCTTCCAAACCGGTACCTGCACTTTCTTCCACTCCTGCTTCCAGGTCAGCTTTGACTCCGTCTTCCATTCTTGTTTCCACTCGGCCTTCCAGGTCAGCTTCTTTTTCCACTCGCCGTGAGGCTCGTCGTGTCCTCCGGATGGTGCCCCATAAGAAGGAGCCGGAGGCCCGTAGGATCCTCCCCCGAAGGAGTCATGACCCGAAGGAGCTCCGTAGGACGATGACGGTACCCCATAGGATGTCGGTGGTGCTCCATAGGACCCTGATCCCCCGTGTCCGGAATCTCCACCGAAAGATCCGTGTCCGGAGTCTCCACCGAATGATCCGTGTCCAGAATCCCCACCGAAGGACCCTCCTCCAAAAGACCCATGATCGGAAGGAGCTCCGTAGGATCCTCCAGGAGCACTATGTCCTGATCCTCCGTGTCCAGAATCCCCGCCGAAGGAGCCGTGTCCAGAAGGTGCGCCATAACTCGGTGCTGGTGCCGGTGGAGGCGCCCCATAGGAATCTGAAGGAGCACCGTACGAATTCGATATTCCTACGTCCGGAACTCCATAAGATGTGGCTGGAGGACCGTACTGATCAGAGGGTGGTCCATGGTGTGCAATAGGAGCTCTACAACAAAGGAACTCTCATATTCATTTATCCTCGCGGTTGCGATGCGAAAAGGATCACGGTTCTTACTCTTTTTTCTGCCTGATCGGCTCTCCAAGCGCAGAGGCGATGAAAAGGCACCCCAACAATACCTGGAAACAAAGAGTTAAACGTAAGTGCTTCATCGGGAATACTTCAGGGCGCTATAAGCTTCCCATATAAATGGACGAAGAGCAAAAACAAACGGCAGACCAATTCAAAGAGTCCAGAGAACGCGTCGATCTACTTTCAAGCTTTCACTCCAGAGCCCATTCCGGATTTCATTTCCTAAAAAAACCGGTGGACTCCCAGTGGGTCCACCACCAAATCCAGGGAACCCCATGCTCGTAACCCAACACTTTTTTCAAGATCCTTTCACTTGGAGACCCAAGGAAAAATGTCGACAGTCATCGCAGCCAACTTCATCTCGGAGTGCGTTGACGCTTTCTTTTGCGCAACCACTCATTTAAATTTGCCCATTTACGGGAAAATTTAAACGGATGACAAAACCCACGGGACGGATCGTTTGTCCGGTAACATTACGACTCTTCCAATCGACCAGAGACTTTTTACGAGGGAGACCACAAATGAAAGTCTCTCGAAAGAGGATCCAAAATGGCGGCCCCAGATAGGGGAACGCGTCCTAACCAGGGACGTGGGGTGCATTAACGATTATAGTGGCAGAAACGTGAAAGTGAAATGGGATTTTTAAACAATTGCGACTTCGCCATTAAACGGTGATTCCCATGTTTGCGGTGTCGGGACTTTTTATCTCCTTTTGTTCCACGTCTCTTTGGTTCTGGTGCGACGTGTATTGTTAAGTCAATGTCAAGATCAAGGACCTATAGCGTGTGTTAACATTCGCTCGTGGGAATTTATTACGTCGACGCTTTTCCTGGTTATCGGTGCACGACGACCGAGTGCCGCGCACGCGGCGAACCGTGTTAAAAAATGGATGCAAGAAGAAGACGGTAACTGGGTAATCGGAGATTAACTAGATAACTGGGGTTTCCCGGTTGGGTAACTCAGAATTATCCTGGGAATCCCCGGAGATGATCTCCGACGAGGTCATCGGGGTTTCGGAGATCTGGAAAGGGACCGATTAACCTCTAAAGTTTAAAGGCCAAGTTTAATAAGGGAATTTCTGGGGAACAAGACGATTTTCAGGCATTTACGGTGGTAGGAAAGGTTTTGGTGACGTAGGGTCGAGTTCACGGCGTGAGCCCTAGTGGGATTTCCCACATTAACACCATTGCACTTTAACGTCACTCCGAGAGATGGCACCAGGGGCGCGTCGGGACACTAACCAGGGAGGTCCGCATTCCGGCGTCTGGGGTCACGGCGGAAGCTGCCGCTTTTTACGGTCGTCACTCTTCTGGCGAATTCCCCGGGAATTCCGAGGCTTTTATAGCGAGAGTTCCGCGGCTAGAGGAGCGCTTGGGCATAGAGCACGCGACATTCGAGAAGGGGTACCAGAAAGGTGCCTCCTCTTCTGGATGGGTACCAGCCTGGGATTGTACATCAGCCTTGGTGGGGCTGCCTTCGAGGTGGCACCTTCGACGATGGTCTACGTCTAGGTGCCCCTCCGACCACCGCGCTTGCGCAATTGTTTTTTTTTTTTTAATTTTACGGCAGTTAATGCAACCTTGCCTTGCAATAGGGTTACCATTTTTTTAACTGTGGCTTATGAAACGGCATCTTTCTCTCGGTAAGTCCTTTCGTTTTAGGAGCACGTCCTCGATAAGTCAGTCCACTTGGCGATACATAACGATCCATTCCACGTCGCCGTACAAGGGAAAGTATCCTAACAAAAAAGCTAAAAACCTAACCTAACTAGCTACGTGTGTCGCATCTGCGCAGGCGGCGCTACGCTCGCTTTTTACATAATCCCGGGGAATTCGACGAGCACGCCAAGGCCCTGTCTCGCTTTCGTTATTACATAAGGGCGCGATACGTTTCCGTCATAGACTACGACGGGATTACAAATGGCATGAGATGGGCATCTCTACGCGCGGGAATGCACCCTCTATTGGCACATCCCGGCGACGTCGCTGACGATAGTTCTTAATTGCGAAACTTCGCCGAGGACGCGCTTTCGGCAATGCGTTGTGGTTCCTGGATGAAAATTAATCATTTCTTTCGTTCCATGCAGGAATGAGGAAGTTGCCTGGAGGAAACCTCCATTAGGGAAGGAAGACACGCTGCACATTTCTCCGGATATCTCGGTAAGCAGGAAATGGAAAGCGATCTCTTCTACGAGTGACTTCTGCGGGTCATTCTGCTGGTACCTTACGTAACTTATTCGTTGTCACCAACGAAAGCGACAGTGGAAAGGTCCGACCAGTTATGCGGACGACCTCTTTCTGTAATCATTCCTAGGAATCCCCCAACTAGGACTCCAACCCTATGGAGGAGTGTATAAGCTCAGGTGAGATGGAAGTTGGGATAGGGATCAAGAAACTCTTTTACCAAAGATACAAAATCGACCCCCTGGGTCTAGTCTCCACGGCGCGAAAAATGCACGCCGAATTACCCGGGGATCCGTCTCTTAGCCGACGAGGAGTTTCTTCAGGAGGAAACCGGCCTTCCTAATTGCTTCGTTAGTTCCTCCACTTTCTCGAGATCACTCTCCCTCTCGTTTCGACAGGTTGCACCGCTTCCGGATGCAGCGAGCGAGGATCTTCTTCTTGGCGCCTCCGGCATCCTCTGTATAAAACCGTCAACTCGAAAGGTCTTACACATCTCTCTCTAGAAATCTTAAGATTAATCGGTAATACCTCCTTTCCACCATAAACTTCGCTATACTTAATCATATTTTAAGGCTTGCACATTTTAGTAAATCCGATTAACGCCCACGGCGCCATAAATGCCGGACTTCGTAAGATATTCGTTTCTCATTTTAAATTATGAGAAATGATAGCAGGTATTTTTCAATAATGACATTTAACGATGAAAATACATACTTTACGTGCAATAAAATCGTCAATTTTATCTTACGAATGTGCACATTGAACGAGATCGAATTCGGGCCATCCGTTTGCGAGAAACGTCGATCACGACCGTGCAAACCAAGGTTCGCCATTTTGCATCGCTCTTCTTCACGGATTCCACGGATCGGGTGATTTCAGGAATTAATTACCATGGGTATGTAATTAATATGCGCGTCCCAGAGATGGGGTTAGTGGGCCAGGAATGTCGCTACTAAAAATACCTGCCCCGAGAAGAAGTCCGTTGGTTTCCTGATTTCGAGGGAAACCGAAATATACGGCGTGTCCCCTCTTCTAAGGTGCTCTCACTTTCTTCAGCATCTCGTTACTTTTACCAATACGAACCTGACCTCCGACGAGGTTTCTCGCAGGTACGTGGAATATTTCGGACTTCCGGATCCTGCCCACCGGGCGAACCTAACCTCTAATTCTACATTTAAAACGAATATAGCTTCGTGAAGAAGTCTCCAAGTTCTATTTAGTATCATGAGTTTACTTTATCCATGAAAATAATTTAATTCATTAAATGAGAGTCTAATTGAGTCTAATTATACAGCTAAGGGTGTTTAACGATCGTTAACGAATTTTATACCGTCCTTGGATGGAAATTAAATACGACTTGTTACATGTAAACGATTGCGTAACGGCGGCCTTTTTGAAGTTCGACTACAATGGCGATACAAGATAAGATAGAAGTGACACCGAGACGTCGTTGACAGTATAATAGCATAATAAGATGATCGGATTATTCGAATCGTGCGCGGGAGCACGGAGTCCCGGTTTCTAGGTTAAGTTTCACACGGCAGAAGTGGGTTAAGTGGGCCTTACACAATTCTTATTCCCGCGGTAGGCACTCGATCGGGCCCCCAAGAGAAAGAAAGGATTAAAAACGAAAGGAAGAAAGAAATACGCCCGGGAGGAATAATCCGGGGAAAATAGCGCCGACCGAATCGCCTCACTCTCGTGATGTGACTTTCACGGAGCAATATAACTTTCTCGATTTTACTGACACCGGAATCGAAGTTACGGAGGTCCCCATGGCGGCCATCTTGGGATGCCGCAGAGACGCCGTCCACGTAGCAATATTAAATATATTAATTGTCAGAATATTGCTAACTCGTAGTTAACGTGGAACCTAAATACTGCGATTATTTCTCAACTATTGAGATACGAAGGTTTTTATTTATTGGCATAACACCTATCATTTCGAGTTGCGACGACCGCCATCGTACGCCGTGTTAATACCCTAGAGAAGCGCCGTTTCCCAACGTAATGATTCCCCTGATCTTCGGAGAAATCGTGGGATTTATTTACATTTGTTAAACATTTCCACCATTCGCAGGCTTTCCTTAGGAAAGTACCGCAGCCCCGAGTCCCCATTATTCGCCGGTTTGGATAGAGATTACGGATTGGAGAGAGGGTAACGCATAAAACGGAAGCATGACGGCCATTTTGGTACACCCGTGATAACATTTACAGGGCTCTTTTCTAGGTCGAGGGTCCCAGGTGGAAGAAATTCTGCAAACTGGTTCTCGGCAGGCGTAAAATTCCCTTGGTGGTGAAGAACGTAATCGAGGGATAAGTCAAGGAGTATGGGAACCTGAAGATGTACCGGTTCAACCGATCGGTACCCACGGCAAGTCTCTGTAATTCCGTACTTTCTCGTCTCTTGTCCAGAGAAACCGCTTCGTTGTACCTTACTTGGACGTACCCGATGCAGAGTACAAGGTCCACCGGAGGTCCTGCACGTGAAATCTCCGAGAAACCGGCGGAGAGCTCTGATAGCTTTCATTTTTCGTCATTTTCAGACAGGAGAGACAATCCTGACGCAACGACCTCCATGCTGCGACCAGTAATTTGCAGGCTCCCGCACTTTGCCGTGCATTCATTTAAACCTGCAGTCAGATAAAAGGAAACCTAACTTCAAGAGCCACCGTAATCGTAGACCCTCCTAGAAAATTCCCAAACCTAATTGCGCCGCCGCAAGGACGCGCTTAAAACGTTCCAGGAATTACAAACAACGTATATTAATGTATTAACGTTCCAAATCTTTCGACAGATGGCAAGGTGACTTGAAAATCGCGTTTCGGACACGCCGTGAATTACGATCTCCCTGTTTTTCTCCGCGCATTCGGCATTTACGCGCCATTAATCTTGACGGGCGTTAAAGTCGCAGAACCAACAATCGAATGGCTGCCATCCAGGCGCCTCTCGATTTGTCAACAAAGAATCTTATTTCACTCCTCCCTAAAAACCTTTCTACCCACGCCCTAATTTCGTCCCATTGACTTAAATTTCTAACGACGGTACCCCATGTTTCTTTAACCTTTTCCCTTCTCCGTGCAAGTACGGAGCATTCGGGAGCTTAAAGGACGATTTATATTTCCGTCCGGGTGGCGTTTCCTATCGAAAGTCCCTTCTTTGACTGCTGCCGCACTCGAGTTGAGCGAAACAAAAATACTGGAATTACCTCGCTACTGTCGTCGAAGGGAAGAAGAAAAATGGCGGGGCCCCCCTTAATCCCGCAGTTCCTGCCCCGAAGGAGATGATGAATTACGAGGTTCAATTTCTCCTTCCCCACGAAGAAAAAGAAGTCGTCCCAACGCCGGAGAACCAACAAACGAGCGGCTCGTTAATTTCGTAAAGAAAACAGGAGACTCGCGATACTTAACCTGAGTACCGGAGGTATTAAAAAAAAACACGGTGGAAAAAAGCCTAACAGCGCCTATGTTGGCAAGTTTATGCCAAGTTTAAATGTGAACCATTGCAGATAAAAGAGAAGAACACCTATCTCTTAGATTTTTCTGTTCTTCAACATATATGAAACTCAATAAGATCGCCGGCGGACACTTGGGAATGTTTCCTTGTAAGTAACAGTACCGTGTTTTCTTCTTACACAATTGGCAAAGCGACGTGCATGCGTATGAAAAGTCGAGGCTGTTTCGTCAGATTGTGAGTGACTATCGTTTAAATGCACTGGCTTTTTTTATATATAAAAAAGCTCACTGCGCGTCGCTAGCGGCGCCCCTAGCGACGCTTCGAAGAGATGAGCTTTCCTAGAAGCTCCTGGTATAATTACCTTGGCTCTGTTTATATATCCTCGGGGTAATAGAGCCTGTTCGGGTGTGTTAGGACAGCATATGTGTAAACAGCGATAAAACATGTAGTATGCGGTCAGGACGGATAGGTAGCCTCCCCCGACGGCTGAAATCCCAAACACAGCGGTTCCCCGGAAGCCCGTGGGCGGAGCCACGGGTCTTTAGTCCGCGGAAAATCAAACACCCTCCGAATTTCTTCCCCAACATTTCAGTATCTTCCTCGAGCCCGATCGCGACGGAATCCCTGAAATTGTCTGCGATTCTCGACCGTAAGTATTTCCGGAACTTTTCGTTCCTTCTACCTAAAACGTTATACACAGTTAAGTAATAATATATACCCGATAGATAACGAAGAAATCGGTTTTCAGATCACTTTTAAGGCAGTTTTGTAATAGAACTTTGTGCTGAGGCCTCGCTGAGAGGAGATTCTCCCTTCGGAGTGGAAGAGAAAAAGGGAAAACCAAGATGGACGACATGGAAATGCGGGTGTGGTGCCCCCTGCCGAGTTATTGCTATAATTCCCCGATATGTACCGAGAGGTCGCTCCGAGAAGTTTACTTATCTCACCTGGCATGGACTTTTCCTATTAGACGACCCTCTAACCCCCCTAAATATGATAAACCGGCTTATTCGTACATAGCATTAATCGCAATGGCGATAAACTCGAGCCCGACTAAGAGACTAACACTTTCCGGGATTTATCGATACATCATGGAGAGATTTCCGTATTACAGGTAGATATGACTCCATAGTATATCTAAATGTTTTCCTATCACTTGTATAAGAGGTGTTGGTATTTAATTTTAAGTGGAATATCGGGGTTTTGTTAATGTCTATCCCTAATCAGTTTATCATTTCAGAGAGAATAAGCAAGGCTGGCAAAATAGTATACGGCATAATTTGAGCTTAAACGACTGCTTCGTGAAAATCCCTCGTGCCAAGGTAGATCCTTGCGAAATTAAGGAAACTGCCGGGAAAGGAAGTTACTGGACTCTAGACCCTTCCGCCTCGGAGATGTTCGAACATGGAAATTATCGGCGGCGACGCGCGCGCCGCCAGCGGACCGCCTCGCAACTTAAACCTACCCAGTGTCGCCTTTCGTCGGTAAGAATGAAACCACCGAGTGCAATTTCCAGCTACCGGATCTTATTACCGTTGGTAAAAAAGAAACCACCGAATACGCTTTTCAACGGTCGGTTCTTTTTTTACCATCCAAGCTCTTGCCTTCGTCCTTCGAAATCGATGAATCGCTTGATAAGTTAATTCCGCTCAATTTACCAAAATCTTAAGAAAAAAATAAGGTGACATGAAAGAATCACTTTGTATATATAAAACTAAAATATTTAAACGAATCGGTTATTCGTCCTCGGAGTAATGTATTTATTTGTTTTAAAGGTTAACCCTGAAATCGCAGAGGGAAAAATTTCCAATACTTCTGCAGATGCGGAAAACGAGGTAGATGCCACGAGAAAACGAAATAGGATTTTTGGAAAGGACTGCGCAGACTTCGAAGGACGTTTTCGCAAGACCACGATGTTCACCATCGATAACATCTTGAAGAAATCGTTCGACGCAGTGGCCAAAAGATAACTATAGTTCCTTTCAAATTAATCGGTAATTAACACAGGATACATCTATGAAATTGTGCTGTACATGCATTGAATATCACATACGCGTACATTAATTGTATATACAAATCCCTTGCATTCTAAAATACATTACAATAATTTATGAGCTGGTAATCGACGATCGGTGAATCGATAGAAAAATGCGCACTCTGGCATAAAAAAAATAACATCTCCATGAGATGTCTAAAAGATATATCAGGTAATTGGATATTGCTTCGGTGGAACTTTTGGAATATTTTTGTCACTAAAGTACTGGTCCTTAATTTAACGTATCATAAACCTATGGGGAAAGGAATCGTCATCGTATTAAATGCAACCGTGCACAAGGTGCAGTGTCAATTCTACATAAAAAGGTTTCCATCGGTGTTGTAATACGCTGCCATCTTTGTATCCAAAAATATTTCCCATTACGTTGTAACGATTGAATCTAAATCACTGAATCATCCAAATTAATTATCTCAAAGCCATAGGAAATTTGACAGCCCTACGCATTTGGATTTTTTTTCATCAATTCCAGATCTGCATCCATCATATCTTTGACGAGTGCCTGAAAACATTAGTCGCATAAAATGAAGGTAATTTAATACAATATGTTTATTCCTCTTAAGTACGTAACCTTGAAACAATGAACGCACCTCAAACGTAATGGTAGGTTCCCATCCAAATTTTTCTTTTGCCTTCGATGCATCGCCCAGCAATAAATCCTAAATAATTTGTATAGCAATGTAGAATAGTTATCCATGGTTTCAGACATTTCTCTGACACGAAGTGTAGATAATTATAATATAACATACGTACCACTTCTGTTGGGCGAAAGTATTTTGGATTTACTTTCACCAAAAGTTGTCCAGTCGTTGCATCTTTCCCAATTTCATTGACGCTTTCTCCTTCCCAGCTAATTTGTCGTCCTATGTACTGAAAAGCTGCTTCGACAAACTCTCTGACACTGCGCGTCTTACCAGTGGCTATGACGAAGTCGTCCGGAGAAGACTGTTGAAGCATCATCCACATAGCCTAAAAAACAGCAACGATCACTGTATTTTATTTTTGTGAATCGCGTGCACACTTTCAAAAAATAATTAACACTTTTAAAGTAATAAATAAATATTCTTTTACGGAATGAAAATTAGACTTGCCTTTACGTAATCTTTGGCGTGACCCCAGTCTCTTTTAGCGTCCAAGTTCCCTAATTCAAGAACGTCTTGCAGCCCCAAGTGAATCTTAGCTACCGACCTTGTGATCTTCCTCGTCACAAAGTTCTCCCCTCTTCGAGGACTTTCGTGATTGAAAAGAATCCCATTGCAAGCGTACATACCGTACGCCTCTCTATAATTTATCACGATCCAAAAGCTGTACATTTTGGCACAAGCTGTGAAATGGATTTCAATGAAACATCTAAAATGATGCAGGTAAATCAAAGATACCTACCATAAGGAGAGCGAGGATAAAACGGAGTTTTCTCCGTCTGTGGAACTTCGGCTACTTTGCCGTACAGTTCAGAAGTCGAGGCTTGATAATACTTGACCGACTTTTCAAGTCTACAAGTTCGTATCGCATCTAATAACCTAATGGTACCCACCGCATCCACCTCAGCCGTGTACTCACTTAATTCGAAACTAACCTACAAATTAATAATCAACTTAAGTCAGAGAATGTACTAAAAAATCCATTAAAGACAAATCCATAAAAGACAAATAAACCGAAAACAGACATACCTTCACATGACTTTGAGCGGCAAGGTTATAAATCTCCGTCGGCTGTACAAAATTGATAACCTTGACTAAACTACTCGAATCCGTCATGTCCCCGTAATGCAATTTCATTTTACCCTGCCGATGGCATTTTGGATCTGCGTATAAATGTTGTATCCGAGCAGTATTAAACGAACTCGATCGCCTTATAATACCGTGAATCTCGTAGCCTTTCTCCAGTAGAAACTCCGCCAAATAGGAACCATCCTTTGATTACGATAAATGTTTTAAAACAATGAATTTCTTCAAGAAATATTGCAATAAACTCGCAACTATGACAGAGATGTGACTTAAACGATATTATTTAGAGGAAACGGAATAAGAAATAATTACCTGGCCAGTAATTCCTGTAATTAGAGCGACTCGTCTATCTTCAGTAGCCATGTCTACGTCTTGGAAACGATTCGGAGCCCTTATTCTATTTTACTGGACACCTTGACTTTCCTCGGAATGTGTGCAGCTGATATCCTCTTATCGCATCCTATGCTCGGTTTTCATACATACTTTTATCTTTATAGGTGTAGCATTGACTCTTAACTCCATTTGAAGTGTACAAATATTAAGAATTTAATGACTGATCGTATCAGCAAAAAGCCTACGTAAATATTCGGTAAATAGAGCAGAGCAAAAGGACCGGGCGCTGCAGCTGGCACGTGTGTACGTTAAAATGAGGTTAGGTCGAATTTTGATAAACGATTCCACTACATCTTGCTTATAGTTTAAACAATTATGTATCATCTACCTGTTTTTCACTGTTGCGACTATTTGCGGTATAATGGATCACCGGTGCGGTGTCTGGCGGCCATTTTGTCGCTCATACCGCGCCAATTTCAAATTGAACAGAACATTTTTTAAACGCGATAGAGCATGCAATTCAGCGATTTACTGAATCCTGAGCCGATAAATCCCGGATTTAGGAGTGCGATATAAACGTAATTAGTTCGTTTCGCGGCCGTTGGACGTAATCAACGCATCGATAGCTTCAAATATGTGGAAACTCTGCTACTCTCTTAACCTTACTTACTTAACCTCTGGCAAACGTGGAAAACTGTGTTGTCATCGGTAAAGCGAAGTCTTTACGGTTATTCGATAGATTGAGATTTATTTCGAAAATGGCCTTACTCGACACCTACCAGAATGGATCTTTTCCAGATTATGAAATTCCGGGCGCGAAGAAAGTAAACTTCAGTCCTTACGCTGATAATGGAGGGTAACTATTCACTACGCTTAACCTAAAAGTAGTGGAATTTCTCTCCATATTATTCTTGTACTGCCTTATTACTTGTATCATTATAAAAATTATTCTAAGGAAACTGATAATCATTTTTTAACATTCTTAGGAGTGTCGTCGCTGTCTCCGGAGACGACTTCTCTATCATCGCAGCTGATACTCGTCTCAGTAGCGGACTCTCTATTTGCACTCGTAATCAGGATAAATTGTTTCCTCTCTCCGACACAACGGTCCTGGGTTGCTCGGGTTGCTGGTGCGATACATTAACTTTAACGCGTGTCTTACAAGCCCGCTTGCAGGTGTGTATAATTTATAATATGAAAATCATTAAAATGAAGCTATACTTTATATTACTTCAATTGATTCTAGAGTACCACTTTGCGCCATGTGTTGCATTCGGTGTCAATTAAATTTTCATTTAAATTTCAGATGTATAAACAAGAGCATAATAAGGAGATGTCGACTCCTGCTGCTGCGCAGATGCTATCGACAATGCTGTATTATAAACGATTCTTCCCATATTACGTCAGTAATATTTTGGCCGGAATAGATGAAAATGGTAAAGGATGCGTTTACACTTACGATCCGATCGGCCATTGTGAAAAATTTGCATATAGAGCGGGTGGAGCAGCAGGCGCGCTTCTGCAACCTCTGTTAGACAATCAGGTGGGTCAAATTGTCCTCCTACATTTATATAGCGTTACAATAAAATATCGTTTTACAGGTCGGCTTGAAAAATCAAGAAATCCCAGATGAGACACCGTTGACCCAAGATCGAGCCTTAGGCATCGTCAAGGATGTGTTCATATCTGCAGCCGAAAGAGACATTACGACCGGAGATGGAATTACTATCAAGATCATAACAAGAGATGGTGTCAAAACTGAAACCCATGAGTTGAGAAAGGATTAATCAATACACACATTTTACACTGTATCTTCGAAGAATTATAAACAAGTTTCTGCACTCCAGCCGATGTCATTGCTTCCGAAACTCCTAGAAATTACTCGATTACTGGTAAATCACTACGATATATATTTTACTAAAACGTTTAGAAATATTGTTTCCCCAAGAAGAGTAGACTAAATAACCAGTAAGTTATAAACTGTGAGTAGATATGTTTAAAGTAGTTTATGACTAATCACTCGTAGGTTAAAATCTGGGAAATAACATTAGTAGGTTTCTGTGGAAAGTTGTCGAGTCGATGCATCAATGCAATTACTAATCTTTTGTTACTGATTTTTATATAACCATTATCAAATTACACTTACAAGTCTTACAGCTGGCGATGTGCAAGTAAACTAGTAGAACCTTAATCCTAGAATGACATGGACTAATGTAAAGTACTATGCGACCGTGGAACGCTATATATTCTGTATGCAACGGTTGCATCTAAAATATATCTTCTTTTATTTCATATATAAACACAAGTACGTCATCTAATTTATAATACACACCATATCAAAATAACAAAAAGGGAAAGTGCCATCGGCACAAATTATGCAGAGTTCGATATCGCTTTCATTTAGAACAATGTATAGATATTGTATAAACTCAAACAGATAACTCGCTGTATCGTACAGCGGATTAAGGTTAAGTGAGACTCGTTTGAGAGATTTCATCAACGCCGATAAAAAGGATTCTTCTAAATCCCTACGTTCCCAACGCTTGTATTTATATCGATGGCCTTAAGTGGATATGAATGTGGCATTCAGAACCAAATATTAAAGAATTATAAATCGAGGGAATTTTTTGAGCTTTACTCTGACTTCTTTATTAATCATTGTCGCCTGAAAAATGCCATTCAGTAAAATACTCAATGCAATATACGCCAAAGCTATCAATATAAATATAAATATAAATATAAATATAAATATGAATATCGGTAACGTGTATAGTTAGAAGGATCCATTTTTTTATCGACGTCGATTAAATGTCTCACTCGGTTTCACTTCTCCTTAAGGTGATATGAAAGTGGCACTTGTAAGATCAATCATTTATGAAACATTTCTCCGGACTGGATGTACCGGATCGTTTCAAAGTTTACAACGTAAGTGTAGAGGCTATAAGCAAAGTCCTGACACCCATGAAATTTGAACTGTTTAAAAGTTTGTATATATTTTCAAATATTTCTCATAAAAAAATTAAGTTTCACGAATGTCAGGACCTTCTTTATACCTTCCAAGTTAACGTAGTTTGAGACGATTCGGTACAGCAAAAAAAGGAGAAGAGTTTCCATGAAAGATTGATTCTTCAGGTGCCACTTTCACATCCCCTCGATGTAACAACAAAAACAGCTGTAGGTGGAATAGAGGCGCAGTCGATTCTACCACCGATGTAGATTTTTCATACAGCACGCAGTAAACGTTAGGTTCTTCAGATTGTCCGAGATTTATTTCTTTGCACCTGGAGGCAATAGTGGTTTACCACGATCCTTTCCACGCAGTTTTATTCCCAGGACACGTTCGATCTTACCAATGACCATCTGGTTAGGGATTCCTCTACCTGCTTCGTAGTCGTTAATCACTTGTGCCTTTTCGTTGACTTTCTGAAGATTAAAAAGCCTTAACTGATACAACGCTTGCAGCAGAGTTAGAATTAAATTTTAAGGGGATGCAAAAGTGGCATCGATCGTCCATGAATATTTATGATATTTCAAAAGAACCCATTAGCTTACCGTAGCAAGATCTTTTTGCGACATGCCTTTACCCTGCCTTCCTTGCTGGATAAGCTTTCCCAGATCGAGGGGAATCTTATCGTGTTTCAACTCCTCGGTTTCCCGATCTAATTTGGCAGTGTTTTTGGTAGTGACGTGTTGTTTGTTTGCTCCGCCACCCCCTGAAGCAAACCATTGACCTTATCACCATCCACGGCGCCAATCGAGAGCGACGGTAGCTTTCGAGTCTCGAATTGAACAACTCCATTCCTTTTAAACGAAGCAGAGACGCTGAATCACGGCTTCGCTTAAATTTAACATATCGACTATAATTCTAGAGCCGCGAGGCCTCGGCAAACCCTTTGGGGATGTTCGTGACTTACACTTGACTTGTGTCTCGACAGTGACTCCTTGTCGTCGAGCGGCATTCACAATCTAGAAATATTAACAAACATGAGACTCGTAGAAAGCAACCGATGAGCTACGCAAAGCATTGCTTCCGGAAGCTTTCGAGTACCTGTTGTGGTTTCATCCCAGGTGGTTTAGTCGTGCGTTTTCGCACAGCAATTGATGCCATGTCTTGGTGGGACATAATACGCGATTAAACTCGCTGACAATCAGTTATAACTAAAGAAAATCCCGATTACTACCCTGACGCTTTTTCTGCGCAGATCCTTCGCAGCCGACTCGAATTATTCCTGCTATTTCTCGGAACGTTCCGGAAGGCAGGATTTTTCACGAGCACAGTTTGCCAATTCACCGCCAAAACCTGTCCAATTTTTCTACGGCGAACCGGATAGAGAATTCGGTAAGGTGCAAAGCTCTGCCAACGAAAATAACCTGTCGTGGACGATAATAAAAAGTTCGGGTTTGTTCCTCTTCACCTTTCCACGCTTTTCAACGAGGCCGTGAAATCGGTGAAATCTGTAGAACGAGATCCGGCCAATCATCGGACGCTATTTTAACAAATGTTCTCAAGGCGGGATCTCATTAAAGCGAAATAAACGAGCAATTAATTCGTGGAGCCGCCATTTTCATTGCGCAGCAGCGCCGTTAAGTGGATATATACGCGTTTCACCAGTCTCAGTTAAATCATTCATCGCGTCTCCATGGCACTCCTAAATACGGGATTTATCGGGTCCATATACAGTAAATCTCAACGTAGTACGTATACGTCATCGCTATTGTTTAAACCGTACGGTCTATATTCGGTAATCCCAACGTAGCACGTATACGTCATCGCTATTCTTTAAACTGTTCATGACGTCACGTTAAACCGTAATGACGTCACGGGGGCTTATACGGGGCAACGGAGCACGCCGCGATCCGGCTCTCTGATTGGTCGAGGTGTCGACTAATCCGGCTCTCCGATTGGTCGCGGCGTCGTCCAATGCCGGCTAAGGCTAGTGGTCGCGGCCGGGACGGGCAGACGGCAGTTGCCCCGGAGCAGTGGTTGTGATAACATATCGTGTGTTATTTAAAAAATGTCAAGTACTTATTACGATCTACGTTTCGGATTTAAACCAACGCGGGGTGGAATATATCTCAAGGAGTGACGCAATTTTTGTTCATAACGTGTTCAGGAGAGGCTACGGAAATGCAGAGATGGTGCACGCGCAGTTCCCGTGTTAATGCGCGGGGGAATCGAAGACAAAGAGATCAGGGCGATACAGTGCGATACAGTGATCACGTGTTGTGAGTGTTAAGGGTTAACATAACCTTGTTCATATCATAATATATTATGATATGAACAAGGTTATGTTAACCCTTAACACTCACAACACGTGATCACTGTATCGCACTGTATCGCCCTGATCTCTTTGTCTTCGATTCCCCCGCGCATTAACACGGGAACTGCGCGTGCACCATCTCTGCATTTCCGTAGCCTCTCCTGAACACGTTATGAACAAAAATTGCGTCACTCCTTGAGATATATTCCACCCCGCGTTGGTTTAAATCCGAAACGTAGATCGTAATAAGTACTTGACATTTTTTAAATAACACACGATATGTTATCACAACCACTGCTCCGGGGCAACTGCCGTCTGCCCGTCCCGGCCGCGACCACTAGCCTTAGCCGGCATTGGACGACGCCGCGACCAATCGGAGAGCCGGATTAGTCGACACCTCGACCAATCAGAGAGCCGGATCGCGGCGTGCTCCGTTGCCCCGTATAAGCCCCCGTGACGTCATTACGGTTTAACGTGACGTCATGAACAGTTTAAAGAATAGCGATGACGTATACGTGCTACGTTGGGATTACCGAATATAGACCGTACGGTTTAAACAATAGCGATGACGTATACGTACTACGTTGAGATTTACTGTATATGGACCCGATAAATCCCGTATTTAGGAGTGCCATGGAGACGCGATGAATGATTTAACTGAGACTGGTGAAACGCGTATATATCCACTTAACGGCGCTGCTGCGCAATGAAAATGGCGGCTCCACGAATTAATTGCTCGTTTATTTCGCTTTAATGAGATCCCGCCTTGAGAACATTTGTTAAAATAGCGTCCGATGATTGGCCGGATCTCGTTCTACAGATTTCACCGATTTCACGGCCTCGTTGAAAAGCGTGGAAAGGTGAAGAGGAACAAACCCGAACTTTTTATTATCGTCCACGACAGGTTATTTTCGTTGGCAGAGCTTTGCACCTTACCGAATTCTCTATCCGGTTCGCCGTAGAAAAATTGGACAGGTTTTGGCGGTGAATTGGCAAACTGTGCTCGTGAAAAATCCTGCCTTCCGGAACGTTCCGAGAAATAGCAGGAATAATTCGAGTCGGCTGCGAAGGATCTGCGCAGAAAAAGCGTCAGGGTAGTAATCGGGATTTTCTTTAGTTATAACTGATTGTCAGCGAGTTTAATCGCGTATTATGTCCCACCAAGACATGGCATCAATTGCTGTGCGAAAACGCACGACTAAACCACCTGGGATGAAACCACAACAGGTACTCGAAAGCTTCCGGAAGCAATGCTTTGCGTAGCTCATCGGTTGCTTTCTACGAGTCTCATGTTTGTTAATATTTCTAGATTGTGAATGCCGCTCGACGACAAGGAGTCACTGTCGAGACACAAGTCAAGTGTAAGTCACGAACATCCCCAAAGGGTTTGCCGAGGCCTCGCGGCTCTAGAATTATAGTCGATATGTTAAATTTAAGCGAAGCCGTGATTCAGCGTCTCTGCTTCGTTTAAAAGGAATGGAGTTGTTCAATTCGAGACTCGAAAGCTACCGTCGCTCTCGATTGGCGCCGTGGATGGTGATAAGGTCAATGGTTTGCTTCAGGGGGTGGCGGAGCAAACAAACAACACGTCACTACCAAAAACACTGCCAAATTAGATCGGGAAACCGAGGAGTTGAAACACGATAAGATTCCCCTCGATCTGGGAAAGCTTATCCAGCAAGGAAGGCAGGGTAAAGGCATGTCGCAAAAAGATCTTGCTACGGTAAGCTAATGGGTTCTTTTGAAATATCATAAATATTCATGGACGATCGATGCCACTTTTGCATCCCCTTAAAATTTAATTCTAACTCTGCTGCAAGCGTTGTATCAGTTAAGGCTTTTTAATCTTCAGAAAGTCAACGAAAAGGCACAAGTGATTAACGACTACGAAGCAGGTAGAGGAATCCCTAACCAGATGGTCATTGGTAAGATCGAACGTGTCCTGGGAATAAAACTGCGTGGAAAGGATCGTGGTAAACCACTATTGCCTCCAGGTGCAAAGAAATAAATCTCGGACAATCTGAAGAACCTAACGTTTACTGCGTGCTGTATGAAAAATCTACATCGGTGGTAGAATCGACTGCGCCTCTATTCCACCTACAGCTGTTTTTGTTGTTACATCGAGGGGATGTGAAAGTGGCACCTGAAGAATCAATCTTTCATGGAAACTCTTCTCCTTTTTTTGCTGTACCGAATCGTCTCAAACTACGTTAACTTGGAAGGTATAAAGAAGGTCCTGACATTCGTGAAACTTAATTTTTTTATGAGAAATATTTGAAAATATATACAAACTTTTAAACAGTTCAAATTTCATGGGTGTCAGGACTTTGCTTATAGCCTCTACACTTACGTTGTAAACTTTGAAACGATCCGGTACATCCAGTCCGGAGAAATGTTTCATAAATGATTGATCTTACAAGTGCCACTTTCATATCACCTTAAGGAGAAGTGAAACCGAGTGAGACATTTAATCGACGTCGATAAAAAAATGGATCCTTCTAACTATACACGTTACCGATATTCATATTTATATTTATATTTATATTTATATTTATATTGATAGCTTTGGCGTATATTGCATTGAGTATTTTACTGAATGGCATTTTTCAGGCGACAATGATTAATAAAGAAGTCAGAGTAAAGCTCAAAAAATTCCCTCGATTTATAATTCTTTAATATTTGGTTCTGAATGCCACATTCATATCCACTTAAGGCCATCGATATAAATACAAGCGTTGGGAACGTAGGGATTTAGAAGAATCCTTTTTATCGGCGTTGATGAAATCTCTCAAACGAGTCTCACTTAACCTTAATCCGCTGTACGATACAGCGAGTTATCTGTTTGAGTTTATACAATATCTATACATTGTTCTAAATGAAAGCGATATCGAACTCTGCATAATTTGTGCCGATGGCACTTTCCCTTTTTGTTATTTTGATATGGTGTGTATTATAAATTAGATGACGTACTTGTGTTTATATATGAAATAAAAGAAGATATATTTTAGATGCAACCGTTGCATACAGAATATATAGCGTTCCACGGTCGCATAGTACTTTACATTAGTCCATGTCATTCTAGGATTAAGGTTCTACTAGTTTACTTGCACATCGCCAGCTGTAAGACTTGTAAGTGTAATTTGATAATGGTTATATAAAAATCAGTAACAAAAGATTAGTAATTGCATTGATGCATCGACTCGACAACTTTCCACAGAAACCTACTAATGTTATTTCCCAGATTTTAACCTACGAGTGATTAGTCATAAACTACTTTAAACATATCTACTCACAGTTTATAACTTACTGGTTATTTAGTCTACTCTTCTTGGGGAAACAATATTTCTAAACGTTTTAGTAAAATATATATCGTAGTGATTTACCAGTAATCGAGTAATTTCTAGGAGTTTCGGAAGCAATGACATCGGCTGGAGTGCAGAAACTTGTTTATAATTCTTCGAAGATACAGTGTAAAATGTGTGTATTGATTAATCCTTTCTCAACTCATGGGTTTCAGTTTTGACACCATCTCTTGTTATGATCTTGATAGTAATTCCATCTCCGGTCGTAATGTCTCTTTCGGCTGCAGATATGAACACATCCTTGACGATGCCTAAGGCTCGATCTTGGGTCAACGGTGTCTCATCTGGGATTTCTTGATTTTTCAAGCCGACCTGTAAAACGATATTTTATTGTAACGCTATATAAATGTAGGAGGACAATTTGACCCACCTGATTGTCTAACAGAGGTTGCAGAAGCGCGCCTGCTGCTCCACCCGCTCTATATGCAAATTTTTCACAATGGCCGATCGGATCGTAAGTGTAAACGCATCCTTTACCATTTTCATCTATTCCGGCCAAAATATTACTGACGTAATATGGGAAGAATCGTTTATAATACAGCATTGTCGATAGCATCTGCGCAGCAGCAGGAGTCGACATCTCCTTATTATGCTCTTGTTTATACATCTGAAATTTAAATGAAAATTTAATTGACACCGAATGCAACACATGGCGCAAAGTGGTACTCTAGAATCAATTGAAGTAATATAAAGTATAGCTTCATTTTAATGATTTTCATATTATAAATTATACACACCTGCAAGCGGGCTTGTAAGACACGCGTTAAAGTTAATGTATCGCACCAGCAACCCGAGCAACCCAGGACCGTTGTGTCGGAGAGAGGAAACAATTTATCCTGATTACGAGTGCAAATAGAGAGTCCGCTACTGAGACGAGTATCAGCTGCGATGATAGAGAAGTCGTCTCCGGAGACAGCGACGACACTCCTAAGAATGTTAAAAAATGATTATCAGTTTCCTTAGAATAATTTTTATAATGATACAAGTAATAAGGCAGTACAAGAATAATATGGAGAGAAATTCCACTACTTTTAGGTTAAGCGTAGTGAATAGTTACCCTCCATTATCAGCGTAAGGACTGAAGTTTACTTTCTTCGCGCCCGGAATTTCATAATCTGGAAAAGATCCATTCTGGTAGGTGTCGAGTAAGGCCATTTTCGAAATAAATCTCAATCTATCGAATAACCGTAAAGACTTCGCTTTACCGATGACAACACAGTTTTCCACGTTTGCCAGAGGTTAAGTAAGTAAGGTTAAGAGAGTAGCAGAGTTTCCACATATTTGAAGCTATCGATGCGTTGATTACGTCCAACGGCCGCGAAACGAACTAATTACGTTTATATCGCACTCCTAAATCCGGGATTTATCGGCTCAGGATTCAGTAAATCGCTGAATTGCATGCTCTATCGCGTTTAAAAAATGTTCTGTTCAATTTGAAATTGGCGCGGTATGAGCGACAAAATGGCCGCCAGACACCGCACCGGTGATCCATTATACCGCAAATAGTCGCAACAGTGAAAAACAGGTAGATGATACATAATTGTTTAAACTATAAGCAAGATGTAGTGGAATCGTTTATCAAAATTCGACCTAACCTCATTTTAACGTACACACGTGCCAGCTGCAGCGCCCGGTCCTTTTGCTCTGCTCTATTTACCGAATATTTACGTAGGCTTTTTGCTGATACGATCAGTCATTAAATTCTTAATATTTGTACACTTCAAATGGAGTTAAGAGTCAATGCTACACCTATAAAGATAAAAGTATGTATGAAAACCGAGCATAGGATGCGATAAGAGGATATCAGCTGCACACATTCCGAGGAAAGTCAAGGTGTCCAGTAAAATAGAATAAGGGCTCCGAATCGTTTCCAAGACGTAGACATGGCTACTGAAGATAGACGAGTCGCTCTAATTACAGGAATTACTGGCCAGGTAATTATTTCTTATTCCGTTTCCTCTAAATAATATCGTTTAAGTCACATCTCTGTCATAGTTGCGAGTTTATTGCAATATTTCTTGAAGAAATTCATTGTTTTAAAACATTTATCGTAATCAAAGGATGGTTCCTATTTGGCGGAGTTTCTACTGGAGAAAGGCTACGAGATTCACGGTATTATAAGGCGATCGAGTTCGTTTAATACTGCTCGGATACAACATTTATACGCAGATCCAAAATGCCATCGGCAGGGTAAAATGAAATTGCATTACGGGGACATGACGGATTCGAGTAGTTTAGTCAAGGTTATCAATTTTGTACAGCCGACGGAGATTTATAACCTTGCCGCTCAAAGTCATGTGAAGGTATGTCTGTTTTCGGTTTATTTGTCTTTTATGGATTTGTCTTTAATGGATTTTTTAGTACATTCTCTGACTTAAGTTGATTATTAATTTGTAGGTTAGTTTCGAATTAAGTGAGTACACGGCTGAGGTGGATGCGGTGGGTACCATTAGGTTATTAGATGCGATACGAACTTGTAGACTTGAAAAGTCGGTCAAGTATTATCAAGCCTCGACTTCTGAACTGTACGGCAAAGTAGCCGAAGTTCCACAGACGGAGAAAACTCCGTTTTATCCTCGCTCTCCTTATGGTAGGTATCTTTGATTTACCTGCATCATTTTAGATGTTTCATTGAAATCCATTTCACAGCTTGTGCCAAAATGTACAGCTTTTGGATCGTGATAAATTATAGAGAGGCGTACGGTATGTACGCTTGCAATGGGATTCTTTTCAATCACGAAAGTCCTCGAAGAGGGGAGAACTTTGTGACGAGGAAGATCACAAGGTCGGTAGCTAAGATTCACTTGGGGCTGCAAGACGTTCTTGAATTAGGGAACTTGGACGCTAAAAGAGACTGGGGTCACGCCAAAGATTACGTAAAGGCAAGTCTAATTTTCATTCCGTAAAAGAATATTTATTTATTACTTTAAAAGTGTTAATTATTTTTTGAAAGTGTGCACGCGATTCACAAAAATAAAATACAGTGATCGTTGCTGTTTTTTAGGCTATGTGGATGATGCTTCAACAGTCTTCTCCGGACGACTTCGTCATAGCCACTGGTAAGACGCGCAGTGTCAGAGAGTTTGTCGAAGCAGCTTTTCAGTACATAGGACGACAAATTAGCTGGGAAGGAGAAAGCGTCAATGAAATTGGGAAAGATGCAACGACTGGACAACTTTTGGTGAAAGTAAATCCAAAATACTTTCGCCCAACAGAAGTGGTACGTATGTTATATTATAATTATCTACACTTCGTGTCAGAGAAATGTCTGAAACCATGGATAACTATTCTACATTGCTATACAAATTATTTAGGATTTATTGCTGGGCGATGCATCGAAGGCAAAAGAAAAATTTGGATGGGAACCTACCATTACGTTTGAGGTGCGTTCATTGTTTCAAGGTTACGTACTTAAGAGGAATAAACATATTGTATTAAATTACCTTCATTTTATGCGACTAATGTTTTCAGGCACTCGTCAAAGATATGATGGATGCAGATCTGGAATTGATGAAAAAAAATCCAAATGCGTAGGGCTGTCAAATTTCCTATGGCTTTGAGATAATTAATTTGGATGATTCAGTGATTTAGATTCAATCGTTACAACGTAATGGGAAATATTTTTGGATACAAAGATGGCAGCGTATTACAACACCGATGGAAACCTTTTTATGTAGAATTGACACTGCACCTTGTGCACGGTTGCATTTAATACGATGACGATTCCTTTCCCCATAGGTTTATGATACGTTAAATTAAGGACCAGTACTTTAGTGACAAAAATATTCCAAAAGTTCCACCGAAGCAATATCCAATTACCTGATATATCTTTTAGACATCTCATGGAGATGTTATTTTTTTTATGCCAGAGTGCGCATTTTTCTATCGATTCACCGATCGTCGATTACCAGCTCATAAATTATTGTAATGTATTTTAGAATGCAAGGGATTTGTATATACAATTAATGTACGCGTATGTGATATTCAATGCATGTACAGCACAATTTCATAGATGTATCCTGTGTTAATTACCGATTAATTTGAAAGGAACTATAGTTATCTTTTGGCCACTGCGTCGAACGATTTCTTCAAGATGTTATCGATGGTGAACATCGTGGTCTTGCGAAAACGTCCTTCGAAGTCTGCGCAGTCCTTTCCAAAAATCCTATTTCGTTTTCTCGTGGCATCTACCTCGTTTTCCGCATCTGCAGAAGTATTGGAAATTTTTCCCTCTGCGATTTCAGGGTTAACCTTTAAAACAAATAAATACATTACTCCGAGGACGAATAACCGATTCGTTTAAATATTTTAGTTTTATATATACAAAGTGATTCTTTCATGTCACCTTATTTTTTTCTTAAGATTTTGGTAAATTGAGCGGAATTAACTTATCAAGCGATTCATCGATTTCGAAGGACGAAGGCAAGAGCTTGGATGGTAAAAAAAGAACCGACCGTTGAAAAGCGTATTCGGTGGTTTCTTTTTTACCAACGGTAATAAGATCCGGTAGCTGGAAATTGCACTCGGTGGTTTCATTCTTACCGACGAAAGGCGACACTGGGTAGGTTTAAGTTGCGAGGCGGTCCGCTGGCGGCGCGCGCGTCGCCGCCGATAATTTCCATGTTCGAACATCTCCGAGGCGGAAGGGTCTAGAGTCCAGTAACTTCCTTTCCCGGCAGTTTCCTTAATTTCGCAAGGATCTACCTTGGCACGAGGGATTTTCACGAAGCAGTCGTTTAAGCTCAAATTATGCCGTATACTATTTTGCCAGCCTTGCTTATTCTCTCTGAAATGATAAACTGATTAGGGATAGACATTAACAAAACCCCGATATTCCACTTAAAATTAAATACCAACACCTCTTATACAAGTGATAGGAAAACATTTAGATATACTATGGAGTCATATCTACCTGTAATACGGAAATCTCTCCATGATGTATCGATAAATCCCGGAAAGTGTTAGTCTCTTAGTCGGGCTCGAGTTTATCGCCATTGCGATTAATGCTATGTACGAATAAGCCGGTTTATCATATTTAGGGGGGTTAGAGGGTCGTCTAATAGGAAAAGTCCATGCCAGGTGAGATAAGTAAACTTCTCGGAGCGACCTCTCGGTACATATCGGGGAATTATAGCAATAACTCGGCAGGGGGCACCACACCCGCATTTCCATGTCGTCCATCTTGGTTTTCCCTTTTTCTCTTCCACTCCGAAGGGAGAATCTCCTCTCAGCGAGGCCTCAGCACAAAGTTCTATTACAAAACTGCCTTAAAAGTGATCTGAAAACCGATTTCTTCGTTATCTATCGGGTATATATTATTACTTAACTGTGTATAACGTTTTAGGTAGAAGGAACGAAAAGTTCCGGAAATACTTACGGTCGAGAATCGCAGACAATTTCAGGGATTCCGTCGCGATCGGGCTCGAGGAAGATACTGAAATGTTGGGGAAGAAATTCGGAGGGTGTTTGATTTTCCGCGGACTAAAGACCCGTGGCTCCGCCCACGGGCTTCCGGGGAACCGCTGTGTTTGGGATTTCAGCCGTCGGGGGAGGCTACCTATCCGTCCTGACCGCATACTACATGTTTTATCGCTGTTTACACATATGCTGTCCTAACACACCCGAACAGGCTCTATTACCCCGAGGATATATAAACAGAGCCAAGGTAATTATACCAGGAGCTTCTAGGAAAGCTCATCTCTTCGAAGCGTCGCTAGGGGCGCCGCTAGCGACGCGCAGTGAGCTTTTTTATATATAAAAAAAGCCAGTGCATTTAAACGATAGTCACTCACAATCTGACGAAACAGCCTCGACTTTTCATACGCATGCACGTCGCTTTGCCAATTGTGTAAGAAGAAAACACGGTACTGTTACTTACAAGGAAACATTCCCAAGTGTCCGCCGGCGATCTTATTGAGTTTCATATATGTTGAAGAACAGAAAAATCTAAGAGATAGGTGTTCTTCTCTTTTATCTGCAATGGTTCACATTTAAACTTGGCATAAACTTGCCAACATAGGCGCTGTTAGGCTTTTTTCCACCGTGTTTTTTTTTAATACCTCCGGTACTCAGGTTAAGTATCGCGAGTCTCCTGTTTTCTTTACGAAATTAACGAGCCGCTCGTTTGTTGGTTCTCCGGCGTTGGGACGACTTCTTTTTCTTCGTGGGGAAGGAGAAATTGAACCTCGTAATTCATCATCTCCTTCGGGGCAGGAACTGCGGGATTAAGGGGGGCCCCGCCATTTTTCTTCTTCCCTTCGACGACAGTAGCGAGGTAATTCCAGTATTTTTGTTTCGCTCAACTCGAGTGCGGCAGCAGTCAAAGAAGGGACTTTCGATAGGAAACGCCACCCGGACGGAAATATAAATCGTCCTTTAAGCTCCCGAATGCTCCGTACTTGCACGGAGAAGGGAAAAGGTTAAAGAAACATGGGGTACCGTCGTTAGAAATTTAAGTCAATGGGACGAAATTAGGGCGTGGGTAGAAAGGTTTTTAGGGAGGAGTGAAATAAGATTCTTTGTTGACAAATCGAGAGGCGCCTGGATGGCAGCCATTCGATTGTTGGTTCTGCGACTTTAACGCCCGTCAAGATTAATGGCGCGTAAATGCCGAATGCGCGGAGAAAAACAGGGAGATCGTAATTCACGGCGTGTCCGAAACGCGATTTTCAAGTCACCTTGCCATCTGTCGAAAGATTTGGAACGTTAATACATTAATATACGTTGTTTGTAATTCCTGGAACGTTTTAAGCGCGTCCTTGCGGCGGCGCAATTAGGTTTGGGAATTTTCTAGGAGGGTCTACGATTACGGTGGCTCTTGAAGTTAGGTTTCCTTTTATCTGACTGCAGGTTTAAATGAATGCACGGCAAAGTGCGGGAGCCTGCAAATTACTGGTCGCAGCATGGAGGTCGTTGCGTCAGGATTGTCTCTCCTGTCTGAAAATGACGAAAAATGAAAGCTATCAGAGCTCTCCGCCGGTTTCTCGGAGATTTCACGTGCAGGACCTCCGGTGGACCTTGTACTCTGCATCGGGTACGTCCAAGTAAGGTACAACGAAGCGGTTTCTCTGGACAAGAGACGAGAAAGTACGGAATTACAGAGACTTGCCGTGGGTACCGATCGGTTGAACCGGTACATCTTCAGGTTCCCATACTCCTTGACTTATCCCTCGATTACGTTCTTCACCACCAAGGGAATTTTACGCCTGCCGAGAACCAGTTTGCAGAATTTCTTCCACCTGGGACCCTCGACCTAGAAAAGAGCCCTGTAAATGTTATCACGGGTGTACCAAAATGGCCGTCATGCTTCCGTTTTATGCGTTACCCTCTCTCCAATCCGTAATCTCTATCCAAACCGGCGAATAATGGGGACTCGGGGCTGCGGTACTTTCCTAAGGAAAGCCTGCGAATGGTGGAAATGTTTAACAAATGTAAATAAATCCCACGATTTCTCCGAAGATCAGGGGAATCATTACGTTGGGAAACGGCGCTTCTCTAGGGTATTAACACGGCGTACGATGGCGGTCGTCGCAACTCGAAATGATAGGTGTTATGCCAATAAATAAAAACCTTCGTATCTCAATAGTTGAGAAATAATCGCAGTATTTAGGTTCCACGTTAACTACGAGTTAGCAATATTCTGACAATTAATATATTTAATATTGCTACGTGGACGGCGTCTCTGCGGCATCCCAAGATGGCCGCCATGGGGACCTCCGTAACTTCGATTCCGGTGTCAGTAAAATCGAGAAAGTTATATTGCTCCGTGAGTCACATCACGAGAGTAAAGCGATTCGGCCGGCGCCATTTTCTCCGGATTATTCCTCCCGAACGTA